AAGGGGCTGTGCATGATTTTCTGCTTGCTTCATATAAGAGGTTAGAGCAATTGTGCTGCTGCAGCACAGCACCACAAAGGTGTTTTTTTTTTACACATCCACGGAAAAAAACTTCCCTACATTAGAGGCCTTAAAACCCCAAGCCAGGTCAGACACATGTCAGCCGTCAGTATAGAAGTGCCCTCCAATGTCCAGTGAACTCTGCAGACCCAATGCAAGTTGAAGGTGTCAAAAGAAAGGCGTCATCGTGGCAAAAATCCAGCAGAGTTGTGGAGTGCCTCTTACTGTCAGCTCCTCCCACTTCAAACCTTCCCTGAGATGTATGAAAAGACTTTCTCAGTATTTCCCCCTACTTTTTTTCTATAAAAAGAACTTAAAAAAGTAAGGAACATCACCAAGAGCTCCCCACTAATGGGGTCCTATCTATTATTTCTGAGTGCTCTGCTGTGCTGGGTGGTTAAAAACCATTCCTAGACGAGACAGCGCATCTCTTTCAGCCCTCTACCTGTCATCTAGATGCTGTCCCAGCCTAATTCATACACCATAAGTCCTTCTATATAATTAATTATTTGCAGCATTTTGACAGAGTCTCTTCCTCTTACATTATATATAACACACACACGCACACACACATGCTATATAGTTAAAATATATTCCCATAATTCTACTTCAAGAGAGTTGGGCAGACAGCCTAACAACTAATGGACAAGAGGCTACGTTGATTACGATGGTTTTAATGCTTAACCTAAAAAAATATGTTATCTCAAAGATATTGAAAATAACATTTTATTGTAAAGGTGTTGAAATAGCAAACTGTGTTTAGGTTTTGAATGTATGGTGTGTAGAAAGAATTGGTCAGATTCTGAAACCAAAACATTTCCCTGCTCCCCTCTCATCAATTGCACAACCATGTAGTATGTATCCTCTATTGCACAGAATATTTTTTCAGTGTAGTACACTTTGTTTTTACTCGAATGGATATTTGATAAGCCACAGCGGAAACCTGAATGTCATGCACTGCAGCACTTAAGGTGAGCATATGCATCATATCACAACAATAAAGGCTTTCTATGATCAAAAGAGGGGCTGGGGGGCATCATGAAATCAGAGGGATGATACATTGGTACCATTACAGCAAGACATAGTCACTCTGCTCACACACACTGGATTCATGTGTATATGGTACAGTATACAGTACATTTATTCAAGGTTGAGCTTTGATCTCATCATTCTTCACAAGCTCAAACCAGCTCAGATCAGCCATGGTCACACAATCATGATAAGTGTCTTTCAAAACCACAAATACGAAGATGACCTTATGTAGCTGTTCATGTAGTTGCTCCCAACAAGAGTAAAACCGACCAGTGCAAGGAAGAACAGATATATTGGCCCTGAAAATACATAAAAACTTCAATCTGATCAATGCAGCTGTAGCTTCAACTGCATCCAGAAGATAAGATAAGATAAGATAAGATAAGATAAGATAAGATGTTCCTTTCTAAATCCCACAGGGGGAAATTCCAAGCTTTTAAAAAAAATACTGCTGATAAAATCAGTGTAGAGATGTGTCACATAAAGCTGTCACAATGTGTGAAATATGTATCCAGTGTTAGGTTAGATATGAAGTGTGATTGGAATCAGTATTGCTTAATGTGTGACAAACCCCACTGGAGTATTTCATCAAGCCCTACAGTGATAACCAAATGCTGCATGTCAATCATCCTAACAGTTTGCACCCCCAAGACCAACTACATATTACTTAGTTTTAAGGTTGCACAAAGCCAACAGGAAACCCCCTAAACAACACCAATAACCACAACAGCAATATGCTGTAAAACCAGTTTAGCCCTTGTTGTTCATAAAAATTTAAATGACTGTGTAAAAGCATCATAAACGTTGAGGCAAAATGCCTGATGATAAAATTAAAAGAAAGCCACAACAACAAAGTCAGCTGTCATATAAACTAATTCAGATTATTCTCTGACACAGATGACTACAGCAAGCATACATAAAAATATCATCCATAACTCACTGTCACAAGAATTTACCGGTTTTAAAAATGTTTAAAAATAACAACCAGCTACAAGCATACCAGCAGCAAACTTAGATTTGTAAATGACTCAACCTGATCTGAAATCTGATCAGCACAGCACAGATCATGGACAAGAAAATAACCAAAGCACATTAAACAGCGAGTGAGCAGCTGGCCCAGGTATCCATAAATGTAGTGTATGTTAGTGTGTGCACAACAAACTTACCTTTTCAAGACGAATCAGCAGTGCTTTGGGCAAATAGCTTCAAGTTTGGAAAGAGCTGAAGCACCATGGAGAAGATCCAGCCTGATATTTTCCCCCCAGGAAAAGAAAAACATCCTGGAGCAATAAGATAAGACTTTTGTTAGAGTATTTTCCAGATAAAATGCTAAATGTGCAGACGATTAGAGGACATCACACAAAGCATGGCTGGTTAAATTTAGGCCAACAGCCTCGTATGAGAGAATGTTTATTGGACTTTTCACCGGACTTTACCGTCATGTGCCCCTCATGTAAGTGCCTGTGGTAGGTTTTTTAAGTGCCGGTATGAGTTGGTTGTGTTTCCCCTACCTGTTTCTGGTGCAGGTCTGCAGTCTCAAAGATACTCCCAGATGACCGTCGTGCCGCTTTTTGGGGGGGATTAAGTCACCTAACTCCGCTTGTGGTTGTACGGAAGCCATTTTTAAAACACGTTCACGTTCCAAACCGTTGAAACTGATCACTTATAGGTTAATATGACCTGTCCATGAGCAGCATATGTCGCTTCTGGTTGATGAGTTTAGCAGGACGTTGGGGAGACGACATGTAGGCTATATATAATATAATTCACACACAACAGATCCTGAACATAGGCTGTATATACTATGGACAACTTGGTTCCGCCTTCCGCCATCATACGAATTTGAAAAGCTCCCGGTAATTCCGCGTTTTTTCCTCAATATCCTGAAACCAACATTGCGTAGTAGAGTTTTGCGCTTTCGGCGGGAAAGTCGCCGAGACTCGCTGTGATGACGCTATCCCCAGGGTGCGATATTACTTTGCGTGGGATGGTAGGGGGAAGGTCCCGCCTCCTTCGCCTCTGATTGGCTGTGAAACGGCATCACACGCTCAAGCCGAGCGCGTTGTTAAGAGTATCTCAACAAGCTGTAGGAGTTTTGGTCAAGTTTATGTCCTTGTCACTGCCTGAAATAAGAAACAGTCCTTGTCCATGACCTACTTGTGTTAGCCATTAATTAAACTGAGATATTAGCCTCTTTGCAGGCTACTTAGCTTGTTGGTTGAAAAAGAGGTACCACTCTGAGTCATTTTGACAGTAAAAAAGCACATACAGCCAGTTTTTCTAAATGACCTTTATTCACAGCTGTTGAAAACAAAGTGTTGCGTCTTTCATATTGTAGAACAGCTTTGTTGAAACTAACATCATTTACAGGTAGCAAGTAGGCTGAATCTGCTTTAAGCTAGCTGTTAATGAAGTAACAGTACAGTGGACTTTTATTGAAGGCTTTAACTGCTCAAACAACTCAAACAGAGCAGAAAGAATGTCAGGGGCAAAACAATTAAAAAGCTATTGCTCCTACTGTAAAGGACATATATATCCTTTTTTATGATGATGTTTGTTGTTATTATTAAAACACTTTTAATAAGGTGGGTCAATATAGTGATGTAAGAAGGTTAAGGGAAGAAGTTTGACTAGATAAAAGCGATGAAATACAATTGTAAAAGTGTGCAGTGTTTTTGCTGCAGCATTCAGCAGAAAAGACAGAGTAATACAAAATAATTTTTTTATGGTATAAAAAAACTTGACATACAGAGGATCATACTCATGCACCACAAGAGGATCCCGTCCTCTAAGGCAATGGTCGTTTTACTGTTTGAAGAGGTGAGCAAGAAAGTGTTTGCAACTAGAACTCGACCACTTGATAAAATTATTCCCATTTTAGGCATGGTTAGAAATAACTGTACCTTTTTGTTGTAAAATAAATTGTAAAAAATAAAAGTAGGAAATATATTTCCAGTTTAAGTCATTATTTCAGAAATATAGGATCTGTCAGCACAACTTAGTTCAGGAAAGAGCTTTGTCAGCAACTAAATCATATAATGTTGCTGGTCAGTACAGGACAAACTCAATTTTAAAATCTTCTTACTTCAGAGTGCTTTAAATCTCAATCCCATGTACAAGATTTAATTCTGCATGAATCAAAAATCAGGCATGTCTCATGTTTCACTTACTGGGCGATTGTTATTCAGCATTCAGTAGAATAAATTCAAAGTACAGAGAAAAAAGACTGTGAGTCGAAGCAAAATGAAAGTCTATATGTTCAGCCTGTGAGAGCCAGCAAAGTGCTGAAAGTATCTCAGAGAGCAGTAAGGCCAGTGTACAATAGGGCCAATCAGGTCTCAGAGCACACAATACTGAGACCGTCCTTCTTAAAGTTAAGAATGACTTTGGTCTGTCCGTGGATGTCGGATGATGTTCAGCTGTAATCCTCTTAGCCCGGGGTGCAGGTTTCAACTCTGAACCGCTCCATTTTGATCGTCTGCTTTAGAAACTCGCTGTAAGGTTACACAAGGCCAAAATGTGTTTGCATGCATGTGTTGCATCATCATTTTTTTCTGCAGTTGCGACTGAAGCAGCGATTTCATCATATCACACCCTGTGGTCTAGAGTTTGATTAAATACATATTAACGCAGTTTTATTTGATTTACTCACTTGTCATAGATAAACCTCAACAACCACAGCCCTTGATTAACATACGTGATCTGTTGGATGCTTATATGTCTGCACAGATATACAGATATTCATTTTGGACCTATCCATCCAACAAATATAGTCCTCAGTTGTATCTTTCTGAGGAATAAGTGGGCATATTTGAAAGATCTAGTGCAGCTAATGGTTAACTCTGATGAGAATTATATGTGTTTACATTAAGAGTGTGAGGCTTTGGTGGGCCGTTGTGTTGTTGAAAGGGAGAAAATGGAGCAGTCCTCAGGAGTAGTAGTTGATATTCTCAGGAATGCTTTCAATTAAGGCCTTCTCCCTTTCCCTTATTAATTAAAGTCTAAGCATTTGGAAAATTAAAACCACGTAGAGGGAGGGAGAGAGTGAGTGAATAATGACTAAAGTGTAGGTGGTTTGTGGCTTCAGCTTTTCGTTCATGTGTATGAATGCAACGCTCAAGTGTTTTTGTAATAGCAGGGAAAATAGTCAGGAGGAGGAAGAAAGCATAGTAGGAGCCGGACTAAGAAAATAAAACGCAAACAAAAGAGCTTCCTGTCATTGTCATCCCCATCTCCTCTGCCTCCTCTTCATAACCTCACCCATTTTATCTGACTTGTGTCGCAGATTTCCTGATCCATCATGGTTTAATGTGTTTTTATGAGTATGACTGTGTGTATGTAGCAGGGGGCTGGTTACTGCAAAGAAAGCAGTGTTTATTTTGTTATCGCCAATACCAGTAACAAGACTGCCGAGTGTGTCCTTAGAGATTATTTTTGATATAGCGTTCATGTAACCATACATGGCAGGAACACTGACAACATGCTGCCTCAGTTTGTGTTGATATGGTGAATCCTTTATAAGGACCGTTGCCATGCTTATCATCATGAGAGGTTTGTGTGCTGGGAAGCTTCCTATTCACAATGAACATCGCTGACCCTGAGAGGGCTACATTTTCTAACTGTACCAGCAGTTTTTGTCTGAGTAGAACGATAGATTTGCTGTCAGTAGATGTTTTTCCCTTCTCCTTCATGTGGCAAGGAAATGTTTTATGATCACAACTACAGACAGGCAATATAACAGTTCCCCAACCCCCAACAACAACAACAACAACAACTAAAGTCCAGTCACACGCTACAGGGCAAACAGAGAAAAGGTTGAGAAGTTCACAGGGGCTTTTAAAGATACTTGAAATCTTGAGGAACCATCCAAATAAACCAAAGCTGTGAGGAAACAGTGGGTGAGGTAGACAAGAGGTAGATAAGAATCATGGGAAATGTCTTTGAATTGACATGTGTTTGGGCAGAGCATCAAAAGCTGACAACATTTCGAATTCTAAATAATTAAGTATGGAAAGTTCTTGTCAGTTTGGACCCAGTAAGCTGGTGATTTGACAATCCCTGGGAGGAGATACTTAAGTATGACTCATGGGAACACTTACAAATACACTATTTCTTTTTACTTTTTCGGAAATTTGCAAGTGGAGTTACTGAGCCATGCTGCCATAAAATATGGGCGTGGTCTTGATTAGAGAGATGTTTTTAGGTTGACAGTAGTGGTCATCATACTGGAAATGTTTATCAGTCTTTAGGCCATATGGCAAATAGTTACAGCATGCCTCTGTCAAAGCTGTAAACATGTTTTGTTTTAAAAATGAACATCTTGATATGGAGTGCTTGGCTTTTGCAGGGTGCTTCCAGTGGACACTGCAGGAACTGCAACTGGCTTCATTTCTCAACACTAGAGGACACTGTTTAATTTTACCACACTCACTCACAAAACCAGTACTAACATCAAATTTACTGCTGACATCATGTCTTCCAAGCTACCACCAACAATGAGAGTAAGAATGAGAGTAAGAGTTGATTGTGAGTAAAAGCGGTCAGTTTTTGAAAAAAAAAAGACCTTTTATTTCCCGCCAAGAGTTCACCTCAGATGACTTCTGGTCCATCTTTGAGTTAAGGATACATATTTAGCATTTCAAATATTTTTTCGGTTTAAATTTTTTTACAAAGTTCAAATTTCCCAAGACACACACAAAAAACATCAAATATTCCAGGCTAATATTGGATGAGACTAGCATAAAAAGCCACAGTAAAAATACTTCTTCACAGAAATAATTCAGATGACACAGTCAGTACCACAGAGTTTGAATATTTTACTCAAGGTAATACATAACACAGCCTCAATGAATAGTTAGGAAACCCCAGTCCAGATGAATGAATTATATGGACAAAGAAGGTAGAATATTTAATTTAACAATCCTAAAATTTTATATTTTGGTTGAAAGTTGAGAAACAGCCCACGCTGACTCTTTATTTTGTTCATACTATGACTCTTTTGTCAAAAAACATTTAACTTTAGACCCTGATCACTTTATATCTCCTGTTTTCTACACTCATTGCTACTATCTTATGCCATACATACAATCTTTAACTCATATTTTTCCTAAGAGGTTTTATGCCCCGATGCCTAAAAAAAGCACGAGACTTGAATTCTCATATTTGGAATTAACATGCTCTACATAAATAATCTTAGCTCACAGTCCACTAGAGGTGAGATAATTTTGTTCCTCATACCATTTGCTCAGACAGTGAGCGGATCATGCGTTGGGATAGTCCCATCACATTGTCACGAGTTGTTTTTGTAACAGAAATTTTTAGTAGAGGGATTTTTCTTATTTTGATCCAGTGTCTGACACAATGCTTTCCAGCTGCCTGAGACCTCTTGAATTGGATGATGAGAAAAGGGAATCTGCAACATCAAAGAAAAACAGGTTATTGATATTGAGAAGAAGCAGTGACATGAACTGCGTTTACATATTTAAAAGACTTGCAGTTGCCCTAAAAACAACCTGCTTACTCTTTGATCATTTACCAACCAAGTGAGTGAACTGAAAATTTTAAATAACAACCCATCAGTCTGTAGTAAATTTAGATGGCTGAATATTAGGGTTGTGCAGCCCTTGAATAAACCCTTTTTTTTTTTTAATATTTTCAAGTTTAAGAAAAGCAGTAATAAAGTAAAACTCCTGTTGATTACTGCACTTTGCCACTATCACTCAGTGCGTTTACATGCACAGCTTAATCGCACTAAGCTGGTTATATGGTAGAGAAAATCTAATTCCACTTGCATTGTCTGGGTGTCTTAATCAGAGTTCTCCGACTCCAATCATAGTTCTCAAACTCCAATTAAAGCCATACTAAGGTGTTAACATGCACTTCAGTTGTCCGGTCTAAATCGGAGTAAGGCAATAATTCGGTTTTCTTGAGTGTCGTGTAAACGTACTGACTGATGGTTTAAGTTACCTGGCTGTGATCAGCAACTCAGAGACACACTCACCGCTTTGTTGTTGCCTGGATTGCAGGACAGGGTCTTGTACCACTTGTCCCTGTCAGAGATGCTTATGGCCTCCTTGGGCTCCTCATTATTTCCTCAACACCAGCCTGAAACAGATACTAATGGTTATGTCACAATGCTTGTTTGAAATTGTACTTCATTTTTTTCCAAAGTGTCAAGAGGTGAAATGTGCCAGAAGTCCTTTCAGGAGATTGATTTGAAATGACATGTGTGATCAGGTTATCCTTGGCATGGTTTTAGCTGTGAAGATCAATCAACATTGTTACACTTTATGACCAATCTAATAAAGCTTTGCCTAATTTCTACCAAGCATAAACTGGCAGGGAAACCCTTATCACGTGGGCTCTTTTGGGGGACACAAAAAACATAAAAAATGGTTTAAATGTGACTCTTCAACAGATGTCAAAGTATGACTGAAATCCTCTTTTTTATGTCATAAGTGCCAGAATTTTAAATCAAAAGTTTAAAAAAAATCCATCTGTGTTGTTCATGATAGACACAAGACAGCTGCAGGAATTGGCTTTACTCTGTATAAACTACTCTCAAGAAACAACTCAATTCTCTTTGTCACTCAGTGTTTCTTTCCAAATCTTCTCTCAGCTCTGCATCTAAGAGCTCATTAATGTCTGTAGAAAAAGGAAATCTTTCTCTTTTACTTACTTTTTTTTCGCTGGACGGGAAAGCTGTCAGCAGATTATGTGGGAGGACAGCGAGTTGACAAGATTTGTCACATTTCACTCTCCTCCCTCCCTCCCTCCCTACTGCCTTCTCTCTCACATAAACACACTCCGACAGATCTAGGCAGGGAAGCCGATCACCCCTACAAGCTCTAACCAAATAAATAAGAGTGCCATGAAAAAGGACATGAGGATAAACAGGCTGATTTACATGTATTACTCTCCATTTGTCTCCCATTCCTTGCTCCTCACTCCTCTCTTACTTTGGCGTCTTGTTCCCTTTCTCATTTCCTCCATCATTGTGCCTACTTTTGTCTCACTCACCCACTCTAGCTCTGTCACCTCTCCTTATGTCTCACATCTCAATCCCCCCCTCCTTTTCCTCTCCATTCCTGCCAGATGTCTATGATTCACATTCGAAGTGTTTATACCTCCTGCTGTTCCTCTTTCCTCCCACCCTCACACTCTTACCTCATCTTTATGCTTTCTACTTCTAGCTCTCCTCTTTTACTCTTCGTCTTATCCTCCTTCTCTTCAATTTCTCCTTCTTCTCCTTCGTCTTCTTCTCTCAGTGTTTTTCTCCCTCCTCCTGCGCCTCCTAGATAACTGTCTTCTCCGCTGACGCTTTCATCCCTGTAAGACCTATAGAAAGGGAGGAGGGTGCGACACCCACCCATGTCACCCTGTCACCCCCCCTCCTCATCCCCCTGTGAAGATCTATTCTTCTTTGGCAGCTCTCTGAGACTCATCACTTCCTCCATCCCTGTCAGTTTAGAAAAAAAACTTCTCTTCTTCTCCTTATGCTGAGACTTTTTCTATGTTCTGCTCTGATGAAGTTGTTTCAACATCTCCTCGTTTTGGTCTCAATAAAAGACTCCCAGGTTCTTCTTGACTCTCAATCTTTCAGAATTAGATCCAATCAAATAAGATGACGGAGAAGTTGTCTTTTTTAACATGGAGTTATATCAAAATGGAAGATTTTTAAGTGTTGGCTAACTCTGAATATCTGATTCAAGCCTTGTATAATACTCTTTCAGGCTCCTGTTATCTCAACAGTTTGGTGTGAAGAGGTTGTAAAACTCTGTCTTGACTGTTTCAAGTCTGTCTCTCTGGATGAAGGTTAAAGTACGAGAATTATATTCCCTGCCACCAGTAAACCCTTGAGCTCATAAGAGTTATAGGATGAGATTGCCATCATCATCATAATACACTTTATTTACACGGCACTTTTCAAAATACTAAAATCCTTGACAAGGTACACAGTGAAAGGATTTAATAGAAATATAAGATGGAGCAATACATTAAAATAATGGTCCAAAACTGCAACGTCAGCTATTAAAAGCAGCTCTAAAAAGGTGAGAGTTGGCTTGATAGCTGGTTATATACATAGATTGTCCTAATCTACAAAACATGGACAGTCTCTTTGAGGCGTTCATTATATTCTGAAGTGGCTGAGGAGGCTATTTGAATCCAATTATCCAGTTATCATATCCAGTTAACATAATACTGGTGTGTTATAAGTGTTAATGGGCCTTGCTGGAATTTTGGAGCTGCCTCAAGTGGTCATTTGTGGAACTGCAGTTTTTCTACCTCTGCACCATGATGATAAACGTTCATCAACAATTCTTGTTTCCATGACAAACATGAGCTGAAATAAATCACAGATAACTATAATTTTGTTTTTGTTAATGAGACAGTGACGCAGTGACATTTGAAATCCATCATATCTGTCATATTTTTCTCAGATATGCATCGTCACCTGTTACATTAGCATCCCTGTAACAGGCTGAGTTAGCCTGCAGGGGTGCAGTTTTAATAAATGTCATGCCTGCAAAAAGTGCATCGTTGGTTCAAATCTCTCTGCTTTTATACTTTTTCCTCATTCTCAGTGATAAACTAGAACAACCTTGACTCTAATTCCTGATTGAATGATTTATTGAATTAGTTTAGAGTGTCGATTAAAAGTAAAGACTAAAATATCAAATTCAATCAATCAAATTTTATTTACATGGCATTAATTCACAACAGTTGTTATCACAAGACGCTTAAAAAAAAATTTAAAAAAAATAAAACTAGACGAAACAAATCAAATGTGCCAAAAACTTAAAGGTATCTTAGGCCAAAGACTAAGACTAAAGAAAAAACTTCAACCCTGCTTTGTTCTTTTATAGCGGGGGTTGCTGCATGGTTGTATGTGTTGTTGTTGTTTGGTGGTTGTGTGTTTGCTGCCCCAAGTAGCAGAAAAAGAGGTTACTCACGTTTGTGCACAGAATCACCTTCTCAGCATATTTGTTTCGGGTTTTCTGTTTTAATAATGTTTCAAATCTGACAACAGCTTTCTTGGATGATTTGTGTTCTATCTCTCGTGAGCTCTAATTTTTCTTTCATACCTTGAAAACTCCCTGATTTATCACCTCTGCAGGGACATGTGAACAGATGTTGGCTAAGCTGTTGTGCTGCCTGTTTGTTTACCTATTTGATGTGCCCTTGGATTTCAGGAGTCACTGATTTAGACTTCAGGTACGAAACAACAGATTATGTGTGAGAATTTCATATAATTTCATTTTTTTTATTACATTATGTGCTTGAATGATTTAAGCTGCCTCAGACAGGACACTCGGTGGTTTGAGGCATGTATTTCAAAGCACAAGTCTGCTACAAAGATAGAAATGAATTCCTTGCTCTGCCTAGGACTGTAAAAAAAAAAGTTCCTTTCTGAGTAAAAATAGTTGCTCCCACTAACCGTCTTTGTTGTGTGAGCCTGATGTAATATTTGCCCTCACTACAGGCAACATATTACAGCATCCAATAACCACATCCAGCTTCCCCACATTCACTTCATGCTCTATGACTGCTGCGTGGCCGTCGTACAAAATTTTAAAAGAGAGCTCATAGAAACACGGCACTTTTGTTGTTGTTGTTTTTTTTTTAAATGCAATTCCCTTCGATTTAAAATGAGTTCAAGCTTAAGTCACACACACATGTAAACACACACTTGGGTGACTCAGACAATGTGCTCTGGTGATACCAGATTGGAGGGGTTACAGCATGCAAATACAGCTGGCTGTGCTTGTACACTTCACTAAACCATTTGTTCTGCAAACACAAATGTCAGCGCTCCAGACATAAAAACAAACACGCAAGCTCACAAATTCCAACATGTGCGTAAAGATGTTCTCTTAGTATCCAAAAATCCAGTGTAGTCATCATCAGTTATGTAAGATCTCTCTGTCAAATTGCCATCATTTCATTAGATAATGTCTTCCAGTTCAGGCAGCACAAAGGCAATATTATACTACAACATCCGGACCATTTAGGCCTTTCTATTTATGCATTTATGATTTGCTATATTAGTTTATTTCATCACCAACTGCACTGTAATTTTATCTCCCGAGGTGAGAATAATGCTGATCCTACAGGGCTCCAGACTGTTTCCATATGCTGACTCCTGCATGCGCATGTTTTCATCCTCCTGCAGCATTTCCACATCAGCATTTCTCTTACACTAATAAAGACACCTCTATTTTTGGCAGAAAACACAACTGACAGAAAACTGACCCAAGATTTTTTTTTCCCTCTTTCCAAAATGCTGTCCCTAAGGAAGTGGAGCAGAGGCAGTGTGTGTGAAGCGAGGCTCCATCTGGCTCTGTCCTTGGTCCTCGTTATTTCTGCCCACCCAGTGGCCCATAGTACCACACAGGCAGCTATTTATTGATGACAGCTAACTTACTCTACAGGCCCTGGAAACTCTTGCACATGTTCTCTCCCAGGACTCCTGAGTAGCAGACACACAAAGCCTCTAAGGTACAAGTCTTTGGGTTACACACATATACAGAAAAATTCTCCCCAGTGAATTGTCCCAGAGAGACAGTCCTGCTCCCTACTATAAATGCTTACCTACATTCTGTGTGCATCCTAGCTGTGTCTGGTGATCTGCAGAGCCCCTGTATCTTTCAAAGGTGAACGCACACGCACATGCATGCACACTAATGCACATGCACACACAAGAATCTCCTTAGTAATGTCCTCTGGGCAGTGATTCAGGTAACCCAATGAGCCTTCTGAACTAGATTTATCCAAAATTATTTTAGATGGACCCACAAAATCCAGGATCTCTCTTATTCAAGAAATCTCCAGCATTGTACACAGTATGTGTTTGGAAGAAACAAGAAACTGCTGCTCTATTTGACTTGAAATGAATTAACACATTAGCCTTTTAAGACATTGTGAGAAGAATCACTTTCTATAGGATTCGGGGAAACTTACTGCCTGCTTCTGTTTTGTGTAGGTGAGGGTGTCCTCACGAAAGTCAGCCAGAGAATTACAGATGTCGGTCTGGATTAAACAAAGAGGAAGGACTAATTCACTTTAGACCATTAGATTGTTATTTTTAAGTTATTTTGAGACAAGTGGGCCAGGAAGTGCACAAACATCAATTATTAACACCACGTCTACAGGAAGGCTAACACTCATTCAAAGTGCTCACACATTGTATGAACGTTTATGATGAACTCCCTCGTTTCCTCGTACATTTCTTTCATTCTTTTTTGTTTATCTCAGACTTTAAGAACAACAACAACAAAAAAAACTCAACTAGAAACAAAAACACCGAACAAAATAATACATATGTACACCAAACAACTGTACATGTCAAAGATAAATTTACACAACATATGCATGTCAAAAACAAACAGTTTGAGAAGGAACAGAATGAAGTAAAGAGCTTAACTAGTCCTGTCTCTTTCTTGCAAATAAGAGCCAATATTGAGAGGGGAAGAAAAATCTAATTGTATAAATTACAAAGATCTGTATAAATACCTACATATAATACACAAAGATACCTGCTCAACACTACATATGTTACTTATAATTGTTTGCATATTATAACAATAATCAGTGTTATACTATTCAGAATTAATATTACTTCTATGCAATCAAGTATATTTAGTATAAAACCATATTTTTGTTAGTTTACTTATATGAATCTTTTAATACTTCTCTATAATGTGATTCATATATATTATATTATTTAATACATGGACATGAACTAGTAGAGCTGGGAGGACCTGAGCCCGACTCACTGCTCTCACACTGCTTTATGAGTGTACCTTCATGAGAGCAATAAGTTCTGTTTTCTGAGAATGTGTTAGCTAACATTGTCATGATGTTCTGAAGTCAATTAATTTCAAAATTCATTTCAGAGAAGACAAGAACAGTTTGTGGATCTGCATCCAATTGAGTAATAAGTCTCAGATGTCCAGGTCTACTGAGCATCAATAGTAAGTGTATGGTTTACACTGAACAGGTTACCTTAAGTAATCATTAAATAGTGACAAATCAACATTGTTATGTACCTATTTATTTTAACAAAGCCTAATAAAATCATCAAATTATGTGTCTTATTAATAATAATAATAATAATACATTTTATTTGTAAAGCGCTTTTCAAAGACACAAAGACGCTGTACAGAGTAAGCAGTAAAAACATACATCAATAAGTAAGAAAATTTACAGCAATATAATCAAAAACATGTAATCAGGTAAAATCAAATAACAATAAAACACACATAAATGAGTAATAAAATTTACAACAATGTCAATAAAAACATGTACAATCAGGTAAAATCTAATGGGGGGGGGGGGGGTTAGGAGGGATGAAAGGCAGTGTGGAAGAGGTGGGTTTTGAGAAGGGTTTTGAATCTGTTGAGGTCAGTGCAGTTTTTGAGTTCAAGTGGGAGTGAGTTCCAGAGGGTGGGGGCGGCGACTGAGAAGGCTCTGTCCCCCCCAGGTTTTATTATTAACAGAATAAAACACATGAATATGACCTTAGGAAAAATGAAGTTAAGGCCACTCTGATATGTTTTATGTAAGCTTTCAGTGATTTTCAGACTTCTGTGATAATTCAGATTGCCTTGTTGCTGACATGTGCTGTATAAATAAACGTACCTAATATGAAGTAAATTCTTGAAAACTGATAGCTCTGCCTTTATATAGTCAAACCTGATTTTTTTGATCATCTAACTTGAACTCACAGAATAATGAAGCACCAGGAAATAACAGATGTTGGGCTAATGCCAACAAAAGTTGGATGAGGGCCTGATCACACAGGCACTGTGAGCCTTTTGAAGAAACAACGTTTTGATCAGAGATAGAGGACCTGCATGTGGCAACTGATTTGAAGCATCTGTGCTGTAAAAAGTGAGGCGGTCAGGTCCTCGATTTCCAGTGGGCACACTATGTGGGAAAGACATCTCTGAAATCAGACAGTCAAACAGTTTTATCATTTTGTGACAGTTAAATAGAAGTGTGACAAAACTTTACTACCAGAGATGCTCAGGCTAGACTATTCTCCACCATCTTATTATTATAAATCGCTGGAGCTGAAACGCCCCTCTCTATGGTTCAAAAACTTATCTGAGGTCTTTGGGTATATCGAGTAATGACTTTATCATTCAACTTTGATACAATGGAGTTAAGACAGCCTACTTCTGCATCTCAGATCTGCTGGGACAAGACTGCTTCTGTTGTTCCCAAAATCAGGACTTTTCATGCACCACATGTCTAGAACAAAACCTCAGATTTTTCTTCTCTTACTTGTACAAATTACAGCTTGAAACTTTTCAGATGACATTGCGTCTTATTTCTTCGAGTAGCAGGAACACTCATTCATACTTCTTACAAAACTGTAACTGTTGAGCATTGTTGGTGTGCATTTTTTTACACTCCTGACAAAGTGAAAATCCTTTTTGGATGATAAAGCATCACAAACAAGAAAGATGTCAGTCCTTGGGCATTTACACAAATAGATGTAATTTATTCACATTTCACTTGTCAGAGAGTGAACAGTATGATGTGAGATTAGCATGGATGTGTGAGTGATGATCTGCGGAGGTGTCGGAGGCAGGATTCAGCACATGGGTTTCCTTTTATAACCAGTAAGTCCATGTGAACTGCATGAACTGATGATCTATCACAGTCAGCTTACTGTCTGCTTGACTGGATAAGTCAACTTTGTGGACAGCAGGTGGGACACTCACACCCGTCTCTTATCAGCAAGGTGACATCTTAAATATGAGCTACTGCAAGAGGAAGTGTCAAAGATGGCGCAGTGATGTGTTATCTCAATTTTTTTTTCATGTCAAGATGAAGAATAAAATCTAAAACCATGAATGTACAGCCTCAAAATTCCAAAACAAATGTTTATCCTTGTGTGTCTTGGTCAAAGTAGGAAGTTGAAGGAGATGTACAGGAGAGACTTGTGCTGCGGTCCAGTTGTACTCAGAAGTCTGAATTTCCGACCTCCGAGTCAGAAATTCATCTTGAACGTCCCCCTGAAGTCGGATTTCTGACTTGGAAAGTCGAACGATCCTCACCAACCCCGATTTGACGACAATGTCATAATTCAAGATGGCAGTGTAGTGCATCAACAGTAAAGAGTAAAGCTCTCGTAATTTATTGTTTATTAGCACTTCTGTTTTGTTTTTGTGAAATTAAAAAAGTGGCATACATTGTACTGCCAAACGTCTAACTGTGAACACGGTGCTATGGTGTTTGTAAGAGTAAAGGACTGTGTTGTTTGTTGTTCACAACTGGTATCGCTAACAACTAACAACCGCTGACAATGGCTAACAACAACTGACAACCGCTAACAACAACTGACAACCGCTAACAACAACTGACAATTGTAAACAACAGCTAACAATGGTTAACCGTAGGCGTCCATCTTGGTTACTGACTTGTTAACCGGGACGCAGTCAACTCGGGTGTAAGGTCATTCCCAGCTCCGACATCCGATTTCCAAGGTTACTGGAACACAGCAATATTCAGAACCAGGGGTGTGTCCATGGGGCGTTGCTGAGGTGGCATGGCTCACTATCAAAATCTGATTGGCCAGCCTCGAGGTGGTTGTACCACCTGGGCATAAGTCAGAGTGTAAACTTACATCAGAGTTTAGGGTCCAGAATTCTCAACGACTTTAAGTTGTGCAGAGTTACCAGATCAGAGGTTAAGGAGGTTAATAAAAGTGGAACTGAAATAAAAAGTCGGATAGTGTGTTTGGGTCACATTATGAAAAATGAAAGGGTGTTAAGAGAGTAACCTGTGATTGGACACTACTTTGACTGTGAGCTAATTTAAGGGTTTACATTTGGCAAGCGAGTCTTGTTTGAATCCTTTAAGAGCTCTTCCCTCAACCCCAGCATGCATCAGACCTGTCTTGAGGGTGTTGATTGCTGTCAGGTTTTGTGCAAATGAGACAGAGTTGATGATGATGTTCCTGCTTTATGGGGTGGAAGTGTTTCACCGTCTCTTCAACATGCATCTACTGGCATTGACAGGAGGCTTAGGTACACATTGATCCAGAGCTCCAATGCAGACAGGCCAATTGGCAGCTAAGGTCTGCTTAGAAGGGGGACTACCAGCACTTTCGCCCTTTCTGGGAAGTGCTTCTTGAGTCTTTTCATTCTGCTCTTTCCTATAATCACATCCAGTCTTAGAAAGAAAAAAAAAATGCCCACTTTTTATTTTGTGAACACAAAAGAGAAAATGAGAATCAAATTGATTTTTAAATTTTCCTGATCCTTTTCTGATCTTGAAAAAGAAAAACACCCTGTTTTTCAATTTCATTTATGTTGTTTTCCAAAATGGAAAAATCAAATAAACAAAGATTTTGTTGTTTTCATCTGTACTACAGTTTCTAAAGGGAAAATCCAAAGGCCAAAAGATGCACCGATCAAAAATACACATTTAATCTAAGCAGGAGAAGGTTTTTCTTTTGTACTTGACAATTTTTACAGAGCTGTTGGTGTAAGCTTTAACATGACACTCAGCAAGTTATACACTCGACAATTTTAGGCTAATGCATAGTATGATGCGTATGATCTGCTCAATTCATGCAAATAGTCTGCACAATGTGCACTATACGTACGCACTGCGCAATTCACGTCTCACCTGCTGCCCGAGTTGACCGCGTGTCTGAGCCTGTCTTTGCGTTGGCATGTAATTCCCTTGCACAAATGATTTTACCCAAGCTTGGAGTGAATGCGACATAACTGCATCCTCAACCTGGGGATCAGTTGTAATCCAGACACTGAGTGGCTCTGTGGCTCTAAGTGTCACCTCGATCCCAGAAGGAAGAGGAACATTAGCACTGGACTATCAGAAATGACAAAAGCTTCAGCAACTTCAAAATCTACTGAGAGTAAAATTTTTGCGTCGACTCTTATCAATTGGCTTTTTTAGGGTTAAATTGTAATAACACTCTGGCACAGGCAGTTAAACTCTAGGGGCTCTATTTTGGTGCCTCGCCGGAGACGTGCCACAAGCGCAGCGTCAGTCAGATCCGCTGCGCTGACAAGGCGTTCCCAAGCACATTTTGGTATTTTGGTGAGCCGCGCAGCCCGGCGTAAGTATCCCCCCTCCCTAACTCAGCTCCTCCCAGCACCATAAGTCGTAGACGGGGAGGAGAAAGGGCGTGTAGTTGGTTTAACACAGCCGAGACCTGTTTTCACCAATCACATAGGCTCCTCTCCTTGCCTTTAAATCCGCCACAGGCGAGGCGTATTACTATTTTCATCGAGTAGTCAAAGAGATCAAGAGATGTCTTAAGACAGTAATGCCACAAGATGGCGACAGAGGGCAGCTCCTCAACAAGTGTCCTCCACACTCTCTCATATGAGCACAGATGGATTTAGTGTGCGTAATGTTGGACCCACTGGTAAGACAAACACCCGTTTCCACAAATAAAGACACTCACATAAAGTTGCTCATATTCAAACCTCACGTGACAAAGGTGGGTTGAGCGCACAGATCACAACATAAACTCCAAAAATGGCATTAAAATCGGAACCATCTGTGCGTAAATGACGCATCGCGCTCCGGCTCTTTCTTTCATAGATGTTGGCATATAAAATAAATTTGGCTCACAAAACTGAATATTATAATATCCGTATGTCGGCTTAAAGTAGATAACGCATCTGAGCACTGAAACAAATCATCTGTTCAGCTGCCGCAGCAGCAAGACGGACAGAGGGCACGGAGACGTGTCCAGGTCGAGCTGTGCGAGAAATAAGAGGAAGAGGAAGAAAGAAAAGGAGGGAGACGAATTACATATCTTATTAACTTCATCATGTGTGTATATTTACTAGATATTTAATTTAATTTGATGCGGTTTCAGCTGTGTTGATTCGGTCAGGTTGTGTGTCCAAACGCGTGCCAAACGCGCTCATCAGATCAGATATAGATCAGAATATATCGATATAGATCTAAATATATATGCTGACTCAGATTAATAGTTGATGATGATTATTTATTGCACTGAAATGTGCCTGACACTGTGGAAACCTGCCGGTGAGGCATCAGTGACGTATGTCGATACGCCGCCGGTCTACCAAAATACTACAAGACCAGCTGCGTTCCGCCTTGCGCTGAAAGCTGACCAGGTTTGAATCGGCGAGCTTTCAGCGCACTTTACACGCTGTTGGCGAGCACGAAAATGTCACTGCGCCAGCTGATTCTGTCGACACCTCCCCCTGCCACGCCACCACGCCCAGCTTGGCGGATCTCGGCCTCGCCTCCGTGCGGCTCATGCCACGAAAATACCAAACTGGCCTTGCGCTGGGCTCCGCCAGACGAAAACACAACTGCGCGGGGCTCGCCGCCCTCCGCCGCCTCACCGGCGCGCACGAAAATAGAGCCCTAGGGGTCAATGTTTTTGAGGAAACAGATGACCAGCTAAAAAGTTCTCCATCCTCAGTAAGAAGATACAAAACATCAACAACTCTGCATTTCTTTACATTACTGTCTCATTTTCTGTACCTCTCTGTATGTTGTAGACACATTTAGCGGGAGGAGGTGTGTCACCGATCAAATCAGCCCACTCACAACATGTTGTCCTCTGAGTCACTGCGTTTTGAAACATATCAGAGCCATAAATTAGCTGATCAGTTTCCTCTAAAATTATGTCTGTGCTCCAGAAATACACAGAACAGGCTTGTTTGTGTTAAATCATTTTTGTGACTCTTAGGCGTCTGCTAAGAGAACAGCTACCTCTTCAAAAAAGACAGACAGAGAAATACTTATTTTAACAGATGAAAACTCCTGGTGATTGATCTCAACATTTCAGTGGTTTCTAAGTGAAATGGGATGCTTGATTAAGCTTATCTCATTAGCTGACGGTTCATGATCAATGGTGAGGCGAAAGACTGTGGAGAGAGGGATTCTAATTAAACTGAAGACAAAAAGACTGCAGAGGATCTTACTTATGTCATTAGAAAGTTGCTACATTAATAAAGGAGAGAAAAATGGCACTAACAGAGGATTAGGAAGGCTGTCAAAACACATCCAAAACTTACAAGGCAAAAATCTGAATTCTTACCGGGTGGATTTCTTCAATTTCCAGTAAAAATATCTCTTTACACTTAAACATTCACCATTCAGTATTGACCTCTAACTTCAAGAAATTGAAGACTGATTTTTTTGTATTAAGTCAAAATAGTTGCTAGTGCAGTGAGTAATTTTAAACAAACTTTAAATATTTTTACTTTCTGTGTTGGCAGCTATTTGTTTTATTCATCTCAAGCAGTCTAAGCCCCTTTTTTTTCTCTTAAAATGAGATAATGTAACAGAACCTGTGGTGTGAATAGTTCTTATGTTAAGTGTTATGAAATAAATTGACATTTGACATGAAATTTGAAATTAGGCTGTTTAAAAAGGGTAGGATTTGGGTTTTCATACTTTGCACAAAGGCTTTATATGTGGGTTTCACTTTATAGTATCACCATAGACTGTATACCATGGACAACTTGGTTCCATCTTCTGCCAGTATACAGATTTGAAGCCAAAAAAGCTCTCGGTAATTCTGCGATTTTTCTCCATTTCCTGAAACCAACATTGCGCAGTAGTATTGTACGCACTCGGCAGGAGAGTCACAGAGAGTTGCTGTGATGACGCTCAGCTTAAACAGCGTATCACTGGGTGGGCAATGTAGCAACATAGGCTGTATCAAGTGTCAATCATAGAAAACATGAACCCCCTAATAACTTTAAAAAATGGCGCTGTACAGAAAAAAGAGGACTTGAGCACAAACCAGTCTGACAGTAACTACATGTCAACATCGCAACCAAGGGGGAGAAAAATTTATATTCTGTGTAATAGATTTCTAAAGTTTGTCCACAGCTCCATATGGATTGCTGGAAGAGGCGGGATTTATGATCTACACTGCAGCCTGTCACCAAAAGGTGCTGTTTTCCGGGTGGCTTCACCCAGCGAGGAGGCAGACGGCGTCCATTCTATATACAATCTATGTGTTGCACCTTTTACTTGATGAATTTGATTACTTTTTGTCAAAACCAGATATCATGTTTCAATTATATAAAGCATTTTCATAATTATAATTAATACATTAAAGCAGGACACTTGTATTCTGTTTTCCTTTTACTACAGTAATAATATGAACTTTTGTTGCCTGTGTGCTTTGTGATGCTCTTCTTTATGTGGCAGAGCTTGAAATACTCAACATTTAAAAAGCAGAACTGCATATTAAAAGAAGCAGTTGTTTAAAATTCACAACTTACAGTTAAATGCTCATTCCTGGAAACCATGCAGTCGACATACTAATGATGTCCCTGTATGCTGCGCTTCACCAAGAAACCTTGGAAGCCAAATACAGTTTTCTAACTAAAGATAGATCAGTCCCACAGCATGTTTCTCAGCTTGTAGGACTGTTCAGCCTCATTTCTTGAGCTATAAATAGGACTACACATAGAATTTTTCATTAAAAAATCAAAATTGTGCTCAAATTGATTTGAGTTCAAAGCGTTTTTTCTCTTCTCTTCTCTTTCATGTTATCTGGAGGCGAACTGTTCGACCATTGTGCTGGATTAGAAAGAAGGGCTGAGTGACACAGATTTCAATATCTCTGCAAAAGTGTGTCAAAAGCCTTAAGGCCAAAAACTGAAGGTAGAACTGCACTAAAGGTAAAAATACACAAAGTTTGGGGCCAAATCAAAGATACTGCTGTGGTGTTTTTCTTGTATCCATGACGACTGTTTGATATCTAATTACGAGACTGAAGAATGACTTATGCTATATTCCAGTTACCTCAGAAGTCAGATGATGGAGCTGGGATCCAGTTAACAAGTCGGACGCCTACAGCTACCCGTTGTTAGCTGTTGTTAGCTGTCATTGGCTGTTGTCAGTGGTTGTTAGTTGTTTTTAGCGATACCAGTTGTAAACAACGCACAACATAGTATTTTACTCTTACAAACACCATAGCACCATGTTCACAGTTAGATGTTGGGCAGCGTGACATATACCACTTATTTAATTTCACAAAAACAAAATAGAAGTGCTAATAAAGAATAAATTAGGAGAGCTTTTACTGTTACTCTTTACTGTTGATGCACTGTGCTGCCATGTTGAATTATGACGTTGTCGTCAAGTTGGGGTTGGCGAGGATTGTCCGACTTTCCAAGTCAGAAATCCGACATTAGGGGGGCGTTCCAGATGAATTTCCGACTCGGAGCTCGGAAATCCAGACTTCCGAGTACAACTGGAATGCGGCATTAAACGCCCTCTGTCTCACGATACATTGATAACTAACAAACTACTTTATCTTTACAAGCGTTAAATCTTCTTATAGACATCTTATAAAGTTTAGGATGAAGTCCACAGAAAACTCGAAAAGAAAGCTTTTGAAGGTATAGTTTTTTTTTTTTTCAGCTGGGGTCACATCAGACTAGCAAGAGTTTACCCACAGGGGATGTCTGTAAGCTTGGTCCCATTGTTTTAAAAAGCTAGACCATCAACCACTGTAGACAGGGTCGACTCTGTCTTAGTTAGTTCACTGAAAAAATACCTGACTCGAACATTAATGTTCACTGTTCTGGGATGAGTAAGACATTTTCCGTTCTATATTGAGCAGCAGGTCATCATCACAGTCAGAATCACTCGTTTTTCAATTTTGGTTGTGATTTTAGTTCTCCTGGAGACCGAACTGGCTGATCATAGCTTTTCAGCACCACAATTAAAGCACTGAAAAATGTCCAAATAGAGTGTACGCGTCCATTGACTTTAATATTTGGGTTGGACTCTTTTAAAATGAGCTAAATGATGTGGTCAAATTGACCCAGTCTGCAGCTGATGGCCTGGCTTCAGAGTGGGTTTTCCAGCCAACTTTTCAGTAAAAGGCTGAGCTGGAAAAAATAAAGATTTATCCCCTCAAACTAAAAATTATTTAATTTATTGAAAGGTCTTAAATTAAAACTGTTGTGAGTAATGTTTTGGTATATTTTAGTGAGCATGTAACTGCAGTGTTCCCAAAGTTACCAGAGTCATCTTGGATTAAACTTATCTTGAGAAATGCAAATGTGATCTCTGGTGTTGCATGTGAAAATCTCTGCAAAAAAAAAAGCAGTGAACTTCTCACACATGGATTTCCAAATGGGCATTTTGAAGATTACTGCCTGGCTTTACTGTTCGCTGCCTCCTGATCAGCCAGAAAATCAAAGTTTGCACAGCAATGTTTGTTAAAGAAGCAGCTTCCACAGCTGCCAGAGTGTGCAAGCCGGAGAGAAGTCAATCAGGCAGAGCAGGATGCAAAATAAACCCATTTTGACCACCTAAAGCCCCTCTATGTGGTCACTTTTTGTTTAAAAAATCATTTAGCTCATAGAAATGAAATTGTTTCAAAAGTAAAAAGAATAACATGCTCATTGAAATTAATCTATAGGTTATAAATGTGGTTTCATTGCTTCAGACTCTGACTGAAATGCATTTTGGGTGAAGTGATGAATACAAGGCAGCAGAGGAAGGATTTCAGCTGATAGCATTGCAACAACCTAGACTTAAATTAAACACATGTGGAAAGACTAGTCACACTATGTCAGGTTTATTCCTGATGACCTCTCCTTAGTAGAAAATCTTTGAGTTAATCACTACTTTAAGGAGTTGGCAGGACTGTGGATCATACCAATGTCACTTGGAGACTTCCTGAACAGTATGATGGAAGCCAGCAAGGCTAAATGATTAGCAACTGCCTGAATGATATTTGGTACCAGAGCTGTGAAAGTCCAAAAACAAAAGCATGCATGGGACGAAAGGATCTACACATAAATAAAGATAAGAAAAAAAAGACAAAACATCTACATTACAAGAAAACGTGCTGCTGAGGTGCTGCAAACTGATGCTGCCCGTCAGCATAGAAGCAAGAGCCCCTCAACCAATTTGCTGCTTCAAGTGAGAATGAGAGCGAGCATCTCTGAAGCATAAGTATCTGCTCAAAACTCTGTAGCCAGCACATAACATTAAGTTATTTTAACCTTCTTCCTGTGTCAGCTTTTACTACGCACCCACCATGTTGAGGGTCGGTTTTGACCCGTGTCTTAAATCAGCTGTAAATTACACTAAAAACATTTCTCTATCTCCAATTTGGTTCTCATCTCTAGGTTACCTTGTTAGGCTTCTGGGCCTCTGGGCCTTTCTTTGTAAGTATCTCACATGTCTGGACATGCCCGACATTGTTTTTTGTGCAGGAAAAACAAGGCAAAACTAGAATTCCCTAACTCTCACATGATCCGTAAAGGATCTGACTGTCGGTATGGTGCCTGACAGTGCACATATGATTTCAGTTTTTGCTCTGATTATTAGATATTGATCTAACCGGGTCAACAGCGACCCTAACACGACAAGTGCCATAATTTTAGTAAAAGCATTTTAGAATTTAGCCAATTTAATTTTATTGTTTTTATTTTGTTGAAATAGGGGTTCCTGACAAAGTCAAAAAGTCTTGATGTAAAAAAGTGGTTCTTTTAAGCATTGAAAAACAAAAACGGGTCGGTGCAGACCCTTACACCGGAGGAGGCTTAACTATTCTAAAGAGTAGTTAGTTATACATGAAAAGTGTTCCAAAAAAAAAAGTATTTAGCACTATAGTATAGAAATGAGACTGACTTGTCTTGATTGTGGTTTTTAAGAAGTGTGTGTGGAGGGATTTGTAAAACTGTTTAAGTTACCCTCAATAAAAAGCAAACCCCTCTGAGAGGGCACAACTATGGTGCAGTCAATATTTCTGGTTATAATTAAGTATTAAGTTATGATTATTAGATCCAAATTTTATCAATAACTTATCTCAAAATTTTTATTTTTTATTTCATTATTATTATTATCTATCATGTTTTTTTTTTTTTAAATGCCATAGTCAGTCCACGACCAGTTTAAAAATAATGACGTCTTTAGAAAAGAAATTAAACACCTTCAAGACATTTAACAAAGTCCTGTCATCCTTAGGCTCAAGTTTTGAATTAGCATGACCCAGATGACTAAGAACTTTGACTGACGCCCCCCTGGAGACATTTTCCTGTATGTAAGTGCAGAGGAAATTGTCCCCAGTATACCACAAAACCTTTCTGTTTTAAGCGTCTGCCCACCCAGATGTAGCACTTTGTTCAAATTGTTACCAAGTGCAACAATTTTTTTTACCTGTTAAAATGATTTTCTTATAGGAGACTCAAGTGTGTCCTTCAACAAAGCTGCTTTTATTCTTTGTAACAATACTCAGAAGGTCAGCAAAATGGAAGCAAACTTCAATTTTTAGGGCACAAAGAGAGGAGGCAGCTGGTGCAGAAAGACAAAGACTCTCTTTTGTGACAGAGACACCATGTTGGACTTTCCTTTCTCTTTTACGCTGGGATGTGCAATATGCTTTGAATTTGACATGGCATGGAGTTAAAGCTATTGGCAGGTCTGTGATGATTAAATGTTACTCTGTAAACGTTCTGCTCCTATAAACATAAAGCACACAGTTTTCACTTCGTGCAGATAGGGTTTTTTCTTAGTGAGAGTATTTTTTGCTTTTTCACTTTCTTTTTCTCTGTTTTTATCTCCTGTGTGTTCCTGTATTTTCATTATCAGTTCAGCAGACAGAAAAAGAGACTCAAAGCCATTATTAAAAATCCAAAATGAAATAATTACAGTATTTTGAGAGCATGATTGATTAGTGAATGAATTTGTGCGTGTGTGTGAATGTGTTATAAATGTGAGCCCACATGCTAAACACAACAAAGCGTGTCTGTGAGCAGCTTGATGTAGTGGCACAGAGAAGAAAAGATCATTTTTACACATTAACTGCACTCTGACAGCCTCTACTCTCCAATCCCCCATTTAATAAAAGCTTCTCCATTTTTCTTTTAAATCTAATTTAATAAAAGATTGCAGAATTTTCAGCAATCTGCACCTCCTGAGGTTTTGTGTTTAGGAATGTGGTCTGCAGTATTGTTGCTCCCCACCTCCTGCACTGGTGGGCTAAAAGACAGAGCATCAGACACTTAGTGCTCCAGTGATTAGCCATGTCCCGCTGGGGCGGGGAGATTTATGAGACTCAAGCTGTCAGGTATTATTCAAGGTCGGATACTGTGGAGGCAGTTTGTGGCCAAAAAAAATGTCAATTAAAAAAAACCAAAACAAACAAAACAGTACCCCGTAACCTAACACTGTCTTGTCTACAAAGCTCTTATACTTAGGTAGATGCTGTTCATACCTAAAATTCAGTGTATAAGATGCATGTTAAAGGGATATTCCAGCGAAAAATTAATTTAGGGTCTAGGAAGAACATTTATGATCATTTCTTCATGGAAATGCAATCAGACCGAGACGCAAAGGCAGAAGAACTACAGTGTCTGCAGTACAAAACAATTCATATGGTGATTATTACTTCAAGGAAATGATAAAGAAATGATCATAAATGTTCTTCCTTGAGCTGCGTCACCCCGCTGTAGTCCATAATGGACTGGCCCGAGGTCTCGCTACAAACAAGCGGCTGCTGGAAGGGAGTGGGTGAGTTGTGTTTAGACTCTTTGCTAAAGAAATTAGGCAAAGTTAAAAGATGTTTGGTGGCTAGTGCTGTGGCTGGGACCCTATATGTACTGTTGATGAAGTTAGGAGCTGTTCTGAGCATTATTTGTGGCTATAGAGTGGCGTTTTGGTTGAGGTTTGTTTATGGCTCCTCAGACCGCTGTGTATTGCTATCGTGCGGTTGTTACAAAAGTTGGTAAAACTAGAGAAACAAGCGGTCGGCAACATTCATCTCTTGATGGGGTGTCTAACTTAGTGTTACGGTGTGTTTGACCCTAAATTAATTTTACGCCGGAATATCCCTTTAAGATTGAAGCAGCTGTCTCTTTAAGTGTTGACTTGTAATTGTTTGATGGCCTGCATGTCTTTAAAGCTACTTGACTGAAGAAGCCCTGAGCTTTCTTTGTCTCAATGTCACTCACATCCCCACATCTCTCTTGGCGTAAGTCGCTCTCCCAAAAGAGATCAGTCAGAGCTGAGAAAATAAGATCAGAGGACCTAGTGCACAGAAGGATTGCATGTTTCTGTGGTTGCAAATCCTTAGCAAACTACACAAAATGACTCAAAAGGCAGTGTAATTCACAAAGCACATGCAAGAAGTTAAATGCGCACTGAACTGATCAGTATCTCTGTGTGCGGTAGTGTTTGTGGGTATTTCACTGAGCCATACTGTATCAAATTGAGGTAAGATGGGCCAATTTTATGCTTATAAATCAAATTTCATACACGGGGGGGGGGGGGGGGGGTGAAAATACAACATACTAAAAGGTGGAGGTAACAATTCCACCTTTAAATGAATGAGAGTGCACATAGCAGCTCTGCACGGCAAAAAGCTAAGATGCTGACCACTCCAATTTAAAATGAGACACAAAATAAGAGCAGACTGCAGAAAAAAGTTAAGATTTAGAGGTATGTTTCTGCTTGTAAATCAGTAGAAAAAAGAAAAAAGAATTAATGATACCTCAAAAAAATCTGAATCATCTCTAAACCAAATAATCAGGGACATGAAATTGGAAAAATAATTAGTAATCTTTTTAAAAAGTTTAACCAAGAACTAAAATTAAACGAATCCTTCTTTTTTATATAATTAAAGTCAAAGTCGTGTTTTTCAAAGTTTTAAATTGAATACTAGTATTATCAACTTAACCTATTAGAAAATGAGTTATACTTGTATTGCAATATACCATTTGTAAAATTAAATGTAAATCAAAATTTTTTCTTTATTTATACAGCCCTTCAGAACAACCCTTTCGGGGACCCAGAGTGCTTTACAATGCATAGTAAATTAAAATGATTAAATAAAAACAATAATAGCAATGAAAAAAGAATAAGATACAATGCAATAAAATAAAGTGTCACTGTGCTACTGTGTATTAAAAGCCAGCTTAAATAAATACATTTTCAATCGAGATTTGTGACATAAATATAGTATTTGTTTAGTAAACTGCCTTGGCAATTGCATCATTGACTGCTAATGCCAATAAAGAATTTTGAACTTACTTTATTGAATTACTTTTGGCCATTTCTTGCTCTATCTATACATGACATAGATAGCTCATCAACAGGGCATGTTACATGACTTCTAATTCTTTTCAATACATCATCGCATTTTCCCTCTAATCCTATCAGAACTGTTGTGTTTAAAGACTTTTGGCTTCTTAAGTGTGCCTAAATCTGAACATGTAATCTCTAAGACCTTTGCGGTAACACTTCCCTTTGTACCTGTGTTCAACATGCCCCCCCATGCACACACAAATCCTCCTCCTCAATCTCCTCACATTCAGTATGTACTGCACACTCAATGTGTAACTTCCCATAGGGGTGTAATTACATTTGTGGTGTAAACTGGGTAATTAGCTGCATCTCCACTTAGCTCTCAGCTGGAAACAAAGAGAGGGGGCGAGAAGAGAAGCAGACAGAAGCATCAGCACATCTGCTGTCTCTGATTCCATTGCAGGATAATGCAATTCTGAAACAAATCATTACGAAACACATGCTAGCATAATGAGAATTATCCGTAAACTGTGTGTACAATAAGCACTGCCTCTCTTTTATGTTCAGCTCTTGCCTGACGAAGCTGAATGCTCTATGGAATAAAAGAAAAAAAAAAAAACATTAGTATACAGAGTTGTCTGAAAAATTATAAAAAATAGATGTAAAGAATGAAGACAGCTGATTCTTAAAGAAAAAAAATCTCAGTTTGCTGACATTTGGCAGTGAAATGTGACATTGATTGTGAATATTTTATGCATAAATTGTAAAAACAGGCTGTTTCTACAGCTGCCTCGCTGACACCTACCCCCTCACGCTGATTTCAGGCATCACAGATACGGGTAAAAAAAAAAAAAATCTGCCAGTTTTGTTGCTGATGGTTTTGTTTGCTGTTGAATATATAAAAAGGAGGCATTGATATGAATTACAGTTGTTCATAAAGGACAAAAAAACAACCCACAGAAGCTTTAAAATTGTATTATTGGCGAGGTCTGGTGATGTAAAACTCGTGCAAAAGTTTCACTTTCAGATCATACCTGCACCTTTTGAATATTACTGTCATGAAAAAAGAGGTTGAGTAAAAATACTGCTCTGTTCTGATGTTAGCCAATGATTTAGTCAAATGATTTTTTAATGGCTGGCTGTTACCTCATTACTTGCAATGCCATTAAAGTCTGTAAGTAACGCTTCGTCATTTGAAATCATATCTTAATCAGAACTAAAAATCTGAACTAAAAATCAGAATTTATGTTCTGACTTTCCGGGCGCTGCATGGTCAGGCCCCCCAATATATCATTGATTTGTTGTGCCCCTACTCCCCACGCACCCTTTGGTCGTCAGGCCAGAACACCCTAATGGCGCTGAAGACCCGTTTTAAAACCCAGGGGGACCGGGCTCTAAGACGGTAGCCCCCAGACTCTGGAGAGATTTGCCCCTCTCCCTCCGTTTGATCGACTCAGTGGATACTTTTAAAAATCAGTTGAAGACTCTTTTATTCAGACAAGCCTTTAATTTACAGGGTTTTGTTTGTCTCTCTTAATTATCTTTTATATCTGCACTTATTTCCATATTCACTGTACTGTATTTGTATTTGTGTATATGTACTTATCTTTTTTTTATTTTATGTTTATCTAATTGCACTTATTTTATGTACAGCGCTTTGTGTTTTTATCTGTGAAAAGAGCTCTATAAATAAACTTTACTTACTTGCTTACTTAACTTTTTCATTGCACAGACCTGCTACTTTAGTCTGTTGCTGTTTGCTCTGGTCAACCGTTCACAACCGGGGGCAGTACCACACCTTATTGCTGGTTGCCACCGAATCAAAAACAAGAATAGGTAGTAGAAGAAGCAAATTTCCGTGTGCTGTAGTTAAGCAGTACAGTCTACATCCTGCTGCCGCCGTAACAGAAAATAACAATACCACTTTAAAAAACCCAGACTGCTGTGTTGACAGGTCTAAAGTAATATTCACTTTGTGCCAAATGGGATTAAATGATCTTTAAGTGCTTCAAGTTAGAGCTATCATCTGCAAGCAAAGTAGTTTATCAGACTGATGCCAGTGGGAAAAGTGTCACAAAGGCTGCTGGCAGAGTACTATTTTGTGTCTGATATGTGGAGAACTAGTGCTGTCGAACTTGTAAAGAAAGACAGAGTCACCTTCAGCTCAGAGTGATCAACTGTATAACTCAGTGTCTCCCTCTCCTTCTCTTTCTCTCTCTGTTAGTCATAGTTTTTATGGTTACAAGATGCTCTTTTTTATAATTCCATTGATAAACAAAGGTAATTTCTTCAATTGGATAAATTGTGCAGCTTGTAACTCTCAATACCAACCGTATCACATATATTGAGTACATACAAGCATTTATCTCTTTCATTTGTGCAGTGCTTTCAGATCCTTTCAGTTGTCCTTGCCTTATTTTTGTATCATCACATCATTTATATTTTTTTGGAATAAACAACCTTTCCTCCGACAAAAAACTGCTTCTTATGTTGCTTCCTTTCCCTGATAAACAAACTGAACTAAAAAGAGCAAAATAATCAGTTTCAATAAAAGACGAAAAGTAAGCATGAAAAGGCAGTTAAGAACAGGAAATATATCTAAAATGTAAAAATGCCAAAACATTTCTGCCTACAGTACACATGGCCTTCTGGAGAAAACACTCCCAATGTGGAGATAGAAAGTATTGCTATTCATGCGGCCCACCCCTCTCTACCTGCTAATAGAAAAGAGCCATCCCAGTGGGTGTGTTTAATCCTTTAGATAAGCAAAGCAAACAAGGGAGAGTTATCGCAGTCATCGCTCTGCCATCAGATAGCAGGTTATGATGATAGAGGCTTAGGACGGTTATCTCGCTGCTCATACTGAGTGCTGGGTGCACCGCACAAGCATCAGGTGGAATGAACAAAAACACTGACACACCTATCGGTTACAGCACATGCAAAAAAGAATCACACCAAAAGTAAATAGCGCTTTGATATATTTCTTTATATCAACATCCAGCCTGGTTGTTTAAGGTAAGAGGTGAAGTTAGGACATTTATGAGCTGTGGGACTCAAATTCAGATACCTGGTTGTAAACTGAGTGCTCTAGGAAAATGAATAACTAAAGACAGTGAAAACATCCAGTACACTCAGGAAAAAAAGGTGGGTAGGTGGGTGTGTGGGTGGTCAAATGCAGCGCAGGCAGCCTGGAGAATCTGACAAAAAGCTAGTGGGCAAAGTGTCAGATACATACACATAAAGCCAGTATTGATGAGATGCGGTGAAGCTTGTGCGTCAAGCAGCAGGTCACAACAGCTGGAGCATGTTCAGCCACTTGTGTGCGAGGGTGAAGAACACCAGGGGAGGTTAAGAAAGAGTGAGAGGAATTTCAATTTCTCTCTCTCTTGGAAATAGGTGAAAAGTTATGCCAAAAAAAAAACCCCGTCAATGTATTGAATAAAGAATAAACTTTTATTTTGAATGCAATAAGGAAGATATTTCTGACATCTTACTTATTTTGAAAACTGTTTTCCCCCTCGTTCCTACTGGAAATACATCATTTCAATAACAAATTCCTGTGTACTGCATCTGCTTTTGAGTAGGATGTAATTTATCTGGACAACAAAGAGATTAAAAAAAACCAAAAAAACAAGAAGAGTACGCAAGGGCTTTAAAACGCCTGGACAAAGCAGTGTTTTTTTCATCATAAACTATGATACTATATCTATAAAGGGTTAAATTATATACTTAAAATCAAGTTCAAAACTAGACTGACTATTTAAATCTATTAATCCACGTTGTGCAGTGGGCACTTTGGCTCCAAACATCCCATCGAGTCCCACCACTTTACTACCACAACTGTTCTAATGTGCTTTTTGGCCCCTGGCTGTCAAAGGTGTTCAGGGAATAATCCTCATTATCCCCTCAAAAACACCTGTTATATTTCCCCTGAATCAAACTGAGAGAACAGGGATCAAGGTTCAACAAAACACTGCACATCCCAGAAGAGGGAGACCTTTGGGTTTTGAAATTGGGACAGTGAGAATCCGAACTCTCCACAGCTCACCCCACTTGATAGACCGTTGTTGTTTTTACAGTTCATACATCATACTAGTGTAAAAGCACTTGAGCATATGCAGCACTTAAATCCAGGACAAATTTCCCCAAGGGATCGATAGAGTGGACAGTATCATATGATGTTGTATGCATTGCACTGCATTGCTTTGTTTGGTGTAATATGGAAGGGTCAGTCAAATGTGGAGCATCCTTCGTCCCGCGGGTACACGGGTGCTGTGAATTCACTGACCACTGAATGCCCCAACAGCACAGATGAGTCACTGGCATCAGGAGATACGACTGATTTTTCAAGTGTGAAATGATGATGTGTGACTTATCCAGTCAGACAGTAAATTCTTAAAGTTGGTCGTGACCTTAGTCTTGTTCACAAATTTCTTTGAGTGTTTTTAAGACTCTACAATTTTCTATTTGCTGCTAGCAGATATATCCCCCGGCTCTGACCTGGATGTCTAGTATACTGTTTGATATTGTAAAAACTATGGCCCTCACTATTCCTATCAAGCTGTTTGATATATAGTGGGATGTTGCCTCAGAAAGATGTCCACATTTGTCACGCTGCAGAGCTGAGGTGTAGTTTTCTTTTAGGTCAAGTCAGCGCCACTGCAGACTTTCTGGTCGACATGATGCTAAATGTATGAAATTTTCAGAGAGGAACATCGACAGAACAAGACGTAAGAATGCACTTTTTTTTTTTTGTACCAGTCAAGCTGATTACAGGTTTTCCAACCCACTGCTATTCAGTTACTGTGAACCTGGCTTCAGCTATAGAGGGTGGAGGAGGGTGAACAGCCCAGATAGTAACAACCATGACAGTTAGTACAGTAGAAAGACCATTCATTACATGTATATGCGCTTATGCCTCCCCCTCACCACAAATCCAAGGAATGCTTTAGTGCAGACTGCAGTTTGGTTCTGTCACTTTAATTTATTTTAGCTTATACGCGTTTATGTATATATAATTCTACAAATGCATGAACATACAGAAGGGTGATTAGTTTGGGGACACATTTTCAAAAAGCATACACCTCCAATGCATGTTTTTCAAAGCTCTTCAACATATTGTACTTAATCTTCTAGTCTAATGTGTTTGCAAATCATAAAACCCTATATTTAATAGAAATGAATGCAGACCACATATCACATGTTGAAACTGATAGTGGAAGACCAACACAAGATGGCCCCCATGTTGCACTGCATTAGGAACAGACATGACTCAATTTATTCAACGTTATTTTAATTTTCTGGTTTGACCTCAGTCCCATCTGTTATAACATAAAGAAGGTGGGATTTTATAATGTGTACTTCAACTGGTCAGTAGGAGGGCGCTCTAACCCCCAATTTCCACCACATCTGGAATGGCTGCAGAAAGGCCGTATCGATCAATTTCCACCGGCTTCTTTCCGTTCCGTTGCGGATCGGCAGACTCTGCAGCTAATCGCAATAATACTATTTTTTTTCAGACACCGGAGCATGCTGCATAAATTCAGCACGGATTAGTCTGTGCTGGAAAGGAGGTCAGGCACATATACAAAATAAAATATCTGGCTTCTTTTCAAAATAAAACACTACGTGTTTCAGGCAGATCGTATTTCACACCATGCAAACAGGTGGGAACGAACAAGAGATGCTGATTTTAGAAGTCTAGAGGTGGGTTTCCTCCTCTGGAAGGACACAATCTACTGTTTTTATGGTTATGTGGCTGGCTTTATAGAGACAACTCATTATTGCGTGATTGCACGTGCATCCGCGGGTTCTTCGAGTTCTTGCGATGTCTGTAATCCGCCACGAAATTCACCTCACAAATGGATCCAGTGGAAATTGGCGGACGTTGAAAATCACAGCCGCTCCGGATGGGAGTCTTTCCGGATGTGGTGGAAATTGGGGGTAAGTCTTATGGCACCACACTCAGCAAACACTTTAAGTGCACATTTTAATATACAATCTATGGTTTCAACTAATGAAATCAAACAGTTTTTTCAAATTGGATTACAGTTTTCCCACAACAACACATTAGTGTACCATCCAAACTAGTTAGATTCAAATTGGCTCACATTTATTCTGCACCTCCCACACTCGCACTTCAGTTTCCTCATGAAAGGCGTTTCAGCAGTGAATCCATATCACAGACTGATCTCCATGAAGCGCATACAAATTCTTCAGGAGGGACAAAAAAAAGCTAATTTGATTGATGATGACTGACGCGAGCCTCTATCCTGTCCTTATAATATAGTTTTCAAATCACGCCTTGTTTCCAAACGCACTTCAGCTGTGTTACAAGCCTTCAGCAATAAAATATCCAAAAGTCAGCTGCCACACTCTGCACCATTGACTCCATAAAACTGAGCCCAGAGACACCAATTTATCTGTCGGCAGCAGCCACAAAGGACCAAAATATTACACTGTGTTTTGAGTAATGCCTGTTATTCACGCACATTTCTCCCATCCTGGTTTTTTCTTGTTTCTCTTACTGAAACTGAGATTACCATTCATCTCATCCTCGACAACATAAGTGCAACCAATTCTTGGTCTATCCTCTATAAACATACTATCAAATCCTCTGTGCACCAATATAGTCAGGAGTTTTGGGAGGAAGGATGAAGGAAACTGTTGTATTTTTGTACTAACTATGCAACTGTGAGGGATTTTGCAGGTACGAAGCCCAACATGTGATTCAAATTAAACAATAAAACTTGCTGCTGTTCCAAAACAACAAATAAAGCTCTTTTCGGATGTAAAACAAGAGCTTGGTTGGAGAAACATTAAAGTTTGCCAAGGAAGGTTTGTTGTAGTTACAGTAATAAAACACCAAGTACATATTTGCTTTATTGTGTATAGTAATCACACTGACAACCAAATGGTGGATAGTTTTGTTAAAGGTTTTCATGACCTGTCAATTCATCCCAACCACCTCACGGGGGTCTGCAGCTCTAACATTTAGTCACGGTACTTCCTGTTTGCTGCAAACATTACAGAGACCAACATTCTTGGGCTTTGGAGACTATTTGATTGTTGCTGGACTGACTCATTCACTACAAGAACTCAAACCATTACTGGTCAGAATGTCTCATTACTCTCATTCAGCACCTGTGAGGAACTTTCACTTTGAGTCTAATGCATATGTAAGTAGTGTTCTTTAACAGAAGAAAAGCACGTCCTGTTTTTAGGAGTTAATGTATCGCTCATTCAGAATCTTTGCAATAGAAATTTCACAAAAAGGTAGTTTTCTGCAACTCACTTTGACTGATACCCACCCCGAGGCTTTCAGACATTAAAATTAAAACTATGGAAATGGTAAACCTTTATGCTGAGGGTCGTTCTCATAATAAAGCATCAATATAATGTTCAGTCCATTTCATAACGAGCTTGACTCATAGCAGAGGCTTGGAAATAAACTGCATTTACTGGACAAGTGTTATTTACTTGAAACACGTATTTAAATTGAACTGTACTTATAGCACTTTTTCTGTCTTTTCTTACATGCCACATTCACTCATTCATCCAACATTCAGACACTCAAGGCAGAGGCCGCTATATAAAGCACCCATTAGTATTAACTAATTCCATTCACACACCATGGGGCGCAGCCATCGGGAGGGATCACGGAGTCAAGTGCCTTGCCCAAGGACACTTTGGCATGTATACCTGGGGTCAAACTCCCCACTTTTCAACTGAGAGAGACCGAGAGCTGCCCTTAAAGTTTGAAGAATCTTTTACAGTCACAAAGTTCTTGTTTGTGGCCTGTAATAATTTAAACAGGTTTAACATCTACAAAAATAATCTCAAATCAAGTGTAATGAGATACCTTGACTAGAACTTATACAAATACTCTCGGTATTATATCGATTAAGAATGCTTTCAATGTGCACACTGAAACTGAAAAATTCTGTTACTGCTTGGAAACATGTTTTTTTGCTCAACTGGATATACCTTCACTGTTAAGATGAATGTGCAAAACGAGACTCAAGTATGACGTGGACACATCTCTCCTTTTTCTGGCAGCTAAAATTCTGAAATAAAAACCATTTGGGTATCCATCAATCTTTTTTTTTTCATGTTTGTTTTCAATGATAGAGTAGTAAATGCAATTTTTGAAGAAATCAGATATTTCAGATCTAAGTGAATTCAAAGCATCTATAGTACATCTTAAAACAAGTCTGGGGGTGATTTTTAATGAGTTTATTCATCTATGGGGGAAACTCAAAACATTATAAGAATGTGTAGTTTGTGCTTGAATGGATCACAGTCATGGTTAAAAAAAGGTATGTGCTGAAAATCGATTAAATTCAAATCCTCAGTTACAAATAAACAACTGTATTTTATTGTTTAGAACAACTGTATTCTAATCAGAACGGTCCAATGACACCTGACGCTGATAAACAAGACAAGCTTTTTCTGTGATGTTTGCGCAATAGAGGAAACTGTCTGAGCTCAAAGTGAGTCAGTATGTGTTTATTTTATTTCCCATACCTGTAGGGTAGGCATGGTGAATATAAGATACTGAGAGAGATGTATATTATATACATACATTTGCATTACGTTGTAAATAAAAAAGCCAAACTGGACATGGTGCAGGCTGCATACATTTAACCCTGCCTATCAAATGAAGTATAAATAATCAACATTGACTAGTCGGAACTATGTCCAAGGAAATAACAATGTTTATATTTCGATTTTTTTAGTCTCAGATGATAGGTGGAAGGGCCCAAACAGACCCCACTGCCTATCTGAAGAGTGAGCATGCTTTACAGGGTTATAGCGTGCGCCCTGCATGCTGGCCTTGGTGTCAGCATGGCCTCTGGCAGCCGACAAGAACATACATAAATGCCCTCAGGCTGAATCTATTCCTGAAGGGGGAGAGAGGGGGCATCAGGAAGGGTTTATTCAACCGACGGTGGGAAGGGGGAAATAAAGACAGCAGAAGATGAGAGGCAGTGCAGTATAGGAAGAAATCGATCAGCAGCTCAGAGAAATGATAATGCTAGAGGAAACAGCATGAAAAACAACAGACACTATAGGTGGACGGGGGCATACTGAAAAAGAGAGAAGAGGGAATGGGGTAATTTATGCAAAGAGTAGACGGTGGTAAGAAGAGAGGGAGGAAGAAAAGAAAGAAAGGGAAAGTTAAGGGAGTTAGAGCAAGAAATCTGCACCTACGGCTCCCTGCTAGGAACATGTAACATGAAAGTGCGCAGTGTGCAGCAGAATACCTGCATCGATGTCTCTAGAGGCTCCTTTTAACTGGAATAACTGAGATCCTACTTTCATTCATACACACACACACACACACACACACACACACACACACACACACACACACACACACACGCAGAAAACAGAGCCTATAAATACCCATGTGAGAGTGAAGTGTCCTTGATAACACAGTGAAATCCTTGAGCAGAAACAGGCAGTCAAACCGTCGATCAAACTGCTCTGTGAGACCAGCAGAGATAAAGATGAACACAGTCCTTGCTGAGCTTCTCCTCCCCACAAGTGGATGCATATTGTGGATTTATCAAGAATACTTTTGCACATCAAAGCACAAACATGTAGATAAAGCGGTTGATGGGTTGCTGTTTGCTGAATCCGTTTTGTTTCACAAGCCTTGGATCTGACTCTCTCCAGGACTTTTTATGCTTAGATATTTGTTCGAGCCGTTTGGGAGAGAAAAAAATGTGCACTATAAAAAAGTCATACGTTCTGTTAGACTACCAAGCAGCTGATGTTTAGAGTTTCACATTTGCAGCCTTGAAAAGATTAAAATGTGTTGGTAACACTTTATAATAACGATCATTAGTATGTCATTACCTAATGGTGAACAAATAATGAACAAAACATCAACAAACATTTGTAAATGATTAATTGTTAAAAATCACAAATATTTTGTAAGTCATTTGTAAATGATTTGTAGACTATAAAATATTTCAGAACAAATTATTAGTAAATGATTACGGAATGATTTGTTGATGTATTATGAATGACATGTGAGCCATACGAAGTGAATGCAAGATATTGGAATTAATAAATGCTAATATCACAAACATGTTGTTAGTTAGCCACAAATGATTACTTAATTGTGAAATATTTATGTACTAATCATTAGTAAATGTATACCTTTGTTTAGGTTTACCTTTATTGTATAATTAATGAGGCCTTTTCTTCACCTTTTATAACTGATATGTATTACTGAATCATTTATAAGTCATTTAAAAATGCATCTGCAGCCCCCTAATCTAAAGTGTCAACAATTCATCACACCAGGGAATGTTGCATATTATTTGTAGTTCTTCCTTCCCTGTTACAAATGATCTTATTATGTAAGTAAGTGATTTACAACCTTTTCAGCAGCCATCTAACCTTACTTTTAACTTTTCATGTACTGAGGAGTAGCACACAAAACTGCTCCTCATCTGTGACAAAGAACCTGTAAATATATAAGCAGAACGATACCATCTGAATCAGCTCTCCTGAGCCTGATGTAGATAATCAGATTTTCTTAATGTAGAAAAGGAACCAGAAGTTTTTCTAATAAGTTGGAAGAGAATGAATTAGAAATAAATATGGATTTTGTTTACATTTGAACATTACAGCGTTTCCTTTTTTTAAGTGGCTTTTAACATGATCAAGCATAAAAAGCTACAAAAATGTTTCATAACTTGTTACACAGCTATGTTAAACGCTTGGTTCTGATCAGTCAGTACTCGATAACAACAGTCTGTTATTTCTCGATAACGACCATTGCCATGGAGAGCACATCATTGCCATAGAGAACCTTATTCCACACACAAGTCAAATCAAAATATGGAAGGGGGTATGGGGCATTCCCCCCTTTACAGGTGAGAGTGTGACAAAAATATTACTTTCTGTAAACATTTCAGGGGGAAAAAAAGACTTAAAAATATGGATATTTTAAATTAGACTTTTTGTTCACTGGAGTTAAGATTCAATGTTTAAGACTGGGCACTCATCATTAATTTAAAGTCATAGAGGGATGTTCAAAATCATGGGGAGCTTGATCAACGTTGTCGAACTCAGTGTGCTGCTGCAAAGTTCATAATCCATAGATCAACTTAATTTTAACTTAAAATGCATTTAAATATCTTTCTACTAAAATTAACAATCTTGCCAAACACTATAAACGTGTACTGGCTTAAACATTACTGTTATATATAGATATCTCAGAAATTGCCAGCAGTTATTTGACACATGATTTTTTTAGCGCTGCATTATAATTCTCAAGTGTTAAACACATCACTAAAAACATAAAGGGAATCTTTTCACATGCACTTAGAGACACTCCAAATCCAGGTCCTTTGCGGTGAAGGAGAACTGCATATTTACTATCAATTTTCTGTGCATATTTTAACCTTTATTACCCAGAGAGGCGCGCTCTTTATCAGCAATGCAAAAAAGTTAATTGCCCTGGGACTCAACCAGCATTACATTAGATTTACACAAACATAATGAGCCTGCATGGACTAATGGGGAATTAAAGCATCTGTACTCAACATGAAGTGGTTTATTTCAGCTGATTTCACATCGTTTATGCATACTTATTCACATGTTCATGATGTAGGAGTCAAATTAGGACATAAATTATGAGCTATTCCTCAGCTATGACAGATTCATCTCAAGGACTATCTAATACATTAGTGTTGAAATTATCCACATATACTTTCTGTATAATTAGAAAAAGCTTTCACACCTATAGTCCATGTTTGTGCTTATAATATACAGCTTTTTGTGGAGAAATAAATATCACCTATTTTTGGGAATATTGAAAATAGATACATTTCCACAGATGAAGAAGTCCAAATTCGGCGAAATAAGGAGTTACCTGTCCTAGATCTCTTGCAAAGGCTCTCATCCTCATCCTCACTCTCACACACACACACTCACACGCACAGAAAAGCTTAACTGAACTACGGTGTGTTTTAAGATAAGGCTGCGGTCAGATAGACTGTGATCAGGGCTACGACCTGTGAGATAACAGCAGCTCATTTCCATCGGCTGTCCTTGTAGCTTCACACACACACACACACATGCACACATACACACACTGTAGATAGACACACACTGCATATTCACCAGACAGGAGGTCCCACGTTCCCCAGAAGAAGATATGACAAGCTTACCAGGAATTCAGTTCACTACTGCTTAGCACATCACATTCAGATAAAGTTCTCTGAGGATAATACAAAAAAATGTATTTCTCTTAATCTCTTCACTATGTCCCCCTCCGTCCCATAATGCCTTAGGGTTGTTCGGGGCTACAAACTGATGCGTTTCCATCTTAAGTCTCAATCACTAGGCTAGGCTTTAAGTTGGAATTGACTTTCTGATCTTATGGACTCCTTTTTTGATTTTTTTACACCAAATGAATTCCCATTTTCTGCACCCGCTTGCCAGCAAATTAAGAGACCTCCTGGTTTCTGACCTGGTGAAGCTTCAGAGTACAGCAGACCTCTAAACCAAGCCTCTTTTGTTCTATCTTAATTTGGTTTGAAAAGACGTCTCTATACAGGAGTAAAAGTTAAAGGTTGGAAAGAAAACAAGTGAGATGGAGAATATGTTGAGTTAATGGAAAGGTGACTCTGGGATGAAAAGATCAGCATGTGTGTTTTAATCTCCCAGACCTCCTTACACGCACACACATCTCAGCGGGCGGCTGTCAGGAGAAGGTCCTGATGGAACTCTGAGTGAGAAGAGCAGGCGGCTCGCTGCCAACATAAATCAGTCATGCCCCTGAGCCACACACCATGAAGACACTGTCCTTGCTTCCCCTGTGTCTGAATGTATACTCACAGTGAACATAAAGCAGTGTGATATATGTCGAAACAGAGGTTTAAGTGCTGAGTGGCTCACCTGCTCTCTTAACTAAAAGGAACCCTTAAAAACAGAACGAGTGGGTGGGAGACTGTGGAAATGATCAGGGAAATGTCTGAGTCATAAACAGCTATCCTGCAGAATTCACTGAGGTGACCTTTTTGTAACACAGAGAGAAATTTAACAGCTGGTTCTCTGTCATGTCAGCCAAGAAAAAAGTATAAAGCCAAAAATATATTAAGACAGTTTTACACAGAATACAGATTTAATTCATTGGTCTGCTTTTAATGTAATGTAAAGTAACACTTCCGGTTTGATTCCTGAGTCAAATTAAATCAATCTGTGGAAAGGAGTCCGGCACAATTCACCTCTGCCTCTTAACACAGGGGGCAGAAAATGTTAGCGCACTTAACCCTCGAACACTGATTTTCACCCGACCAAACATGTTTACATGATTTTTATTATGTTGTGTTTGTCTGAGTATCATGGGTCCCTGGGTAGCTTCAGCATTACCTTTGACATCTTTGAAGGCATATTTGTTTCCCTGATCCAAAACCCGCTTTTTCCTTCAGGCAGGTGTTCAGGTGATTTTTACCCGGCAATAGTGATAGAGGGTAAGTAGGTCTGGGTGGATTTGATAGCTGCGTGTAGGGAATAAGGTTAAGTAAGAGTGGTCCTTGAATCTGCATGCTATCTTTATTTAGTGCAGTGGTTATGAATAACTATCACAAAGCAGTGATTTTCAAGGGGATTCATATGGTGATAAGAAATATTTTAGTCAGCTGGTCATTTTTACTCACTCTAATCTGCCATAGTTTGGTTCTCTCTCCTGCAGCTGTTATTGTGCCAAGGACCCTGGGTCTTCACCAGGGAAGACTCATATGCTCCAGGAATGGGTGGAAGGGTGGAAAAGAAACTAAGTTTACAGTTCCTATATTCTTTTTTAAATAATTTTTTGTTCATGAAAGCCTAATTTCTGTTATTTTGTTGCATTTTTATATGGTCCCCTCATGGCACTTTTTTCCCTCCCTTCGGACATTGCACAGTTAAAACTAAAAGAAAACTACTTAAATTTGTCATGTATTGTCCTATCTTGATATATTTTGATGACAAGTACTTTTTCTTGGGTATTTTATTTCGGGTAAAAGTTTCCCAGCGATAGCGATGGTGTTATTAATTTTAGCGATAGTTTTCTGGGGTTAATGGGTGAACATAGGATATTTTTGATACTTTAAAAGAGCACAGAGTTTTAGTTTATTAGTTCATGGCTTAGCTGACCGGTCACAGATCCAGAGGGGAGATGAGCAGCACAGAAACTACAAGGGAGGTCTAGACTAGAGACAAGAGGAGAGTCAGCAAAAGAAGTTTGACTTGAGCTCAGGGGTGAAAGTAAGCCGGAATTCATCGGTACGTCGTACCGGGAAGACATAAACAGCAGGTTACAGCCGGTACAAAAACTTTCACTCCTGCAATGTATGTAGGCTACATTAGCTTACCGTGTTGCCGCACGTCGGTCTGCACTCTGCATTGTAACCGTGGTAATCCAACAGAACCATGCTGCTTGTGAGTGAGTCATATTTGCTTCCGCAAACAAACAAACGCCAGAGCGCTCAGTGCGAACTTTTGATTGGACGCTGGTTGCCTAGGCACTGGGAATCGCCTCCCGCCTTATGCGGAAGAAGGGAACTTTTAAAGAGACAGCTGCTTCAATTTTTATGCCGATATAAAACAAAACGCAGAGAAAATTTGATTTTATGTTCAAGAGAAAGAAAGATGCAGCAGATGATGATACTGTGGCATCAGAGTCGGCACCTTGGTAAACTTGGGTGTGCCCCTCTTGTAGAAAGCCTACGGATACAGTACCTGCAAGAACCTTATCCTACTTTCACCCTTGGTTACACAGCTATGTTAAATGCTTGGTTCTTTTTAGTCAATACAACAGTCTGTTATTTCTTGATAACAACTGTTGCCATGGAGAGCACATCATTGCCTTAGAGAACCCTATTCCACACACCTTATTCAAATCAAAATATGGAGGGGAGCATGGGGCATTTCCCTCCTGGCTGCTAAGAGTGTGGCCAAAATATTACTTTCTGTAAACATTTCTGAAAAACAAAACCAAGCAAAACTTTTTAAAAAAGCCTACAAAGCCTACGGATACCGTACCTGCAAGAACCTTATTCTACTTTCACCCCTGCTTGAGATTAAAAAAGGTAAGTGCTATGGCAATGTTGAAGGATGGGTTCGAACCCTGTCTGGGCCGTGTTGCCAACCTAGCAACTTTGTTTCTAGATTTAGCGACTTTTCAGACTCTCCTAGCGACTTTGTTGCTAGATTTCGCAACTCTTCAGACCCCCTAGTGACGTTTTCCTGAGTTTTAAGACTCTGACATGAGAGCACATATCGATGTTACTCTCCTGAACGGGTCATGGGTGTGCATCAAAAACACACAAATATACAGACACCCAAAGGACACTTGGGGGGTTTTAACTGAAAAATTTAGCAAATTAGGTGATGGCGTCATCTAGCAACTTCTAGGACAGCCACTGGCGAGTTTGCTTAATGAGGAGTTGGCAACACTGTCTCTGGGGGTCATGACCCCTCAAAACCTACAGCTGCAAGACGTCTCAGTCCTGCTCGACGTCAGGTTTCCAATCTGCAATAACAACCTAACAACCATACATGATCCCTCACTAGCTTGTAGTATTTTAATATATATAAGAAGGTTTGTTGGGGAGTATAATATATTCAATGCTTTAGGGGACACAGATACCAGGTCAGAACACACAGTGAACTGGACATGAACTTCCTTTTTATTCACTCTTTTTTAAGACATTTTTAGAAGTCCACAAAGAAAACTGACACACTTAAAACTGAAACAAAGGAATTTAAAAAGGATTTAAGACAACATGCAGATAAAACAATTGCCAACACGTGCATCTCCCACACCTTACTTTTTTCAAAACAATAAAAATAAAATAATCTGACTCATCTACATCTCACACATTGCACACTGGGCATAAACAAAAGATCTACAACCAGGGAGATGAATCACGTAAATAAAACAAAGACAGAACATGTCAAATGACCTACATAAAAAACTGTCTTTTAATCCTCTCTGTTATACTGGCATAAAATCTAATGTAAATGCCACATTTCTGATGTTGTTCAACCAGCCAGTTGAAGAACATGAACAACTTAGCATTAGTCTCTTGTTTCTGCCATTTAAACACGATGAATCAGTGGCCGCCCATCTGTCGCCTCAGAAATGTTGTTGTCCGGTGGAAAAAGTTGGAGAAGTCAGAGATCAGTGGAGGACCAGTTTAGTCACCAGGCAGCCCTTTGGAGGATTTTATCCGGCCAGTTGGCGGATGTTGCTGAGGAGTCTCCTGCTGTACTCTCTGTGGTCAATGGGTTGGACTTCCAGTACAGTTACCTTCACTCGAGTTTCGTCCTAAAGGAGGGAGAAAAACCATTTTGTGTTAAGTGAATTGTTCCCATGATGAAAGGACATTTTTAACCTCAGCTAGATTAGGCTCTGGTGATCTAAGTGTACCAACAGTTCTTTAAGCCTGTCAGAGTTTTCAGCTTGGGCATATAGATGCTTACTTCACACTGTTTTTAAAATGTTTGGACATGTTTCGTATTTTTTTCTGGTCCGAATGTTCAAGATCGTAAAACAAAGTAATAAAAGGAACGTCTTAGCTTCTGCAGCAAGGAAAATCTATATGATGAATATAAAATACAGAAGTTTGATAATATCGAGGGGGATCGAGGGAGTTAAATTTGATCTTTTAACATGTTTATAGACAAAATGATGTGAGAAAAGACACATTTCTATCACTAGAACCATGACTTGGAATAGCAACTGATCCTTTTTAACATCTAGTTAAAACGCAGATTCCTGAAACCCGCTGATTTGTCACACAGGTTACACATATAAACTAAAATTGTTGTGGTACCATTCAGATAATGTTGAAAAAAAATCTGTATCTTGGAAGGTGTTTTCTGAGAACCTTGATTTTCAGTAACCCCAAAACTCTGTTTGCACGTGTACAACATGCCAAACCATACAGACAACGCTGTGTTGTCAAAAATTGTGCCTGATACCTGCCTTTGTTTACATTTTCCACAGCAAATATTTACAGTGAGTGATACATTAAAAAACTATTTTCTTTTCATTTACACATGATTAATTCCAGGATTTCTTTAAAAAAAAAAAAATGCTTTAAGGCATTAAGGCACAGTTCAAAAAGGCTTGGAGCTAATTAGACCAAATCTGACATAACATCGGGAGCGTGCAGCACAAACTATTAAATATAATTTGTTCAAGGGAAGGAGCGTTCAAGGTCAAATACTCCAGAGGCAGATGTTGTGCTCTCGTCCGTGTTTACCTTTATTTTGAATTCAAAAGACAAAAACTTTTAAACACATGTTCTAATTTGACTTACACAAATAGTTCTTTGAGTTTCACACATAAGAAATACTAAGATACCACATAATTAGCACAACATTCTAGAGTAAGGAGTAGGAGGGATATCAGCCATGTGGCAGCATTTTTTGTTAAAGTCCGAAAAAGATGTTGCAGCTGAGTGCAAAACTTGTCATGCTCAAGTTTGTGCCAATATCAGCCAATCCTGAAGGCTTCAATATTGATATGGTATCGGAAGTAAAAAAGTTGCATCAGGACACTCCTATTTATCAGTTAGTAACTCAGCTTGCACAGCAAGTATCAAGGATCTCACATTTTTTCTGCACCTTAGACACGGCTCAGCACCTCTATTAGTGTTTTTAACACAAGGAGACTCACTTGACAAAAGGTGAGAACTTATACAAAAGCAATGATCTTAAAAGGACAGGGGAGAAGCCTTTACTTAATGAATGAAAATTAACATTCTGATCACATCAGTGGATAACAATCACTTCAGGGCCAAAAGCGTAACCCTAATATACAACTCAAAGCAGTTAGAGGGCTCAGGTGTTTTTGTTAAACATCGACACAATGAAAGAACATGTCGACACACACCTGTTTGTGGGGCCAGCACCATTCTCTGGTGTAGTGAATAATATACAGTATGCATACATTACATAAGGATCCCTGCTGAGCAGTATGAACAGTGCAGCTGTGCAGTTATTAAACACTGATGGGTAAGATGTTAATAAGATTTACATTAAATTTACTAATTTACCTTCCGCTTATAGACAAGCTGACCATGTGGCTCTGCTGTAAAATCTGGAGTGAAATATCTCAATGATTGGGGAGCTAATTAAGCCTCTGCTAAACAGAAATGATGCTGTGAAAGCTGCAAATTTTAGCACAAGGTTTTCTTCTTCAAGATAAAATCTGTTTAACATTAGTAGAGGACCAGCAAGATTACAGATAGATCCTATTTTCCTATGTTCATGTTGAACAGATCAGTGTTTACAAGGATTTCTACTTTTTCTAATCTTCTAAATTGACAAAAATATGTTATTATTACAGTCAGGTTGAATGTCATTTTCATCGAAATAAAACATATCCAATAGTCTCAGCTGTATATGCTGGTAACTGCATATGACCAGTGGCCTTTCTGTATGGATTTGCATGTTCTTTCCATGCATTGGTTCCCTCTGGCTTCACCTCAAACTCCACAGACATGCTTATTAGGGTACCTGGCCACTCTAAAATGCCCTTGGGTAAAAATGTGAGTGTTCATGGTTGTATGCGTCTTGTTCAGTGACAGCTGGGATTAGCTCTCTCCTTGCCTGACAAAAAGTGGTGCAGGGAAGAAAAATTAAGGACCTAGTGAAAAAGGTCAAGGGCAGATGAGGTTCTTTGATGAACAGAGAGAGAGAGAGAGGACTGGCCTGTGTGGTCCAAGCCATCAAAAGAGCTACTGGAGCTTAAATCTGTGAAAAAGTTCATGCTGACTTGATAAGAAGTGTCAGATCAGACAGCGCATCAGTTGGTTCACTGGTCACGGACCGGTCATGGGGCCCAATCTGATCCTTTTACACCTGCAGTGTAAAAGTGCCTGCAATGGACATGTGAGCATCAGGACCGGACTAGGATTTACTTCATCTGGATCCAAATAAGTATCCATAGGATGAGGTCTAATCCATGGAGGCCCCATCTTGCAACTTTCAGGACTTAAAGGATCTGCTGTCGGATACTACAGTGCACCTTCAGAGGTCTAGTGGAGTCCCTGTCTTAAAAAGTTGCCTACACAATGGTGTTCATAGAATGACGGGTGTCTATAACACAGGCTGTGTAAGTTATCAGAAAAATCAGAATAAATATGATCCATCTGTGTGTGTGATACTTTCTCCACTTTCAGCCATAAATTATCTTAATCCTTATTCCACGGCTTCACTGGGACCTGAATGTGATGTTGACACAGCCTGCTCAGAGGGTGATTTGTCGATGATTTTAAATGAATATGTCAAGAGTGTGTGGCTTTCAGCGCAGGTCCCCTCTGACAGTAATGTATTCATCGAGACAAAATCAATTAATGCACTTCAGATTGATGTGCACTCACACATTAGCGCATACACATCCATGTCCACAGACTAAAACACACACACACACACACACACACACACACACACACACACACACACACACACACACACACACACACACACACACAGAACCTTTATATAATCTAACACTGCATAATATCACAGATTTCATAAAAATAAGTGTCCCACCTGGAGAAAATTCAAAGCCTTATAAAACACTTGGACTCTAATATTGCATTCAGTCTCTGGGTGGGGATCGCGCACTCTTCCTCGAGGAGCATATATATTATCTTTGATAATCATTAACACAAATGCAAATGTAATGTTTATGAAGACAGGAGCACCCAGTGAATCCAGTGCTGCAGGCCAGATCTGATCATCATCATCTGAATTCCATTAACTCCACCTGTGGCAGAGAGATGAGGACCGTCGGTGCTGTAAAGAGCACACTGATGCTCTCCTTTCTCTGCGCAGCTCCACCTCACCACCTGTTGCCTGCACTAACATCAAGACCCGTGGTAGTTTTACTCGCCATCGCTTTGTACTTTCAGAAATCCCGCGATCAGCTGATACTTTTCAAACAAAAACTCTTCCTGCGTGCAAGAACATCCCTTTACATGTGGAGTTATTTGATAAACACCAACTACAAAGGCTTCCCGGCCTTTAAATCTATGTACACACAAGCACTACAGTCAGACTTTGTAAAACAAAAAGCAACTTTAACAAGTCCTTTTAAAATTACAGACAAGCACTTCATCAAAAAAGACGAGGATAAAGTCTGAAAAAGAAAAAGGGGCAGAAGAGTCAGCAGCTGTTTGATGTAATATTTATAGTTTATGGATGGCAGTAGTTGGTATTTTAACTTCTGCATTGCACCAAAATGTTGAAAAAAAAATGTTTCCATGCAAGAAGTTCAAGGAGTATTTCTGAAATATGATCCTAACCCAAACATAGTTGTTTTTCCTTCAGTGTCTTCTTGTTACAAAAAAAAAAGACAAAGCACACATTTTGTAACATCATTAATCCTCTTAAGCTCCGACGTTTCATTAAATTTTTTCGACTTCTGCGAAAACAAAGAAGCGGATGTCTGATCTTTTCCTCTTGTGTTACACTCACAAGTCTGCCAGAAAGAACTGAGGCTGAGGTAGAGAGACGCGCCGAGCGACTGAGCGTATCACAGTCTCTCCTCGGTGTTCATCCGTTTGAATCAGAAGCTTTGAAACGAAAACTTCGACAAAGACCGGCTGAAAATAAATTTGGGGTACATTGATGAGTCTTGTGTGAAGTTTGGGCTCATTACTTTTATTTAGCGAAAAACATAGATGATAAAGTTCTCATTGCTTCTGATTGGCTCAAGATAAACTCCACTAAAAACCTGATTTTTAACCAACAATGTGAGGAAAAGGTGCGTGAAACAAACTCAAATTCAAACTGGCATGAATATACTGAGTTTGGTTAAAAGGGTGCGAAAAATACATCCATTTTTTAACAGTATATTCTGAGAGTAAAACTGTCAAAGCAGCAAAATCATCAGTATGCTGTTTGTTTTGACATAATCTTCACAAACTTTTTGTTTTGTGGGCTTTAATGAATTTCCCAGCATCTGTTTGTATTGATAAGTAGTTCTGGTTTACTGGTTTTTGGGGTAATTAGACACTAGAGCTTATCTCAGTGAAAGAGATGACTGTACGTTAATGAGATTGCAGCTACAGAAAATATGCATTCCTTACAAATGTCAAACATTTTTTTTCGTCGGGAACTTGAAGTTTTTGAGTTAAAAAAAAAAAAGGCTTCTGAACTCTGCGTGGCGTTCCTCGTAGGGTTTCTTGCGGTCAGGATTCAGACCGTTCTGAGCTCATCCTACATCTCAATCATTCCACTCAGACTCTCGCTATGTGCCCCAAGTAGCAAATTAGCCTCTGAATAATTAAGCTAATTAGGCTTAGACAGACAATAGCGAAATGCTAATTAGCGCCTAATTAAGAGCAATGAATTCACAGCTGTATTTGTTTTTCTGTTAACCAGAGCACACTGGCTTCATAACAACTCCCTTGTCACTGTGATTCTAATTGAAATGGTTTTGAATCTGTGTTGTGTGACCGATATTGTGTTGTGTTTATTTTGCACTACTACGTCTTGTTTTGTGGCCTCACGTGATTGGTGGCTGTTGCTGTAACATATTTATTGACAGCAAGCAAAAAAAAAAAACATCTTGGATTTAATATTGGGGTGTATTACATACTACTACTACACTGCAAAAAAGGAATTTCAAGAAAGGAAAACAGCCTAGTATTGAGGAAATAAGTCTTATTTTTTGTACAAAAAGAATATTAATCTTGTCAAGCATGTTTGACATTAGAAAAACTATCTAATTTTAAGAGAAAATGGATAACTTTTTTTATAAGATATTCCAGCTAATTTTGAGATAGAATAAACCAGAAATAGAGTAGAAAAATGTTTTATAGTAAAATCCAGCGGAGCAACAAGATCATTCGTCTCATTTTAAGAGTAAGACATATGTACATCTTCTCAATTTAAGAATGCCATGAAATAAGAACAGTGGATTTCCATTGCAGGTCATCTGAACCTGACAGAATCTGCTGCCTCCTACATTATCTGACATATAAAGATGTCAGTAGGCTAGTCTGTATAACGGACAACATAATACAATGACCAAATGAAAACTGCAAAACAAAAATAAACAATTAAGACCATGCTTGCTTTCCACATGCCTGCTTGTGGAATGAAAAATATATATCTAATGAGAATGTATTGATATCTAGATTTAAGACATCACTTAAGAAATTATATCTTATTTGAACTGCTGTCGTGCTCATTAATAATCCCTTAAGGTGTATTTTCTTGAAGTTCATCTATTCAAGAGACTAACATTCTAATTTTAAGTAACTTCATCTTCATATATCATTGCTTGCTGTAGAAAAAAAGAGATTAATAGAAGATTTTCTGTCTAGTTTTAAGTTTCATTTGAGTCCATCAGGGCCAAGAAATTTGTTCTTATTTTGAGAAGCAAAAAATCTTACCCTAATGGCAGGTTTTTTGGCTTGATACAGGATTATTTGACTGAATATAAGAATATTTTGCTTCTTTCTAGTAGGGCTATTTTTGCAGTGTATGAATGGATTTCTTTTTGTAGGTTTCACAGGTTTTTTTTTTTTCGACGCTCAGGCTTCTGACGCACCTTCATTCATATCACTATTCGGGGAATCATCCCTACGCCTCTGCCTGCAACCAGCTCCTCTTAAAGGTTGCTGCTAATCAGAGCAAAGTTTGTGCCAATCAAAATACTAAATCTGTAAACACTGCGGGCTCTGCCGTCTCATCATGTTGTAACCATCAGACTTCATTTGTCATCGTCATGACAAAGGAGGTGTTACTCAGATCTGACAAGAACAAAATCCCGTGGGCTCGAAAAATGTTCGCCGCAACCGCTTTTAATGACTAAAGGTGGCCTCGGTTTCTGAAAGACACTGTTTTAACTCTCAATGGTGTGCTGTAGCTGGCTCCCCATTTTGGCGTTTTTGATTGCAAAATTGACCCTAAATGAGACCATTCAATGTTTGTACTACAATGCTACAATTGTTGTTTTGAAAGCTTATTTTTCCAGGACCATTATTAGCATAGAGAGAAAAATGAAATGCCTGCTGGTGTGTTTGTTCAAAGCAGTGATAAGACAGCTGCTTGTAACAGACATGCAGAAGCCAATCATGGGTCGAAAATCCCAGGGAGGCAGAGTGCATTGAAAAATACTCTCACAGCTTGCAGGACAATGATGAGCGCCATCACATGTCATTATTTCCTGCTCTTTTATTACTGGGAAACTAAATTGCATTGCATTGTATCAAATTGTATTGCGCTCCCTGTTTGTGATTACTCACATTGTACGTCTCCAGCTTGACTCTGTTTTTAAAGATGTGAGCGGTGAAGTTGGCTCTCTGAAAGACTTCATCAAAAGCTGCCTCATCCTGAGAAAAACACACACAGGGAAAAACACACACAAAAAAAAACAGGTGGAGACAAAGTCAGGGTCAGTAGTTTACAGGAAGTAGTCTGTTACAGTTAACCCTCAGAGCAGAATCGTGAAAGCAATTTTCTTGCCAGATGTGGACAAGCTGGTTAAAGGAGAGATGCGTGTGGCTGTAAATTGTATTTGTGTGCGTGTGTGTCTCTCACTGTGTCTCTGAGCTGTCCTAGCGTCTCCGCGCTGTGACCTAACAGAACCTCAGCTGTCTCCTGGAAGCATGTCACCCACTGGTTATCCCCGAAGTCTGCCAAGTTGGCCTGAGAGTCAGACAGCCAGACAAGATGATGAGGGAGGGAAGCAGAGATTATTCATGTCTGTATGTGATCACTAAAGTGGCAACATCCCTCAAAGTCGGCGATGCTGCATTAAAGATGCGCAGCGTATGCACTTACAGAGAGGAGGAGTCTGTATTTGAAGTTGGGGAACTCTCTGTTACACTTCTCGCAGCGGAAGAACCCGTTCTGCTGGTCGATAACCTTCTTGTTGCAGTTGTCGGATGGACAGGCCTTGTACAGACAGTTCTCCTTGCGAGTGTACACCACCGTTGCTATGCAGCTGAAATAGTCCGCCTAAGAAGATGAGAGCAAATAAGTGCAAGAGAAGGAAATCAAATTATTGGAACAGAGCAGCGAGATCAATGAAAACTACCAAATCAGATCCAAGTGCTGCAACTTGATTGTCTGAAAAAGCAGCAGTTAATTTGCAGGTGCTGCTCTTTTAAACAACACTCCACTGAGGAGAGATCTATCCAACAAATTGAGTTACACGCTGGACCAAAACTTTAAAACCAAATGAACCTAAAATGAAATCATCTTATTACAGAAAATGTTTGTACTGCAACCAGTTTATTTAATTTTACTTTACACCAGTTGTTCCCACCCGTACAGGGATAATTACATTCTGAACATCATTTCCAAAACACTGCATTAAATGTACCACTTTGGAAGCTGGAGCTGGAGCAGCGAAACCACCCCCACCAGAGCAGCAAGAGAAGACAATGTAACAGTATGATTCACCAGCTCATTACCATTTGGCCCTCAAAAGCATGATTCAAGTCGCTGAAAATGTGGAATATTGATAGAATACAAGACAACAGGCGCAGGAGAAAGGAAACGATGATAGAGGAAGAGTCAGGGCACCGGTGTGAAGGATCCTCCCCGTGCCCTGTTAAACTGGCAGCTCCTCTTAGTGTATTTTCATGAATATGTTGGTGTGTTCTTGTAGTACTAGTGAATGTTAAAAACATGAAGAGGGCTGAAGCTGAAGATGTTCCATTAAAATTTCAGAGTAGACCGATCTAGCTATTTTTGAGTCTTGAGTAAAACCAGTTGAAATTCAAATGAAGGGAAAAAAAACAGATTGTATGAAGAGTTCAAGCCCAGCATGAAACGGTTTCTTCTTTGAGGCTTTCCAAGCAAACACAGTTATTATCACAGCCAGGTGCAAAACTAATACATCCATGAATTCATGAGAGACAACTTCTGGCTTCCTATCTTTAAACTTTATGATGAACAACTAAATATCAGACAAGTATTTTTCAGAGTACAGCTTTTTTTTTGTAAATCTTAACCTTTCAAGTCAAACACACTGGATTAGAGGTGTAAAGATCCAAAGTCAGTTTCAGTTCAGTACAGTTCTCAGTACTGAAGTCTCTGTTTTTAGTGTGAATGGTCAAAGCAAACATGGATTGTTCAGGCTGTTGGCGGATCGAAACTTCTTGTTAGGGCCAGGATCTGAAATTTAGGCAGACCCTTTCCGAGGGCGAATTCCCTGCTGAAGCTGAGTTTTCTGGACTTTATGAAAAGGTTTCTGATTAAGAGCCCCTTCATTTTGTTTTTTATATGACCCAAAGTTTGGCCTCCATTCCTTTTATCACAAGCTGTTGAGATTTCTCTTACTCCAATTTTACTGGTTTGACTAAAAAACCTCTTAGAAAACTCGAGCTCATTCATAACGCTGCTGCTGCTGCTAGAGTTTTAACACTCAAAAGGAAAAACCATCACATCACTCCCCCTCTTAAAAAGTCTGCACTGGCTTCCTGTTTCTTTCAGAAAGTTCTTAAAACTGTTTTCAAAACTCTTCGTGGCCTTGCTCCTCCATACAATACAGATTTTCTGACATTTTATGCTCGGGTGAGGTCTCTGAGGTTCTTGAATGCTGTTAAATGATGCTCATGTGTCTCACTGAAGCACTGAAAAGAGAGTTTCTGGTAGACAGCAAGACCGCAAAGTTAACCAAAAACTTACCTTTTTAATCTGGCTTTTACTCTTTATTGATTTCTTTCCCCTTTTTTAGCCTTGGACTGCATTATGACCATTATTGTCTTCATACACGTTTTCAAATCTATTTATTATTCATGTAACTATTCATCTCTGTTTCTAGTGTTTCTGTCATCTTTTTAACCTTCATTTTCTCTACCCTGTTTCTAACTCTACAATCCTGTCCTCTAAATGAACCAGGAGGTTGTGTTAAGAAGAATCACAAAAACAACTCTGAGGCTTAAAGGTGGGGAAGGGAGGAATTCGTTGAAGAAGCACCTTTTTTTTTTTGGTGTATTTACAAAAAAGCTTTTAATATCAGACAGTAGCTATTAGTTATTGATGACATTTGGTAATAATAATATGGCTGTGTTTTGATATGTCTGTGTAGTCAACATTTAAAATTTTTTGAGCAGCCCTCTCTTTCTGACTTTAAACAAAGCTGTTCTCCACCTCCCCCAACCTGATTGGTTGCGAGGTGGTCGCTGCTCCTCAGTGCTGATTGGTTGTGAAGCAGACGCTGCACCCTCGTGTTGTGAGGCACGTTTCTAGTCCTCAAATAACTATAGCGTGCTACAATATCGGACAGTAGAAACCAACCAGAAAGTATGGACAGTTGTCTGAATCCTCCTTTGGCCACGACTGCAAACACAAAAAAGAAAACAAAGTAAATACTGGAGACTCTGGAGCAATAATGGCGCTCAAAACGGAGGTAAACCGGACGAGAGCTAGAAAGCCGGGACAACATCAGTATAAACGATGGGGGACGCTTCAGGATCTTACGTACTCTGTAACCTTTCTCCTGGACAGGTAAACCACTTTAACAAAGTAAGCCAAGTGTCTGTAACAGAAGTGTTTCTTGTCAAACGAGACCTGCTGCGTGTTGTAGCGCCACTACACTGTTTACCTGGAGTATGTCACTTTATCCTCGTTGTAGAAGTCCTGCAAACATTGTGTTTACTGGTAGTCTGTTGGCATCTACAGTAGCACCAATGCTGTTTACATTCACGTTGACTGGGCCCCATTTGTCATTATATGAAGTATTTATCTGAATTTAATTGTAACGATACGAGCGAGCAGGAGCGTCTGTTTGTGGGCGGGGCTTGGGGAGAGGAGGAGCTGAGGGGAAAGCTTGTTGGGAGGGGTAGTGTTTACATTCAAGATCTCTCCTAAAAACTGGCACTTCCTCAGATCCTGCCTACCCCACCTTGAAAGAAGGTCTGTCTGTGTCCCACTTAGACTTGCGTAACAGAAAAAAGAAAAATGAATCCTCTCTCACTGTGTGTAAGTCATCACATTTACATAATCTACATTCACAGAAAAAGCCGAATGTATTATCAAGACTGTCACTACTCTCCTCAAAGCAGCATCTTTAAAAGGTGACTTATGAGCGTGACCACGAGAAGAAACTTTGAAGTGTTTGTTCGTGTAGGAGGCTCCGTATTAGAAGATGAACAAGACACCAGGTGGCTTGGGCTGTAAGAACACAATGAATAATAACAAGTCAAATTAAAGAGTCGAGTCCACATGACAATGGTCGGGTACGATGACCAATTTCACAACTTTCCGTGCGTCAAACTGTTTTGGTTTGGCTACAACAGCTGATTACTTCAAAAGGGTAGATCTACTGCCCACCATCACCAAAAAAATGTTTCCTGTGAGCTGGAGAAGTTGAGATAAAAAATAACTTATCCGGTCGGATGAATCTCTGAGGGTTTTTTAAAAATAAATCTGTCTTCTAGTGAGTACATTGTTCAGACACAAACAACAAAAGTACACACACGGCCATAAATAATCACAGCACAATACATCTTAGTGAAACCAGAAACAATACAGAGTCAGGACAGAAATCTGCTCATGATACATAACCAGGGACAGTTTTCTAAAACAGTCAAAAATTCATCCGAGAGCACAGACTGTATACTGAGTTTTGTTTTTCCACATGTACGCACACAGATAAGGAGGAGAGACTTATATGTGAGGAATAGTCGATGCAAGTCTGTGGCCATAAAAGGCTGGTCACTTAGCTGCAGTATAGAAAAGTAAGTGCTTCACTAATCTGTGTCATGGAAATAATCCTTGTAAAATATTAAAGGTGAATAACAGACACCAAATTTCACAGTTTGGCTGCCTTGAGGAAGGAGACAGTTTAGTTTTTATTCCTCTAATAGTCACCGAGTAAGGTTTTGTATGACAACTGCACAGGCCCTGCTCATTCATCATTCATGACCAAATTACAGCTTTGTGGAGGATACTGTGAAGAAAAGGTAAAACCATCATCAAAAACAAAACCCTACAGAGCTGGTTAATGAAAATGTCATTGATATTAGTCCATGAAAAACTCTTGGATGAAGTAAAAAAAAACAAATATTAGAAAAAAAAACATAAAACCTTTGGGTGAATAGTCTCAAGCAGATGGTCTGTTCTCATCCAAATGTTTTAGTATGATTTGGCATTTTTCTTGTACTGTCAATATTGGTATTTTTAAAATCCTCACTTTGCAGCAAATGTCATGAATATTATGAAGCCTGTCCAACTGGAGTCAAGAAAAAAAAAAATAAAAGAGACAAGCAGGAGCAAAAAAAGTGCTCCTTCCAGTGCAGGCAGGACATCTTTCAACAGTTTAAAGAATGCAAATAAGCCGCTTAGGGTGCAAAGAGAAACATGAAGTAAAATAAAAATAAATTCAGATCAAGCCTGGCACCGTTGGTAAAACTGATGCCAACGAGTCCGTCCAGCTGGTAGATGCATGCTGTTTACACATCTCTATTTGACTTCCAAACAATCTTGGAACAGTTTAAAAAGAGAGCAGAGGGAGTTTGAGAATTCAATGCATAATAGATGCAAGATGAGACGAATCTCTCTCTCTCCCTCTCTAATACATAAATTGTGCTCACATTCACAGTCTCTCTCTACTCCCATGCAAGGTTATATGCAAAGACCCAAACTTACACATTTGCAATACAGATACAATGAGCCTCTTTCCATTTTTTGAATCTAAATGAGCGCGTACGCAGTCGAGCTGAATCAAATTAAAATGCAGCGATGTTGTCATAATTTAAACAGATATTAGCACCTTAAGCGTCAGAACTCACACTGCTAAAATCAACAGCCAAAAAAAAAAAGGAAAGAAATGTTAATTCCGGGGGTAGAAAGGCTACTCGCTCATCCTGAGGAGAGGCACCGCATTCGATTTCCATAAATATAAACATAAAGAACGCACACAGCAGATGAACTGGGTCTCACTGGGAGGAGGAGAGAGCACACGCACCCGTCTTCACACAAACACACTGCTGCCAATAAACTGACACACATGTGCGAGCAGGAAAAGAATAAATACAAGCACACAAGTAAGAAACCCCAGAAAAATCCTTTTGCTTTTCCTGGCATCACCAGAGGGTATTTCTGCTACCAGGAGAGCCGGCCTTAAACAAGATGTTAGAATTACAGCCAGAATTTAAAATGAAATGCTTTAAAATGCGTTCTAAAACAACAACTACAAGCTCGAGCCGGGCCAGACTCATTACTAATGTTGGCCTAAATGAGTCTATCAAAGACTCTCTCTAGGACGCTGGCCAAAATTCGCGAACACACAGCGACCGAGCGGTGCTGTTCCTCGGTTTTGCAGCCCACACTTCTTGTTAAGAGTTCACTAAGGGCAGTGAATGTGAAAAGGCCATTGTGTTCCCAGCATCCCTTGTGAGATGGATGATGCTCTCTGTTGTCCCCCTGACCTCCACAGATACTGTCAGTCAGACTTAGAGCTCTGTGACACTTTCTCCCCGCTAGCTAACACTGACTCACAGCCTCATAATCTGTCCACCCATCCATCCACCCAGCGCCCATGCCACACAGCAAGAAGAAGCCCTTTCAAAACACTTGCAAAGGAGCTTTTTTAATTAGGAGAATTTTTCCCGTTAGCAACAGCCCTTCCCCCCCCCCCTCAGTGCCGCACTCCCATGTTTCCGCCCGCCTGCCTGCCTCATCATATTTCGCAAACTTGGGTGGATTGGAGCGCTGCGAGGCTGGAGAGGTGGGAAGGCAACGGGTGGGGAAGGTGGTGCGGAGGGCGCATGTGGCGGGGAGATGCTGTCTTTCAAGGGGGGGATTGTCAAGGGCTCATGATGTTGGCAGAATGTGAAGACAGAGGTCAGCAGGATTTGGACCACAGCGATTCAATCACAACCGGACCACTCTAAATAAATCCCCCTGCATTTGCCATCATCTCCCCTGTTCTCCCCGCTCCTTCTGCGGCTTTCGCTCTGTCCTTCTGTATTCCAGTGAGTACACAGAAGCCTTGGGGCAAAGTCTTAACCTTAAGCACACTGAGGAGAACCTGGAGGAGCAGCATGACTAATGCCACGCACAAAAACAGACACACAAAAAGACACCCTAACACACTAATACGTGCGCAGAATCACCTAAAGATTCGTTCGCACACACCTCTGATATTTTGGAAATAGTTTTTTATTCTTATCACACCAAATCCCTGTGTCACCTCTGGCACCTAAACGCAATTAAAATTTGTATGTGGAAGGGCAACCAAGTGAAAATCTACCTCACATAATTGACATGGCTGCACATGCCAACCTTAATGCTTGTCCCAAACCTCAACACCCACACCCACACACACACACAAATTGCTGTTTTAATTAGAAATGGCTTGTACACCTTCGAACGCACAAACAGAGACACAGTCACGCACATACATGCAGGCAGACAGGTAGAATGTCAAATTAGGTTCCCTCTGACTGAAAGCTAATGACTCAGTTTCTGTTATTAGAGGCAAAGCTGCAGCCTCAGAGTACGTGATAGACAACCTCCTCAAAGCCGTTCAATTACAGGAATGGTTGGGGGGACAGTGGCACAGAGAGAGAAAGAGAGAGAAAAGAGGAGAAGACAAAGAGAATACCAAGAGGGAGAGGAAAAGCTCAGAGTGAGGAGGAAAAAATCAGAGCTTGAATTATTTACACCTCTCACCTTTCAACTCTTTTCCCCACATATACGCCCAAAGTGTTCCTACCCGAACCCTCCTTTTTTTACAAATCTGCCAATTTTCTCCTCCTCGGGTCACCACTCTCTCCACTCCTTTGTCTTCTCTTTTTTCACTTTCAACGCTTTCGTGTAGGTTTGTAAGAGACGAGGAGTTTAAGTGTCTGCCTGGTTTTCCTACTCTTATCTCAATCTATTAATGCTCTCCATCCGAGTTCCTTTCCTCAGTGTTATGCCCCGTAGGCTTCCTCCACCTCAAACACATAATTAGAAGTTTTTTTATTAGAAACAAAACTGATCTTGAAGCTTCTTGTGAGTGGCTCCTAATTAAACATGAGGGATGAGGGAGACTAGCTGGAAGTTAACCCAGTTAATTACACAGAAAGTTTTTGAGTGGCGTACACCGCTTTACATGCAATCAACTTTCAGAGCAAAGTAAAGATAATCCTACATGATAACACTTCTTAAAATAAGGCAAGGATCAATTACGGGGTTCTCACGTGTGCCTGCAACAGTCTAAGGGTAGTTTAGAGCAGTTAGATAATATGAGAGCTCCTCTATCAGACTCCCACAGCTAACACAGGAGAACCATGACTCTAATCCATGAAGTCAAAGCAAGGCACAGCCTACAGCTGCTCTATTTAAAATGAAAAGAAGACTGACTGTGGATTTGTGTTCATCTAAAACGCTTACATATAAATGAGACACATTTCATAAAAATGACAAAAATCCATGTCTTTTCTGTTTGTTTGAAATCAAAGACATCTAGTATAACCTCCACAACCCCCCGTAACGGTAGCAGGCCTTTGTTTTTTTTGTTTTTTAAGCTCGCCCTACAATTTCTAAAATGTTAAATCCACTCATTGCAAGGACGGAGCTCCTTTTGCAGGAATTACTGCATCAGTGTGACATGGCATGAAAGCGATCAGTCTGTGGCTCTGCTAGGGTGTTATGGAAGCTCAGGTCCTTCAGCTTGTCTGGATTTTTGCTCTGAAGTCTCTCATCTTTCTCTTAATCATACTTCAGAGACTGTCAAGTTCAGGTGACACGAATCGGCGGGTCAATCAAGTTCAGTCTGTGGCCACAAAAACAGTTTCTGGTAGTTCTGGTGCTGTGGGAAGGTACCGAGGTAATCTGTATCTCCATAAAGCTTCTCGGCAGATGTAAACATGAGGTGACACACAAAGTGGATCAACAGCAACAGACGACATGGAACCCCAAATCATCACAGACTATGAAAACTTCACGCCAGACTTCAAGTACCAGACTCTGGGACCTTGACTTCTACATGGGATCCAAAAGTGACTTTCAACTGAAAACAGGACTTCGGACAACTGAGCCATTGTCCAGTTCTCTGGTTCAGGAGTGTCTTAAAGGTAGGAACATGATACTTGTAGTCCACTTCTGAGAGTGGTGGTTCTTGACGCTCTTCCTGTGAAGCTCTAAGTTTTTGAATCTGTTTCGTTTGGCAATCCTCTCAAGGCCACGGATATCTCTGTTGCTTGGTCACCTAGTCCTCCCACACTTTTCCCTTCCAGTCAACTTTCTATTATCTTGCTTCAATACAACACTCTGTGAACAGCCACCCTTTTCAGCAATGACCTTCTCTGGCTCAGCAATGATCATCTTCTTGACAACTATTAAGTCTGCAGTCTCCCCCATGATTGTGGTTGTGCGTACAGACCCAGAGTAAGCATAAAAGTTCGGTTAACCTTTGCAGGTGTCCCAGCGTTAATTAACTGATCGAGAAACTGGAGAAACAAGACTACTCCACATTATTCTGATGTTTTGAGAAAGTGGATTTTTGATTTTTGAAAGCTGTAATTCATAGTCATCAAGATTCAAACAAAAAAAATGTCTTGAAATATTTTACTCTGTGTGTGATTAAATTAGAAAATGTGGATTCTATTAAATTTTAAGGAAAATAAACTTGTCATCAAAGCCTTTGTTGCAAACTTCTGGAACAAAACCATGAATCTGAAACTCTCTTATTCTCAGGGACTGAAACCAAAACCTTTTGTTTCGTTCGCTTGTCTTACAACAGTGACAGATTTTCTCCTCTCAAACTCTGCCACACACACTAAACTCTTGTTTTCAAACAGCAGCCAGCTGTCCGAGTTAGAGGAGGATTTTCTGACTGACATTTCAATCTGCTACCAGCCAAAGTTTTCATCAAGACCCAGCTCAGAGATCTGAGCAAACAAACAACAAGGTTTACTTCAGCGGGAAAAAGCCCCTGGGCTCCGCTCCCATCTGCTCTACAGGCGCTGTTCTGTGACTGAGAACAAGCAAGTACAAAATATTTAATATGAAAGATAAAAAGAAAAAAGCATTTGGTTGTTAAAAAAAAAAAAAAAAAAAATTACTAAAATTAAAAGTTTCATAGTTTGTTTTGGTTCTCATTTTTGTTTTTTAATACAAGTCCATAATTGTGGCTTGCCTTGAATAATGCAGTTGGCAAAATATCAGTGCAACATCAGTGAAAGCGAATAAAGCAGAATTACTGTTTATGTAACAAAGTTAGTAAAGTCCTCATAAAGGGCTGAGCTCATTCATACTGTACTCAGAAGAAGTGACATGATTTATGTGACTTCTCCTTCGTTTATAAATGAACTATCTCCTGTTTGCATTATGAGAAATGATGATTGATTAAACAGGTTTACGGCAGCAAAACAACAATATCAACAACATTTTGCTGCACATGACTGGAAATATCTCTGGTATTCAGAGTTAGTTGGACAGAAGTAAACATCTTAAAAGTGACACTCTGAGCTGAAGGAAGTTCAAACAATGAGTTTTTTCAGACACTTTGTGAAATGATTAATCAAATCCTCAAAAAAGAAATACTAACTCAAGTTTAATCATCTTGTTAAGAGGGTCATTGTAGAGGTAAAAAAAACAAAAACTCTGTCAAACAAAAAAGAAATGCAGCTGTCCTCCTAAAAGACTTTTTAGTAAGTTTTAAAATTCCTTCATTTTACACAGGAAATGTGTGAAAAGTATCTGTTTATCATAAAAAAGAACAATTTGACCATGAAGTCAGTTATTCATGAGAAAACAGCAGTATTGGTTTTTTTTTTCATTTTTTACTTTAGTCAACCGAAACTTCCTCACTGAAGTGTAAAAGCATCTGTCTGGTTAAGCAAATCTGGTCCAATCACTTTGATATTCAGATTTTGGCCTCAGATAAAGTAAATGTGTAAAAATTTATCTTCTTTATCTTTACGCTGTCAACTGAAGCTATCTTCTTCAGTGATAAACCTCTGGCTGCATGGCCGCGTGAGTACTTATGTATGTTCGAACATGATGTACTGTATGTACTTCACCTTCTCCCTGTGTCCCAGCTGTTCATCTTTAATGTCGCTCAGAGATTTCCAGTTTATCCTTGTGTTGCCGCCCGCTGACCTCGTCTCTGTCAGGGATTGGCTGTTGAGTTTGAAGCCTACTTTGTCGAACCTACAGTGTGGGAATAAGAACACACAACAGTGCGTGTGTATAAATAAATGTATGTGCAAACAAGCGCAAAATAAAAACACATACATGTGAAAAACGTCATGCATTATTGAGGGAGTAAAGAGCCTGAAAGGAAGAAAAGGAAAGGAGGCTTTGTCGAGTTGAATGAAAAGGAAAAAGAGCATGACTAATAATTCCTGTCTTAATAATTAAACTGGACAAGTTATAATATTAATAATAGTCATCTGTGAACATTTTCAGGTACCTCTCTTTATACAGGGGAGGAAAACAAGTTCATGTGCTTACAAGCATGAATATGTATTTCATTAACATACTGTCGATCTGCAAAGAAGATTCTGCACTATATGAAAAACAGCACCATCTGTGATTATCTAAAGAAACCATCTCCAGCGTGACTGAATTACTTCTCTAATCCCCTAACTGATTTAAATCCACTGCATCTTGATGCTGCAAACGACTCTATCAAGCATATGGCTGTCGATCAAGAACGACCGTATTAACACATAAATCAGTTTTCACACCTGTCTTCAAATTTCAGTCCACATGCATTGTTTGTTTTTTTTAACCTGAGGTAAAAAGGAAATCACGACTTAGACGATTCATTAATCCACATTCTTAATATTCTCTTTTAAAATTCACTGTGACTCCTGCTCTGTATTCAAGCTGAGAAGAGCAATCTAATCAAGGCATCATCCAAATTCATCAGTTCCCTTCAATTTTGCAAGCGAGCCTGGTCAAAACAATCCCAAAAAGCAGCGTGTCGCCTCGGGAGGAGAGTCAGAGAGGAGCTTTTGTCTTTGTGAAACGCAGACCTAAATATTAAGGAGGTGTTAAGAAGCATGTTTGCCTCCTGACTAACATGCACTGCGATTCGCGTGTGGGTGTCGGCATGTTAACTGCGGAGAGGACCAAACAGAAGCAGAGACTGGGGAACAGAAAGATTTTTTAGTTAGGGAGTTCAGTGAGTGTCAGAATGAGATAATGTATTGACCAGAGACTATTCAGATCAAGGTAAAAGCAGGAAACCAACCTCTCCTCTGTCTCCCTTTCTAAAAAAAAAACAACCCCCCAGTAGCTGCTGTAATTGGTGCAACACATACATAAAAATGACCAAAATCAGAGTTCACAGCGCAGTAAGTCAAATTCATTAACCACACATTAAAGGTTGAAGGATTTCACAGAGTAAAGCCCACAGCGATTAGAAAACACAATCTATGAGCACACTGTTTGATGTAACTCTCAGCGTAAGAATAGCAAGAATAGACTTTTGCTGTAACATGCAGGTAATCACATACAGGTCCAAACATTAACATGAACAAACACACACGCAGACACACACACAAAAGACAAATGTATTTATATTTCAGCGTTGAGATGACTTTGGGAACAGCCTTAATGTGAGTGAATGAGTCATAATTCTAAATCCCTCCACAGGAGCCGCTAAGAAGAATCCAGTTTGATGCAGCTCACAGTGTCCCCCATGTTTCTGGTCATGTAAAGTTTAAGTTCAGAGAGGGATCTGGATTCATCCATCCTGCTTCTCTGTTTTTCCCTCAAGCCAGTCCTGTCTTCAACCTGCCCCACTGGGACTCTGGATGTACATCTAAGCAGTCTCCTGACACTTGATCATCACTTCCTTGCACTTATGTTCGCCTTGAGTGTGTATGTGTGTGTGTGTAAGTCTGTGCATGTGTGAGCAAATGTGCGGTACTTGGGATGAGGTGATTGGAAATCTGTGAACACTTAAAGGGATATTCCGGCGTAAAACTAATTTAGGGTTGACACAGAGTTAGACAACCCCTTGAGAGATGAATGTTGCCAACCCCTTGCTACTCTAGTTCTACCAACTTTAGTAACAACCGCAGGATAGCAATACACAGCGGTCTGAGGAGCCATAAACAAACCTCAACCGAAACGCTACTCTATAGCCACAAATAATGCTCAGAACAGCACCTAACTTCATCAACAGTACATGTAGGGTCCCAGCCACAGTATTAGCCACCAAACATCTTTTTAACTTTGCCTAATTTCTTTAGCAAAGAGACTAAACACAAGTCACCCACTCTCCTCCAGCAGCCGCTTGTTTGTAGCGAGACCGCAGGCTAGTCCATTACGGACTGCTGCGGGGTGTCGCAGCTCAAGGAAGAACATTTATGATCTTTATAAAGCACTGGTCAGAATTCTCGCTACAAACAAACGGCTGCTGGAGGAGAATGGGTATGTTGGGTTTAGTCTCTTTGTTAAAGAAATTAGGCAAAGATAAAAAGATGTTTGGTGGCTAGTACTATGGCTGGAACTCTATATGTACTGTTGATGAAGTTAGGTGGGGGGTGTCTAACTTGGTGTTACGGTGTGTTCCACCCTGAATTAATTTTACGCCGGAATATCCCTTTAAGTTGCTTACAAATGTGTGTGTGTGTGTGTGGGTGAACATGCTCAGAGCGACTCACCAGCCCCTCAGTAAAAAGGCCTGGGGTATGTCCGGGTTGATCATAACTGTCGAACTGAACGAAGCAGAGAGAGATCTGCCCCCAAAATCAGACAAGCGAGCTCCTTTGATTGCGACCACCGGCTGCCCTGAGCCGTCAAACTTCTCAGCCTGAAGGGAGGAAAAAAAACTCGGTTAAAAACAGCAACAGAGAAGAAAGATGAAGAAAAAGAGACGACAAAGCAGAGGCGTTATTGTATCATAAATGTTCAGTCTGGTTCTGCAGCTTGGATAGACTAGAAAGTGATACAGGGTATGGTTTTCTTTTATAATTGGCCAACCTACAAGTTAATTTGAAAGTCACTTTTGGATTTTGGCAAAGAGAAGGGATTAGCTCTTGCAGATTGAATGAGCTTAGAGAAGAATAGTGCCATTTCATGCACATTCGAGAGTTATTTAGCCTGCTGTCTCAAATCAGGGACTCGGGTCCAAAACACTCCTGAAGGTCAGGGGAATGATTCGACCCATCCAAAATTTTACAGCCCCGAAATCCCAATCACACAGCTCTGTGTCAGAGCACGCAGAGACACATGGGCACGTGCACGGCTGGGCATCTCCACGAACACACCATTAATTACAGCCTGCTCTGCGCGTTTTTATGTTAAAACCCCAAATCCATCCCTGGATACAGAGAGAAAGAGAGAGAGAGATTATAGTTATTACCTCCTCTCCCCACAATGTGGCCGTCACCACTTTGCCAGTTGTGTCTATTAAGTGGAGGGCCCTCTTGGAGACTTCTTTGCTGCTCTTAGTGGTGATACGGGACACATCCTCTGCACTCTTGCACACTCCAATCACATCTGCAGGCAAAGAGAGTCATTTTTTTCCACATCTCTGTCTACATTTCATGAACAGAGCAGAACAAAGGGAGTTCAGAAAAGGAGGGTGCATTATGTGTAAAGTCTGAAAGTACTTCCTCTACTTCTCGAAGCAGTACTTTGTCATTACTAGTCTTGCTGACTTGACAGTTGTCCATAGGATGATAATTGACACCCGCCGCAAAGAGAGTAAACCCAAGAAGATCACTGATGGAAAAGCAGGCTATTTGTTCGCAGAGTGCTGTATCAGAGCATGTTGACAGAAAGCTGACTGTTAGAAACATGTAGTGGGAAAAGGTGCACTAGCAACAGAGATGACCACAGCCTTAAGAGGATTGTTGAGAAAAGTCAATTCAAAGACTCTAAAGAGCTTCTCAAGGAGTCGACTGGTGTCAGTGCAGCGAGAGAGGAAAGAATGCACAGCTGTTATCAGAGAAAAGGACTACAACAGTCAGAAGCCACTCCTGAACATAAGAGAACATCACAGGCATCCTCTTATCAGGACTGGACTGTGTCTTCATGGTCCAAAGTCCTTTTTTCAGATGAGAATAAACTCTGCATTTATATATATGAAGGTCCCAGATTCTGGAAGAGGAGTGGAGAAACCGGAAGCCAAGGTGTTTGAAATAAAGTTTACTTAGTCTGTCTTAATTTGGGTTACTATGACATCTGCTAGTTTTGGTCTACCATGTTTTACCAAAGAGTCGATGTAGCAGTCTATTAGGGATGGGCGATAAATTATCATTCATGATTTCAGAAAAATCCTCCATGATATTATTTGCCATCTTATGATAAATAAGCAAGTTGATGACGTAAGTGCGGGCGATGGACTCGCAGCCATAGCCCACACAGAGCAGAGTAACAAACAAACATGGCCGAAGGTAATGAAGAAGACATTTCTGAGCAGCTCGTTACTGAACGAGGCTCCACATGAGGGATTTTCTTCAAGATTGGGGCTTAGATGAGTGCAATCATGTTTGCCTGGTGTGGAATGGTGGATCTGCTGCTGTTCACTTTGTGCAATAAGAGTTTAAACTTGTGGTTAAGTATCTTATTTGACTATTCCAACTGGTGTTCTCAAGATAAAATGAGTCAAAATATTTGGACTGGGATCATAATATTTCTTGTCGGGACTTTTATCGTTAACACCAAAATGGCAAATCTTATCGTGATGATTTTTTTAGCCCATATCGCCCATCCTTATGGTCTATACCAAATAAATTTTAGAGCACTTCATGCTTTCATCTGCTGCTGAACCTTATGGAGAAGCTGATTCCTTTTCCAGCAGGACTTGGCACCTGCCCACAGTGACAAAACTACATCAAAACAGTGTGCTGACCATGATGTTAGAAGGAGAAGAGAATTCATGGGATATTTATCAAGAGGAAGATGAGAGACACTTGATGTATTTATTAGTCTCAATGAAGCCCTAACCATTCTTGAGTGAACAGATGAACATACAGTACTTTCTAAAATTGCACTTTTCTGTGTATTAAAACATTTTTTGATTGATCTTAGGAAATTTGAGATAGTGTATTTCTGATTTTTATAATCTTTGAGCCCATATCAATAAAAATGAAATTAAAAAAAGACTATAAATATTCAATTTTGTGAATTAGAATATGAAAAGATAAGAACTGTAAGTATGATCCAGAAATGTTAGCAACTTCTCTGGATCTGAGGTGAAGTTGAAAACTTTTGTGTGGTCTGATGGATCAAAATTTTACACTGTCTTTGGATATTATTGCAGTAGCATCCTGCTCTCTGAAGAGACGGAGGACCACCCAGCCTATTATCAGTGCACAGTTCATCCCTGAGGCATCCCTGATGATGTGGGGGTGAATAAGTGCCCACAGGATGCCTAGTCCACACATCCAGAAAGCCACCATCAATGCCGAGCCACATACACAGGTTTTGAAGCAACATCTGCTGCCATTTGGATAATGTCTTTACCAGGAAAGGTCTTAAATATTCTAGCTAGATAAAACCAAACCACATTCTGATTATATTACAACAGCATGACTCCATAGCAGGTATAAATATAAAATAAAAATAAAGATATAATATGAAATTCTTCACTGCTTTATGTTTTTGTTTGTGCTTAAAACAGTCTGACAGCACTCTATTAATGCATGACCTGTGTGTGGCACTGAGTCCAATCACATTATCCTCCTCTGTGTTAGTACTTTGATATGATTTTTGTGGATCAATGCTGTGTCAAAATGCCCCATTATCCCAGTGTAAACAAATGTTTACGTATGAATTGACTCAGATATAAGAGTTTTAGGGTTTTCAACAGGAATCCTACTCTTCATCTCCTGATATCTGCATCCCAAATTCACCCTCTGGTCGAAAACTTGACAGAGCCTCTCGTTTCTGTTCTTTTCACGGTGTGAGAGGCAGTGCACCTGTGTTTAATAAAACCCCTGAACAGTATTACTTTATAGATTTTGTCAAACAGTCATTCTCTGAACTCCATTCCTCTGTCTGCTTCCTCTGCTAACCTTTTTCTTAGGCCTCCCCCCTCCTCACCCCCTTCCTCTCCTCCTCTCTGCCTGCTCTCTCTCAGCCCTCCTTAATTCCATTATGATTGAGACGATGTCATCCACCTCTGAACTCCATTATCACCACAGGAACAGGCTGACAGTTCTCATTACCATGTTATAATCCCCTATTTAACAAAGGAGCTGAGAGAGAGGCAGCAGAGAGAGAGTGAATGGAGACACAACAGCAGACACACACACAACATGTAACACCGGCCCACTGTGATCAACACAAACACGCTCCTGCAGGTAAACTGCGTGGTGTGCTCGTACATGATACTGGTTTCACTTTACAAGATTGCTGCGTAGAATATAACTGAACATGAATTTTACATCCTGCAGATAAGAGTATGGTGTTAATTCTTCTTCTTCATGTGCTCTCATTGTCTCTCTGATTCACTTTGTGCTAAAATAAGATGAAACCCCTGCTTGTGCAGCTAAAGAGCAGTTGCCTTCACTCTGCTCTATTGTGTGATACAAACTCATATCTAGGTGTCTGAACAAAAGCACAGTGGACACAAACATCTTTGTAAGGAGAGGAGACAACAAAAAAACCACAGGTAAGAGGATGAGGATTTTTATCATAAGATTTGGTTTAAAAAAAAAAAAAAGGAAAACACTTTTTAGTTTAAATCCTGCTTTAAATTTATGATGCATCACATCAAATTGTCTTTGTTTTGGTATTTTTTTAACATTATTTTTGCAACAGGTGCAGCTTGTTAACACACAGCGGGAACACCACAAACATGCACTCACATGCACACAGCTCTGCTACACCCTGCCGACGCTGCACATCGGATTTACCGTAAGTATTTCTAGTTACTCCTGTGAAAAACTTCTGTTTGCCCCTGTGGATAGAGCAGGATGATTTCTCTGTGCTGTGTGAATAAATGTTTGTATTTTTATCAGGGCAAAACTCGGTTGTTTATTCCACACTTGTACTGAAAACTTTTAAATTATACGTAAAAATTGAACAATTATTGATTTTAGTCTAGATTAAGCAAACAGGGGTCATAAACTTAGATAGAATATTATGAATGTGTCTAAATCTTAGACTAAGACCAGAAGCAGTCTTGATAAACTCTGTCTCTACTACTAAAACATCACCGTAAAACCTGTGCATCATCTGACTGAAAATATTGAGCAAACTGCCGAGAGCATGATATTGAATCTGTAATTTTTGACCCCAATCTACACCTGGACCATCCCAATTTACCTGTCCCTGAGATAAGACTTTCCAGTCAGGAAGAGAGGGCAGGCGCCGCAACTAACCTCCACAAAAACAATGGAATGAACATCATCCTCCCTTTTTTATCTCTTGTCTTTACCGTGTGCCTGAATTAACCTTCACTCTGACCCTGTCATAACATTTTCCTCAAGGACACCTGGTACATGACTGACAGGCATGTGCACATGTCTAGAAGCTCAATTTTTCACCGTCTTTAATATCTACAGCTGTTAATTGCCTGACACGTCAGAGATAGTCAAGCTGATAAGTTGAACATTGTTATACTGGCAGCAGCTCATATATTCTGTCCTGACACCAACAGGCCAGTTTTTGATCGGGCAATGAAGAAATTTGATCACGGGAAGTTTGAACAAGTAGTTTAAAGGTTACAGAGAGCATCTACTTTGGCGCGTACGCATAGATTAAAACTTTCTTTTTCAAAAACTTTTAAAAGCACTTAAAGGGATATTCTGGCGTAAAATTAAGTTAGGGTAGACACCATAACACCAAGTTAGACACCCCGTCGAGAGATGAATGTTGCCGACCGCTTGCTTCTCTAGTTATAACAACTTTAGAAACAATTTCTTCATGGAAATGCAATCAGACCGAGACGCTAAGGCAGAAGAACTACCGCGTCTGCAGTGCAAAATGATTAATATGGTGATTATTACTTGAAGGAATTGATAAAGAAATGATCATAAATGTTCTTCCTTGAGCTGCGTCACCCCGCTGCAGTCGGTAATGGACTCTACAAACAAGCGGCTGCTGGAGGAGAGTAGGTGAGTTGTGTTTAGTCTCTTTGCTAGAGAAATCAGGCAAAGCTAAAAGATGTTTGATGGCTAGTACTATGGCTGGGACCCTATATGTACTGTACTGCATTATTTGTGGCTATAGAGTGGCTTTTTGGTTGAGGTGTGCGGGTGGTTCCATTCCAAGAGGTAGGCAACATTAATCTCTCGACGGGGTGTCTAACTCGGTGTTATGGTGTGTTTGACCCGAAATTAATTTTGCGCCGGAATATCCCTTTAAGCAAACTTTTAGTTCAGATAAGGTGTAACTGACACATTACCAGCTTCTCTTCTCTTACCAACAATGTCGTTGTTGTCTTTGTTTTCCAGCTCTGCAATGGGAATAAAGTCGCAGTGAACTGCTGGGATGTCCTGACCATCATCACATGGCACAATGGACGTGTTGGCATGGAGGGTCATCTCATAGTCATTATTCAGCGAGTTGTACTGTTTGTTGGCCACTTTTAGCGTACCCTTGGTGATGTAGTACACCTACAGAGACAAAGACAAAGAGAGGGATGTGTCTGCAGTAACAAGTTAGACCTTAACCCCACCCTTTAGACCCCACTGAATTCGAAAACTACATTACTGATCCAGCAAAGGAGGTGTTAATGACAAAGAGAGTTTTTTTTATCTGTTTTTGACCTTGAGATGTATTAAAACACCTTTACTTGAGTCTTGATTAACAAGAGCCCATCTGATAACAGTGGGATAAAAACAGGGATTGAATAAATTAAAAAAACACAGATAATTACATTTTTCTTTGCTAATAGAACAGTTTCTCTGGAAGTACAGGAGATGCTGGTAAGCACAGCCCCTTCTAGCCATATCTGAAGCTAATCAACTCTGTAATTGCTTCTGTTTCACCAAAACTGCTCGAAAGGTTTGGAAACCCTTAAATTCAACCAAGTTGTGGTATCTTTAGAGTCCCGTTCACCTAAATTTTTTTTAATTATTAGATTTTATTCAACCAGGAAAACCTAATTGAGATCAATAATCTCATTTGGATAAGAAAGACAGCAGCAGAAAATAAAAAGCAGCAGAGAACAACTCCCCTAACCTGCTCCGTTTAATCTTAATATGCGAGGCGCATTTCTTCATTTACTCTAAAAACTCTCTCTCTTTCTCCCTCTGAGCACGTCTCCATGGCCGTCTCCAGTCTTCCCTCCCCTCTCTCCTCCCCTCTCTCTCGCTCCGATTTACCCCACACAGAGATAGTGGCATGAAACTAATGTGATAAGCATTCGGGGGGGCTCGGAGTCAGTTACACCCACTCACTGTTCTGTCAATACTCAGATCACGACAGGAAGACAGATTCATTCCTTTATTTATCTATGGAGGGCAGAGGGCACAAATTGGATTAGGGGCCATGTTTGGAGTCACCGCCAGTGGCTGATACCTGAGCCAGAGTGACTAGGGGAAGATGACCGGGTTAATTGAGTTATTGAGCTCTTGGGGACAGACTGGGCTGAGTCAGAGTTTAACATGTGCTCTACCTGTCTGGAGCTGCTCAGGTATGCAGGCAGGGTTCGAAGTTAACACCCACTGAGTGCCAAACGCAGGCAGACTTTCCATTTGGACAGAAAATTTCAAAGAGCTTGAAAGACATGGCGCTAAATGTTCCCACCAAGACAGTCATGTATCTAATAACTGTTTACAATGACAATTTTTTAATAGATAGACTTTTGTAGATAAAATGGTTTGCCTCTTTTACTGAATGTCACTCCCCAATTCACCCCATTTCCTACTCTGTCTACTGTCCTGTCCTCTCTAAATCAGGGTTCCTATGCAAGGATGGAAAGTATGGAAATAAATTTGATCACTTTCCAGGTCTCAAAACGTATTGAAAATGAAAAAATGAATAAAGTATAGAAAAATATTCATGTTTCCAGACTATTACCACAGTTCTAAAATATCAAAGTAGGTATTTCCAAAAATAATTCTAAAAAGTAGGGGATGGAAAAGTATGGAAATTCCAACTGTGTAGGAACCCTACTAAATGAAGCCATTTTTATTTATTTATTTATTTTATTTTTTAACCAACATGTGTTACATAAAAACTCACTGTATTGACTGGTTACAAAATACGTGACTGTCTTCATTTACCTGCCTGTTTGGCTGGTGAGTCTAAAGTTATATTACTGACCTTGTAAACAGGAACATGATGTGTTGCTGCACTGTCAGTGAAATATTTCCCTTTTTAAATCCCCTGAATGGTAAATCTGAACCCATTTGATGTATTTGTTTATCTATTTAGGATCCCCATCACTTATTGTTACCGCAGCAACAACTACTCCCTCTTGGGTTCATACAAAACAAGACAAAGCACTGAAAAAAACATTCATCATTTCAGGTTGATAACTCCTCTCCATCTCTGTAAGTATTAGAGGAAATTCATTTAAATATTCATAACTAATTTAAGGCTCTTTCTGTATTCGTTGGTGCTAGCATGAAATTCAGTTAAATTTGCAGCCCTGTGTCAAGGGCAGAGGTCAAGGGCTTCAGTGTCAGTTATGTAAGAGGAGCCGGGGCCTCTAGGCATCACACTCCTCAGTAAAAGGGCAGCAAAGCAGATGCTTGCTTACACAAGGTCTTGAACCAGGGCCTGCTGGATGAAAGATGATCCCATTAACAAACCCTACATCCAAGATTTTTAAAGGGCAAAGGCTGTACTAAAATGATTCATGAGTAATAGTGTTTGACTGAATTATGAATGAGCATTACTCGACATGATAAATGCGAGAAAACCTTATGAATAGGTTGAGAATTCTTCAGATCAATCTAAACTTAATAATCTCATGCACAGGCACACCACAAAAACTAAATGTCCTTCCCACACTATGCGCTGATTAAAGTTGCAGCTGCCTGAAATGAGAAAAAATTACTTTCGGGATATTTCTATGGATATTACTAATAAAATTGATTCACATTTAATGGATTTCTTTTCACAGGGAAGCGATTAAAAACCCTGATGATGAGAAATCTCCACGAACCAGCATGTTTTCTTTGATCTGACGAACAAGATTTGTAAACCACAGCACATGTTCCATCTTTATGATAAAGCTGCAAATTCTGCAAAAAGGGTTTTTTTCTCACTTGGCCTAATCTTGTTTTGATAATATCTCTATTAATTGTGAGGCCCTGCTGTCAATGTCCTTATTCTGTGGAGAAATGAGAGAGGACTTTCAGTCTAAGTTCAGTTTCTGCAGTCTGAGCTGTCCAAAAAGAGTGGACATACTCCAAACTTTCAGGGTTTTTAGAGTGAATTTCTCTTTGTGTTTTTCTGGACACTTCCTCTTAAAGGGATGAATCCTTATCGATACACTGCCAAGGCACAACACTGAGTTAGCCTAATGAAGTCTTTATCTTTATCCGTCTGGTTTCATGGAGGTTTATTAACAGGCGTCTGAAGCTTTTTTATGAGCACTGGACAAACTTGCGAACACATTTTGGTGCAGAATTATGACTTGTCTCCCCTTTTCCTGCAATGCTGTCACAAAAATGTAGTTGTTATACTCGTCGTAAAGAGTGTACCTCTCAGGGTTTATATGGCATTTCAATTTGTATGGAAACAGGCTGTTTAAAGCTTTCTCTTCCTTTACAATCTCACAGGGATACAAAAATTAAACATTTAAATCTAAATCTATCAGTTAAATCTATCCTAAATTTTGAACACAGCCTGTGGTACTTGCAGACATTTCTAAAAAAGTCAAAATAACCACCAGACAAGTTTTCTAAGCAGCACATTCCTGGCCTCATATATCCCCCCAAATTCTCAGTATGTCTCAAACATATATATTTCAGCGAAATATGACTTAATGAATCCCTTCCACAAATCCTCTAATACTTGCCTGCAGCTCCTTCATTGGCCAAAAGTCCTGCAGGCATGAGAGGATTTTGTAGGAGGATTTATTAGGCACTACTTTAACAATGATACATTTATTTGAAGCACTGCGAGTGCACAAAGAGTATACCTGAGACTGAGTCTTATTTCTTGTAGCCTTTAGATATTGTGTGAACATTGTCAAAATGAGACTTAAAGTCAACCTCAGACATAAAACACCAACTGGGTTTCGGAGCTTCAGAGGCATTTCCCTGCAGCACTTTCAGCTGCTGTACAAAAGTTTCAATTTTTCTTTTGTAGTTTTCAATAACTCTTGTCACTTTATGTGAGGAGAGAGAGAGAGGTGAGTGGGCTCTGCTCACCTTGCCTTGTTCCACCAGAGAGTAAAACTTGTCAACTTCCTTGTTGAAGGCTGTGATCTTAATTTCTCCCTGTTGACCAAAACAACATTCATTTTGTTTTACAGATAAAAAGACAAGACAGCCGCGTGTGACAAGTTGTATAATATAACAGTTGTGCAACATAAATGCAGACAGATATTCAGGCTTCTGCAAATACTATACTCACACTCTCATCCACTATCTCAAAGGAGAAGAGCTTGCCCTCTCCTCGAGAGTTGCTCCAATTGCGGATGTTGGACTTGTTGGTGACTCTGGCTCTGATAGTCCACCTGAAGATAAACACAGAGGAGATCTGTGACACAACAAACTAGAACTTACAAAGCATACGTCATGTAAAGCAGCCTCTGATACTGAAGAATGTACATCCACAAGTTTGTCGAGTAAGTCAACGAGTCAGTCTGCTACAACGACCGACCAATAGGGATGTCCCGATCCGATATTGATATTGAATATCAGTCCACTATTGATATCAGATATCGGTCCAATATCAGCAAAAAAACAAATATTGTATTTTATCAGCACTCTGATACAAGCAGTCCATTCCTGACTCCGCTCCAGCACCTCTATCTAGCAGCGCCCAGACCCAGCATGCAGAGCCCATGTGACCATAACAACAGTGTGAACTATGGTACTAACAAAATAGCAAGGAGTAGGAGTGATGTCGGCCATGTGGCAGTATTTTTCCTCTAATTCTGAAAAAGATGTTGAAGCTGAATGCAAAACTTGTCATGCACATTTTGTGCCAATATCGGATCAACATCGATATCGGCCAATACTGAAGGCTACAATATCAATATTTTATCAGAAGTGAAAAAAAGTTGTATCTGGACACCCCTACTAACCAGCCTCCCATAAAACTGAACAGTTTGAGTAACATTTTTGTTATTATACTCTACAACGATCAATAGCGAGGATTAATGTTGGTAAAAGCTAACACAGAGTGAGGAAACAGGGTTTAAATACCAATATACTGTATACTTTCTTTATGTGGTAGTATGAGGGCTACTGTCGGTCTGCCAATATTGAAGCCAAGGTGTCAGAATCAGTACTGCGAAGGTAAAAAATAGCATTTGACCATCATTAAACTGAAATACATTGAGCTTTGCCTTCAGTTGTGTTCTACTTTCAATTAATCTACAGGTTTCTGCCGTGTGAATGTTTACAGAAAACTAGTATTTACTCCTTGTGTAAAAGAATAAACAAAGTTTTCCTTGATCAACACAGCTGAGTGAAACTCAACTAAAGGAGTCACAGTTTAAAGGTCAGCGTGAATAAAGCTGCTGAGCGACTTAAAAAACATCCTTTTTTGTTAATGAGCACACCAGCTCCGCTCACATCAGACACAGACGTGAAACAACTGTGCAACAGAACAATTCCCATGGAAATTGGATGAGTGTCTTTTCAGTCTTTTTAAAGTTCCATGAAAGAAAAAAAAAATATTCTGCAACTTTCTTTTCAAAGAGAGAACTAGGTGTTGTACATCTGCCAACTCCTGGATGCATTTAAAATGTGCTTCTTGTTTCTGTTTTTGACACCAGCCAGCCGAGCTCGGCAGTTTGTGCAGTAGCGAGCTTTTTGACTGCGTTGATAATTGTGCAGCGGAGGATATTCGTACCATAACTTTGCCTGCAATTAAATCCCCTATCATGAGAGCAGCTGCTGGCCCAGAGTGAACCCCATTCCCTGCTCAGTATGGATAAGACTGCTACACTGAGGTTTATGGCAGCCAAAAGCCAATTATAGCCTGCTCTCGATGCTATTACTTAACACAGGGAGAATAGGGATGAGAGAGCCAAGAAAACGACCATAAAGACCTTGTGCACACATCACACAGCATTCCTATATAACATGTCACACACATCTGCACTTTTCATTCCACACTAACATACGGAGAAGAGCAGATGCTGAAGTCATCTCTTTTTACCCACTGTAGGTACTCCCCAACTTCAAAGTTAGAACAGTCATCAGTTTATTACAACACCTAGAGGCACAGTTATCTTTACAGCTCGCAATTTCAAACAGGGCTATGTTATCAAAGCCCAAACGCTGAGAGAGTGTTGACGGGATGCCTTTACTCAAATCTGAAACACTGCATCTCGTACAGTGCTCTTTGCTATTTCTGGACCACTTTGAAAGGTCAGAGACGTACGAAAATGAAATTATATGAAGTGAAAAGAAGAGGAAAAAAGAAGCAGTGGTGGAATTAAACCCTGAGGGAGGTGGAGGAATTGTGAAAGAGGCGGAAGGGAGGGAGAAACTTTCGGGGCCAAATCCCCACCAGGCCCAAACAACAGAACCAAAACCTCAGCAGTCATGAAGACCCAGTGGTACCTTTCATTAAAATACCCATTTCCAGGGATGGATCAGTCATCTCATTTCATTTCCTCGGTGATAGGCTGAATAACATGCACATGTAGGATACACAGTCACATGCACCAATGTGAAAATAATAACATGCATGCACAAAAATACAGATTTTGTGAAACATGCCCCAAAGATTCGCTCAGATATGGCAGCAAATAGGGAGGCGGAGCCACAGCGTGAGAGGACACAGCAAAACACATGCAGGATACACATGTAGGTCAGTTTAAGGTTTGATATCGTTCCAAAACTGAATCTTAATCAACTGTATTCAGGTCCTCTGTCAGAAACTGTGTATATTAAGCAGGTACATGCAGACACCAACACACTTAGTCTTATTTGTAAACTTACTTGCTTTGGTACGGGTTTAAGCTAGCAATAGGAATCACTTTTGTTGAGGAGCCTGCAGGAGAGCTGTTATCCTTCATGGGTGAAGCTTTATAGGGTGACGTCTTTGACGGTGAAGCTTTATAGGGCGGAGTCTTCATGGGTGAAGCTTTATAGGGTGACGTCTTCGACGGTGAAGCTTTATAGGGTGAAGTCTTCATGGGTGAAGCTTTGAAAGGTGAAGTCTTCATGGGTGAAGCTTTGAAGGGTGAAGTCTTCATTGGTGAAGATTCGAAGGGTGAAGTCTTCATTGGTGAAGCTTTCATGGGGGAAGTCTCCATACCACACTGAGGCGAAACTTTCCCTATTTGTTTTCCTGCAGAACCTCCTCCATAGCCTAGGGGTGGAGAGAGGATGGAAAAATGATTACAAGAAGTCGCCAACTGCTTATGCATAGTGTTGAAGAGATAGCCAATCCTTTGACAAGCTTGAAGAAAATAAAAACAATTTGTTGCTGATTTGTCCAAGTTTACTAAACTAAAAACAGCAAACCGTCCTTGAATTTTCTCCACTACATTTTCTTCAGCCAGCTTTAGATTTGGCAGCCATGCTGAGAACCCAAAGGGAAGAAGTGCCCAATTTGGTGCAAGTCGAACAGATGGTAGCATCACTTCCTGTTATGGCCCTTAACTTTTTAACTATGACTCTCAAAATCATCTTTTTATGTATGAGACAGACGAGCTCTGCCATGATCATGTATGATCATCAATTTTCCACCACTTATGTCCCAACCACTTTTTCACTTGTACTCCTACGACTCCTGCGTGAGTATCAGATCATTTTTACAAAAGTGGAAAAAGTTGCTTTTAATCAGATATTTGACATTTCATACAGTTTTTCATCAGCGAGCTCTAAAAGGTTATACGTCATGTATATTTGTTATCCCAGTGGTCATGACAAATTTGGTAGATGGCGCTGATGATGAATGGTGCTGTAGCAGAAAAGAGAAAAAGGAAGTAAAGACAGACATGGCTGTGTGTGTTTCATCACACTAGTTGAGTGCATTGCCATGAACCCAAGATGGGTCATATGTATGACAAGACCATCCAGTGTACTTTTAGAGGAACTGTCACAACACAACAGGCCCCGCTGTAGTCCCTGTACCTGACACCAGCACCTCCAGAATAGAAATGTGAAAACATTGGCCTTAAAGTAGCCTAATGCTCAATGTGGGTGTGCTCAGCAATGCTGCAACCCGGGAGACCGGCAATCAGTCAGATCTGAATAGGTATGACGGTGGAGTGACTCATGATGATTTCTTCTTAAAGCAGACGAATAATTCTGGATACAGCTGAGTCTGGGACCATGTCAATACTTCTTCACCGGTGAATGTTTGAAAGAGATCTTTCTTAATATGCAAACAGTCACTGATGAATCCTTGAGCCACACAGATCAAGCTAAGATGATAAGCAAGAAAATGGGACTCTTTTTGGCTTACACGCCACACTACTTATTTTGTTGTGTGTTGTTTTTGCATTGTCAGATTTAAAAGTCTTAAACCATAACTTGTGACTTGAATTGGCATTACTCCTACTAGATTTCAAGCACCTGCTGGAGCTGCAAAAAGCTTTACATAACTTTCAGCATATATAAAATTGACTCCTCTTGACATGTGAACAGACTGATGTGTGAAAAACTGACAGAGTGACCCTTTTAAAAGAATATCTAAATGGTTGGTGTTAATTTATACTCAAAGAAAGAAAAAGTAGCCTCATAGGGAGACTGGTTTAGGTCCTCTTTGCACTGGTCGTGGGATCGATCTCCAGTCCCAACAGATATGGAGCTTGTCCTCCCCACATTTCCTATCTCTATTAAGCTGTTCAATCAAAAAAGGCCCAAATAACACTCTTTTAAAAAAGGGAGAAAAAGAAGCAACTTCCCCACTTCAGCACAGATTTTTTTTTCTCCACGATATGAGATACTGTTTTACCTCAAAGCACACGTTCAAGTAATCACTAACAGTTGATATAGATGAATGACACAGCTGAAACAGAACCGCTAGAGCACAAAAGTTTGCCATTAGCCAAAGACAAACTTAATTAAACACCCTGACAAAATATTTCAACAGCATTGAAACATTAATGATAATACTGTTATCTGATTGTGTGAGCAGCTGCTACTTGATGAAAAATGCCTGAGAAAGTTAAACTTCCTCACAGATTTCTCTGTAAAGTAACTTAACTTTCTGATAAGACCAAACTGTGCCTGTGTATGAAACTTTGTCTTTTCAGGTATGACTACTAAAAAAATTGCTCATTTTATGATTATGCACTTTTGCCTTTAAGTCATATGGAAAAAGTAATTAAGATTAGTTATCAGAATATAGTTACCTGTCCTGAGACATCACATAAAAACCCTTAAAAATAGTCCCACCTATGTTCTCATGGCATTATACTGTATTATCAGTTTGTTTTGTGGATATAAAATCTATTTTGAATGTAATGTGATCAACGTAAACAGGAGACAGATTGTTCAAAAACAACTTTTTTTGCCCCTTAAAACACAAGTTATTGATAATGATATGTATCGAGAATTAATTTCCCTCAATATCAATATAAAACATGGTCAATATCCTTTTTAATAGTCTGCATTCTGCCATGTTTTGGTAGATTATACAAATAGCCAATGAAAAGGGGAGTTGCTCCAGGTTTGCTTGTAGTAGCAGGCTGCAGCTACACACAACCCTAGTACTTTAACACATGAAGCCGACAGCACTGTCCATGAGTAAAAAAGAAAATAAGTGCTACCCCCGGCAGAAATACAGATAGAAGGCTCAACAGATGATGACATTGTCTACAACACTAGCATGAAAGCGTTGGTGGTGTGGAGGTATTTTGTTTTTTCAAAGTCGGACATGAAGCAGAGTAATGTGTACTGCAAATTATGTCGAGTATATGTTCTCACAAAGTCGGGGAATACCTCAGATCTTTTTCACCACCTGAAGCAGTTCAACACGACAGAGCACATGCAATGCAAAAGGTTACAAACCCCGAGCGGAGCAAGGAGTCTATAGTGCCTGTGCAGCTGAATCAACCAACCATTCAGTCCACTTTCTCTAGCGCAACAACAACAACCTTACGACAAAACATCGAAGAGACACAAAGACCTCACAGGTGCAGATGCTAATTGTAATGCAAAAGACATGCTACCAATAAGCACTGTTAAATTTAATTTTTTACATTGTGATATATATTGATATCGACTGATATGAAAAAAACCATAGCGTGATTAACTTTTTCCCATATCGCCCAGCCCTAGGCACAGCTAAACATGCAATCCTAGCGTCTGCAGGTACACACATACATCATGGTAGTGAAGCATTGTAGCGTTGTGGCAGAAGTCAATAAACAGAGCTACCAGAGCAGATGGCAGATGACCTGACTACAGCTTACACCATATTTGACCAGAATTTCACATCAACAAATGAAGAATATTGAGAATTTGTTTGTCTGACTAGTAATTCTGGTGGTGTCAGTGACAGCATGTCAGCATAAAGCTGTATGCACACGTCCCTAAAGAGAGGTCAGACAGGGTCGTTCATCTGATAATCAATTACAGTTTTCTAAGGTGGCTGATATACTGAAGGACTCAGGCTAAAACTACAAACTAAATGTGGGTCTGCTCTAAAGGCGCCAGCTATAAGAGAAAATGTAGGGCATTGTTAGATGACTGCCGGATGGCTAATCATGTATTATTAATCAAGCTAAGGATTTTTCAGTACTATAGCTCGGTGTCTTGTGTTGATTTAATTCAGTATGCTAATGGAGTTGGTGCTGCGGTACACAGAGCACTCACTCAATGGAAGTGTTTAATAAAAAAAATCACACGTACAAACAAAGACCTCAAACTAAGACCAAGTTTAGAATAAGTTTCTATTGTTCCTAAACAACTGTTCAGCATTTCGTTTTTTTAACAAGTAACAATGCCAACAAACTTGAACAGTTCAGACCCACCTACAGAATCACAAGGTGTTATCTCACCTCCCACAATGAAGCAGCCTCATCCCCACCAGCAGTGATTCAGACGAGATAGTTGTCTGTTGTCGGGGTATATTTTTATGCGGCGCATGATGCCTGGTGTTGGCATGAATGAGCTGCCATATTGAGGAAGAGCATTCGAGGGGAGGATTGTCAGGAATAAAAAGGAGATGTGATTCCACAGAGACCCCTCCCTCTGATTTAAGCTCCAACAAACACTCACCTCTATGATCCCCTCTTTTTGCGGGATGTGCTTGAACGCATATGTGTGTGAGAGCGGGAGTCTTATGAGCAAATTCCACAGGGAAATCACAGATTGAACTGCTATTTTCAGGCACGGGGTAATTAACATCAATATTCATACACACGCAATCCGGATGGAGGCGTGGGAGAAGATGATGGGTGTAGTTTGGGTAACGGTGAGGAGGAGGGGATTCAGAGCAAAGATAGGGGTCAGAGGTTTTTCATGGATCCTCAGTTTTATGATCAAGCTCAGTATAAAGTTCTAATACATATGCTGGTAACGTACTCAGCAGGTGCTATGTGTGGAGAGTGTTTAGTGCTACGACTACTAAAGGAGAGAAATATATAGAGAAGGAAATAGGCAATAAATAGAGAAAGTGATCAAGAGAGTGAGTGTGTAAAACTGTGGGTGAGTTTTATGAGAGGGAGAGGAGGAGAGGGAAGGAGTACTGACGACAAAAAAAGCTGCAGAGATTGTTTAGAGATGGATAAGTTTGATTTGTTTTTGCTTTCTGGGGTTAAAATAACACCCACAAAGTATTTTAAAGGTAGTTGATTTCAAGGAGACATGCTGGGGATTATTGAAATGAGGACAGAGATCTCAATGACCTTCGACCCTACGCCTGCAGCCAAAGGACTCACTTTATTTATGAGGATTTATTTCATACTTTAACACATTTTATTCCATCTCTTTTTTAAAAGCAGAGTAAAAATGTTCTCTGATCACATCCTCCCGCTTGGAGGATGTCAAGAGGTCACATCTGAAGCTCATAGGGGGGAATTTTCATTCATCTTAGATATTACGACTGTGCTCTTCTGTTTCTTGGCTGCGTAACCTGGAAACTGCTCGAGATCTGCCAGAATTAAGTATTTTCTTACCTTTAAACAAGGAGACTAAAGGGCAGAAGTGAGAGATCACATGTGGTTTTTTTTTTCAAGACAGCAATGAATCAACCCGAATCAGTCGACCAGTTCTCCAAGGGAATCAGTGCATTGACTGATGTAGTGTTATAGCAAAGCAGTATTGTAGTATTTATATTAAATTTGAGCGAGCTAGCAGAAGAAAACCAACAGCGGCAGCAATAGATGTTTATCAAGACGATATCCAGAATTGCTGTGTAGCTGTCGAACACCTCCAACAAGTCAAGTAACATTTCATTAGAGTTCCCACACAACACAAGTTTACTTGTGGCCCACAGAGGCAGACAGCAGGTATTTTTATATTGCAAATCTTAGAGTACATCATCTTATAAATGAAAGACATGCAGATGCAGACGATGAAACAGGGAAGGTTGACCAAATTGTTTCCTAAAGGGTCACAAAAATGGAGCATTTCTCACTGAAGCCCCTTTTACACATGAACAAAGATCCTGAAATTTTCCAAAAAGTTTATAAAGGGTAAGGCTGCAGATGTGAATGCAGACACCTACTGTGAACTTTTGACTTCCTCCTGCCAGGTGCCAAGTGAAATTTCTGCAAGAAGTTGGGATGTGCGTGGGTGAGCAGAGCGAGGACGTTTTTCTCACCTCAGTTATCAGTGATAGATTTTTGACTGCTTTGCTGGTATCGTAGAAACATCCTCTGATTTACTGTAGTGATAGTAACACAGAAAACAGTCACCTCTACAGAGAAGTCCCCTCCTACTTAACAAGCTCATATCATATTGTAAAAGTGAGCGTAGAACATCTCCCACAGTGAGGTGAGGCAAGTTTCAGAAAATGTCAGGGTCTAAATGTCCTGAAATTATCTAGAAAATGTCAGGACTCGACGTGTGAGAGGGGCTGTTTCGTTTATCATGAGAGCGAGTGTTTGTTAGTAAAATTTTCTTTAGGCAGCTGAAAAAAGGCGATATAATAATCTAAATTCCCTACAGACATTGCTAAGATAGGGCAGTCATGACTTGACTTGACTGAATTAGGAAAAAATACAAAATAATGCCTTTTTATTGCCTTCAATTTTCTTCTTATTTTCTCTCTTGTGTTTGGGTTGTTTGGATGTTTTCTTAACAACCGCATAAAAAGGCTGACTAAATAATTGGGGCTTTATTGTCCTGTTACATCCAGTAGACATCTAACTATGCTTGCAGTCTTGCACAGAGAAATGTTGTTTTTTTTATTATTCCCTCTTGTCTGATATATCCTCTCAGTAAGAAACAAATGCAACAGTCCGTTTAAGTTATTTCTTCCATCCTCTGACTCAACAACAGATGTATATTTGCTTCTGAGAGGAGCAGACAGCAGGTGATGTCTTTGTTTCTGCACATGGACATGGCGCTGGAATTAGCAAGGATGTCCAGTGAAGTGAATATACTTCCCCTCTTTGTGTTTTCTATTTTCTTCTTTCTCTCCTTCCAACTTTTTCCTTCAATAGAGTCGAGTAGGAGTTAATTAGTCAGGAGGAAAAGATGCTTAGTCACTCGTTGGCCCACATCTCTTTGGTAACCGAATTTGTAACATTTAGCAAAACACACAAATGTAATAAGTACCCGAATGGGGTTTTATAATCATAGAAATAGTGAGTGAAAGAACACCTGGACGTCTGAAGCTTAATACTTGACCGTTTTATCAGCTGGACAATTAAACAGAGGAGCAGCAGGTTGCAAGATTCAAAGGGTACCTCACTAAAAGAGCCGCATGAGCTACTTAATGCAGCGCTTCATCTTTGCTGAGTCAAATGACTTGACTCCCCCCCCATGCATTGCCACGAGGTGATTCAGTGAGTCCACAACGCAATATTCATGAAGCCATGAACTGGAGGAGCCGTCAGCCCACACAAGCTCCCCCAGTCACAACACACATGCAGACACACAGCAACACATGGACTAACACACAACATATACCATCCACTCATTATCCACCCACATGCCCACGTCCTCCGTCGAGGAGGACTACTGATATGTTTCTGCCACACAACAAAAATCGATGTGGACGCAGGGAGCAGTTGGTGGTTTAAAACTACTGAGTGAGATAAAGGCTAAGCTAATAAAAGCAGATTCAATAAAGCAGGGGCTATTTTAGCCATGATACATCGCACTGGCTATTCCAAGTGAAAGGCAGCAATCATTTGGAGGTCCAATTCTGTTATAGATTCTAGTCGGTGGTAAAACATTGTAAGGTGAGAGTTATGGGCTCTAACAGCTGCAGTGGCCAGCAGGCAACAACATAGTTTCCTTTCAGCAGAGCAGTAAATTTAACAAAAAGGTGCACAGTGTCTTATTAAAAAACAGCACCTTAGTTAAAGGAACTACAGTCTTCAGCTAATTTAGCACTTCCTGTAGCTACCTTACAATGTTAAAAAACCACCCTGTGCCTTATTATCCCCTTTAATCTGCTTCTTACCCACGTTCTGACTACGGGCTTCAAACACTGAAGTTCTGTGAACATCAAAGGGCTGAAAACTGGGATTTACTTTTCAGAGTATAGTGCTGCTTTCAGTGAGGTATGGGAAATGAGATTGAGAACTGAACACCAAAGAGTTAGTTTGTCCCAAATTTTGGCTTCAGAACAACAGCTTGGGGGAGAAAAACCTTCGAGGGGACTGCTAATCATTCATCAGCCCCATTCAGAGGGTACAGGGCTCCCTCTATTGGCCGAATGATAGTTTGTAAAATCAAAATTTCATTGGAATAACTGGGCCAGATTTGACATCACCTTACCAGCTCTGACAGTTTTCAAGTGATCTTAAACTTCCAGACAAATCTTCCAATCTTTATCACATAATGCATTGGATTGTATGTTTTTGAATACACACAGACACAAGTATATCCTATATTATTGTATTACTAAAAGACTGAAGTTTATTTAAATTTAAGGACACAATAATCTTCTACCTTACTGATTGGCTAATGGGGCTCAAAAGATGTTGATGCTGACACTAAAAATAATCCCTTGAACCATGTTGATATAATTCAAATTGTTTGGTCTTGTCCATGTATGTATGGACATACATGGACAAGTAAGACGTTAAATTCTGAGAGCAAACCTGTTATATTGTCACATCTAACTTTGCTGTATTAAGAATTAGAATTTCGACTATGTTAGTGTGATATTTATCTACAGAAATCTGCTCTTTTGATTAGTTATACTATATTATTGTACTTGCCATGTTATATAACAAACAGCTTGAGGGCATCTGGGTCTTTTTTGCTATGTATAAACTCTTTATTTACATAAGTCTTCCTTGTATGCAGTAGGAAGGCTTCCTCTGTATTTTTTGGCTCAACTGTTAAATTTGATGTAAAGAAAAAAAAAGACAAGAGGTTAATTTATTATTATTTTCTTCAGCTGCAGCAAACTTAGCTTTGAGTTTGATCTGCTTTCTGCTCTTTACTTTTTCATTTTAAGAGTTTGCTTTAGAAAACTGTTTTAAAAACTAATAAAGGGCAAAGAAATAATCCGAAAGTATGTGCATGAAGAGAAACACAAATAATTTTGTAAAAGAAGAACTGCACCTTATAATGAAGTTGGAAATTCATTCATCCAGTATTAAATCTGTAATCAGATAATGCTGCTGGAATAAGAGGTCATCAACATGCATTGATATTCCTCTCATGCAAGTCACAAATTAACAAATAACAACAATCAAGAATATTTCAGAAGGTAACATTTGCCCTGATTGACTTTTTTTTTTTTTTTTAAAGAAAAAGACTGTTTTTATCTTAGCACTGGTGGGTGTCAAAGTCATAAAAGGATTTATGTCTTATGACTGAGAGGGCAGGAAAGTTTTCTATAAATAGTTCCTTTGCAGAAATAGTTTATTTGATATTCAAATAAAAAAGAAACGCTAAATGAGTTTGACTGATTATTCATCTGTTTCAAAATAAAAATAACACAATTTGAAAACATAAAGCGTTTCTGAAATACTTTCTCAATTTGCTCAGAGTGATTGATATATCAAACTGAGATTATGCCAGTGTTTTTTTTCTGAAGTATTAACTCATGTCTTTAACCTGTTACTTACCACTGTTGTTCCTGTAAGAGGGTCCTGGTACTGCAGGAGAACTTGAGAACGATGTACTAGAGACCAGACTCTGCGGAGGTGATGACTTGCCTACAAGTGAAAAAAACACCATCAGGGACCTGTATAGTGTCTTTATTATTGTTTTTGACATGCCCAAGTTAAACAGTCATACCATCTGCAGCAAATGGAGTTGGATCTCCAATCTTTCCTCCTGCTTCCTCTCCAGACTGTAATATTTCCATGTCTATCACAACCAGCACACGCCTGGAGGAACATAATAAAAAAAAGCATAGCATAAACAATCATAGAAAAGTAGGAGAAAAAAGAAGGAGGAAACAATGTGAAAAACACATACCTGCCATCCTGCAGTGTGTTGGTGGTAGTCTTCTTTACTTTGCAAACACAGTTTGGTTCCAGGAGGTTATTCTCTGGAAGATGATTTAACTGTGTTGCTAGCAGGAAAGCTGTAAACACAAACATCATTAAAAAAAGGTGAGAAAAAAAGCCCATGTGCACCACGGCGAACTAAACTCATGGCAGAACAATTTCATGGTAACTGAGAACACACTCACAAGAGTATGAGTGCCGACCATCACTCATCATGAGCCGGTACCTGGTGGGGCCAGATGTATTGGCAACCTGCCGCATTTTCTGAAAAACCCAGAAAGGAGGAATGTTACAAATAAATTAAGAAAGGATTTTTTAACATCTACATTTACTGATTCTTTCTCTTTCTTTGAGTCTTTAAATTGTGTACAAGAGTGACATGGAAAACTGAAAGCCAGTAAAAGTGAATCATGAAATAGACTTTCAAAAGAAATGAGAGACAAAGTCTGAGCAACAGATTTACACATTTTGAGATTTTCTAAATCATGCAGCAAAACTGTGGTGATTGAATCAAAGACAGAACTTGACTCACTTACAATGTTTTGAGAATATAGGAGTGTTTTTTTTTAAATAAACTAAGCTTTAGTTTACAAAAATACACAAGCCCTTAAACTCATTTGGTCTCCCTTCTCCATAAATCTTAAGAAAACCTGACCACTATAATTAACAAATGTACATGTTTCCTTTCTTTTTAAAACATACATCGTACATCATAGAGTTGAAGTACCTTGATTTGTCTCTATCAAAATTTTGTAGTATATAGTATAACATTTTATACTTTATACTATACATTGCGAGTATGTAAACACTTACCAGGCATTGCAGTACAGGATTGGTCACCTCCGAGTCTGTGATTAAGTCCTAAACAAAAACACACGTGGTTTTGTTATTATCATCTCAACCTGCTTATCACATTACAGCGGCACAAATACAGATGTTATGTGTGATACAGTTATGTTGAATAAGCCTCTGGAAATCATTTTTTTTTCGCCCTTTGCAGGTATGTAATGTACAAAAAACACCCATAAAGTGTTTTCATGTTACATCAACACTTTGTCCCATACAAATACATAGGCTGAGTTGGTGACACACTGTAATAATCTTATCTAGGCACAAACTAAACCATTGTCAGATGTAATAATCCCAGAAAATGCAGCAACCATATTGAAGCCATACGGTTGATAACAAAACTAAATATTTTGATACTGAGTAAAGATTTTGGATACAGCAGGCACTTCTATATAAAGTCTATGCCTGGCACTAAATCTCGTTAGCTCATATTACTAGCAGCTGCAGCTAGCAATGTAACAATAACAAAAACTCCACTCAAAAAAACGGGTCAAGACAAACAGTCCTACTAAACTCATTGAAGTCCTTACCTGAATTGCCCCAGCAGTGAGTCTAACACTCATGTTTCCTGCTTAAAGTTGTCACCAAACCCAGCAGACTTTAGCCTCGCTGGGGTGAAAGTATAGCGAAGAAATGGCACTTATCGCGAGAACGCGATTTGTGACAGTTTCAGGAGAGATATTGTGCGACACTGTGAAACGGATGCGACCTTCAATGTAAGATGTCATTATGTCAAATGGAAAAAAAAGCTGAGGAAACGCATCGTTTAAATGTATTAAAAGGCAATTGGACTGCTAATTTTACAGGCATAATGTATATGTTGCCTCAAATACACGTACTTTTCGTGAATGTTGTCTGGTAAGGCTTAATAAATTTTATTTTGAAGCCTTAAAACGGAAACACACGTTGAAATAAACAAGTTCAACAATAATATCTCTGCTGTCTTCACAGACGTGGAAGGGACTCATGAGTCTGAACTGTCCCAGGTACTCCTGTTGACTAGTTTTAATGGACCTTCCGTGCTTACAGTGGCAGGAGTACGTCGCACAGAAATGGACCGGACTCGACCCCGAGCTGAGGGAACATTTCATGTCCCTGGTTGAGATAAATGATGTTTTTAAATGGACCCTCGCGCTGACCACGTGAGTATACACATTTCTCAAATTGAGACTCATAATTTATGTTAAAACTTCAGTCCCTGAGGCTATGAAGTATACTACAGGAGGTCCCAATTGAACCAGTTGAGAGCTATAAACTATTAACTCCAACTATCTGCTACAGGGGAGGGTTTGGTTGTTCATCAGGGCTTCATTTTGTAAACTGTGATTGTCTCTCCTGGTTATAGACAGGATGATTTGGACTTTGTGCAGTCAATCTCTGCAAGACATCGTCCCCACAAGGACGCAGAGCAAGCAGCCAAAAGGAGGGAGAAAGGCAACTCAAGTTTTAAGTCCAGAAACTACACTGAAGCTGCTCTGCACTACTCACAGGTGAAGTGAAATACTGAGAAACTCAACAGGCTACAATCCATGACAAAAATTCTGTCCACTCAAAATCGAAGTGTGTCTTACATTTGATTAGAATGTCAATAACAAATGTATTGGCGTCATTGTAGATGTTTTTAAACATGAGATGCAAAAAATATTGATTAGATTGATTAATTAGAAATTGTGTCTTCTTATTGTTTCTTTGACCTAGATTGAGAAAGCAGCTTTCTTATAATTTTGCACCGTCACATTATTTTTAGATGTGTATTTTTATTCAAGCTAAATAAATAAATTCATCAGTATAATGTGTTATCATAATGTCATGTGTTGTATAATGCCATAAATACAGTGTGTTTTCACCTTTTTTATTGTTATAGAACAATGTTTATCCCACACTGATCAAGCTTCAGAATGTAATGTTTCCCACAAATGAGTCCCAAGTAGGGCTGGGCGATAAAACGATAATATATATAGAAAATTAGTTTCCCTCAACATCAATATGAATCATGGTCAATATGCTTTTCGATAGCCAGCATTCTGTCATGTTTCGGTAGAGTATACAAATAGCCAATGAAAGGGGAGTTGCTCCGAGTCAGCTTCACGCTGAACTGACCAAGTGCTGAATTAGAACCAAGTAGCAAACAACTGCGTAGTAGCAGGCTGCAGCTACATGAAACCATAGCACTTTAATTCGTGAAGCCGACAGCACTGTCAGTGAAAAAAAAGAAAATGAGAGCTACCCCGGCAGAAATGCTGATGAAGGCTCAACAGATGATGATGTCGTCGACAACACTGGCATGAAAACATGGGTGGTGTGGAGGTATTTTGTTTTTTGAGGTTGGACATGAAGCAGAGTGATGTGCACAGCGAATTATGTCAAGTGCATGTTCTCACAAAGTCAGGGGATGTACCTCAAATCTTTTTCACCACCTGAAGCAGAGCAAGTAAGAAGCAGCCCATGGCACCTGTGCAGTCGAAACAGCTGACCATTCAGTCTGCTTTCTCTAGCGCAATGCCTTACAACAAAACGTCAAAGAGACACAAAGACCTCACAGATGGAGTGGCTAGAAAAACATGCTACCAATAAGCACTGTTAAATTTAATTTTTATATATATATCGATATCGACTGAAACGAAAAAAAATATATCGTGATAAACTTTTTCCCATATCGCCCAGCCCTAACCACAAGTTCGAAGTTTCATTTTGGACCATCATTACTAAGTCCTCACCATGGCATGCCTCCCAGTCCTGATTAATATGCATCAACATCAAACTTCTCTATCTCTGTCATGACAGGGCATATGCTCTGCTCCCCAAAGTTCGGAGCAGCTGTCTCTGTGCTATGCCAACCGCTCTGCTGCACTCTACCATCTGCAGCACTACCAGGTGAGCTGGCTTCATCTTCAACAATTAAATAATGAGGTAGTGTTGTTCTTGCGGTGTCGTTAAAACCTGCTCAAACCGGCTCTGCTGCGTATTTGTTGACTGCAAATGGGCCTGCAGATGTTGAGCAGATTGTGCCATCATTGTGTGATCAATTTGAACAGCACCTGACTGCTGGAAAAATTATCATGATTTTTTCATTTTATGTTAACAATACTCTCACATTCTTATGCTGTTCATACCAGACGGTAAACAAATCACAGATGATTTGCTAGTGCACATAGTGATACAGTAATAATGTTAAAAATAAACCGCCTCACTGTGCCTGTCTCACATGTATCTTGACTGTATCGTCCTGGTTATACGTGATTTTGGACAGACGGATGTTTGGCTTCACATACAGACATTTGTTCAAAGAGCAGCGTCTAACCTGAAGACATCTTTTTTAATAACAGAAGCTTTTTCTAGTAATCCCTGATATACATTATAATGGAACAAGGGTCTCATTTTCTGTGTTGACTTGTATTTAAGCCTTCTGGACCTCATGAGTGGCCATTATTATTGATTTTTAAACTCCAGTAATGTAATTTCAGAGTCTTTAGTGATGATATAGTTTGAAGCAAGTTGTAATTTTCTAACCAAAGCATCATAATAAAACACTAAACAGCCTGCTAAATTATAGCAGAGGGTTTATCTCAGAAAATGTCAGAGCTTGTTGTTATTTTTCCCTTCAAATGGCAGATGAGGTTACCTCCTGTGCCACACAAAGGGATGTTAAAAATAGTGAGACAATAATTCTGTGTTTTTTCATGGCTCAATCTCATGTACTGCTTTATCCCCCCAGGAATCACTGGAGGACATCGACAGAGCTCTAAAAAACAACTATCCCTGTCATCTGTTACACAAACTGGATGAGCGGCGCACACAGTGCCTCAAGCACCTCTCCACAGGTCAAAAAGCAAAAAAGGATTGTCACAGTCCTGCCTCAGAGAAACATAAAAACCCAGACAGACGGACTGAAGCATCTGTTGGACCCCTGATATCTGGGATTAGTCCCCAAGCTGCTGTTAGTTTCAGCCTAGAGAAAGGGCGACATCTGGTGGCTACAGACAGAATAGCAGCTGGAGAGGAGCTCCTACATGACAGACCATACAGCTATGTCCTTATACCAGGGATGGAGGAGGTGAAAGGGAATAAAGGAAAGCTGGACATGAAGGGAGGAGTGTTTTTTGGAACAGAGCACAGGCGCTGTCACAGGTGTTTGACTGAGATCCTCTCTGCTGTGCCGTGTGAAGGTTGTAGTTACAGCCGATACTGCTCCACTGTCTGTCAGAGAGACGCCTGGGAGGAGCATCACCGCTGGGAGTGTTCACTGGGAGCAGATCTGATGGTGCTCGGTGTGATGTCACATCTGGCCTTGAGAGTCACACTTAAGGCGGGGTTAAAAAACATCCAAATGGCAAATGAACCAATCAAAGACAAGCTTACAAAGCCACAGCCAAGCTCCCTAAATCCACATGATCCTTCGACTTTGCACTATGGTGACTCTTATCTGAGCGTGTTTCATCTACTGCACCATCTAAACCACCACAGCCCCAGTGTGCAATTCCTTTGTGCAGTTACTGCGGCGATACTCTATCTAAAGCTGGGCAAGGCAGGACCTCTACCTGCATCCTGGCACCTTGGTGGACGATCAGAGGCGAACAGACAACCGCAGCATGAGGAGGGAGATGGAGAAGATTGGAGTTCAGAGCTGTGGATGGTGGGAAGTGCGGTTCTGAGGCACATCCTCCAGCTGCGGTGTAACGCACAGGCTGTTTGCACGCTGCAAGACACAGGTGAAATGATCTTTGTCACATTCTGATATTTATAATAATAATAATTTTATTTATATAGCACCTTTAAAAACAGAAGTTTACAAAGTGCTTAGACAACAGTTGTAAGCACAGAGCATCAGCACATTGAAAATAAAAACACATAAAAACAAAAGCTCAGTTAAAAACAGGCCTCTGAATTGTAGGCCTGTTTCACTTTTCGTAAGAAACCCAGGCAATACAAGAACCCTACAAAATAAATGGGACCATGAGGACCAAAATAAAAGCAAAAAAAGAAATAGAAAAGGAGGGAAGAAAACAGGCTAGTAAGTATAAAAGAGGATATTAATAAAATAATAATATCATAATAAAATAAAATGATGGTAATATAAATGATAAAGTGGAATTAAATATATATATATAAAATAAAGGAAAATGAAAACATTAAAATCAATAAAAAGATTATAAGTAAAACAAAGGCTAAAAAGGCAGTAAGTCTAAATAAGAAAGAGGTGAAAGAGGTAAAAGAAAAAGGAGAAAAATAAAAACTGTAAAAGGCAATAAAAGATGAAAGATGGCATCACATAAAGGCAAGTCTGTAAAAGTGAGTTTTTAAATTTGACTTAAAAAAGGGACTGTCTCTGCACGCCTTATCTCCTCTGGCAGGTCGTTCCAAAGTCGAGGAGCTCTGATGGAGAAAGCTCTATCACCTTTAGTCTTGAGCCTCGACTTTGGAACGACCAGGAGGCCTTCGCCAGAGGATCTTTGTCAGGCATGCCGATATTTACAGGTGATGAAATGCAATAACTCTGGTAAAGTGCCACACGACAAGCATCAACAATGAAGCATCAATCAATAAGAAAAGAGATAAATGACACAATGATACACTTTTCCTGAAGTTGAGAAGTAGTTTTTGTCGATTAGATTCAGACCAAAAAAGAAATCCCAATGAATGATGAAAAGTCTACTGCAAAATGATGATTGTGTCTTCAGATTTTCTTGTGTGAACAGTCATATTAAATTGGGATTGATTTTATCATGCTAAAGGTCTTTGACTGAGACGCAATTGGTTCTCCTCACATGGTCTTCATATGTGAAAATAGCTAAATATGGTCTCCTCAAGTCATCAAAGTCAAATTTTAATCAGATTTACAACCATTTGTTTAAAAAAATAGTCCAAATTTAAGCTATTGGTTTTTATCATAGTAAAAAAAATCAATGTGAGTGGTTAAAAGCAGGTATTTTGGGTTTCTCTATTTTCCAGAATAGCTGTGTGTCATTCTCCTGTGATTGACTTGCCCTCTTACCCAGAAATATCTCAGCTCTTGCTATGATGTGATCCAGTTCAGCTTTTCAGGTTCTGCTTCTCGAGCTGTGATTGATCTTGAGATGCTACACAACCTTTTACCCTCTGCTTATTGCATCTCACAGGAACAGCGAACTCTCCGGTGCAGTCGAGCAGAGAAATCCGCATTGCTATGGCAATATTCCCAACTCTCAGTCTACTCAATCACTCCTGCTGTCCTAACACTAGTGTGGTGTTCAGCTCAGAGACAAGTTCTGATCCCTCTAAAGCTGATCTGACAGCAGACCTGTCCTCGTCCGACTGGAAAGAAGCTGAATACAGGGGCGGCTCATGTGGGGTCACTGCAACTGTAAGAGCAGCTAAAGTAATCAGTGCCGGACAAGAAATCTCGCACTGCTACGGTGAGAAAACAAGTCTGAGGAGTGCAGAAAGTTTAAGTGCTGACACAATTCATGGATACAAAGGTGCATCAGATAAAACACATTAATATGCCTTCACAGCTCTAATAGAAACTGGTGATCCATCTTTTTCCTTACATCAGATATCTGCTGATCATGAGAGATGAATGTGACTTTCGGGTAACAGTTGCAGCACTTTAACCTGAAATAACTCACCCTCTGTCCCCCTATCCCTCAGGTCCTTGCAGCAGTAGGATGGTGATCAAAGAACGCCAACGTGTCCTGCAAGAACAGTACTACTTTCTGTGCCAGTGTGAGGCCTGCACCCTGCAGACAGACAAAGAAGTAGAGGGGTGTACAGAGGGCAGTCAGCAACGATCAGCTGATGGAGAAAGTCCACACCAGTCTGGCCTCTTGTGTGGCAAGTGCAAAGGATCCCTCAAAGTAGGGTTTATTTTGGATTTTTAATTCACCCCGTGAAAATGATATCCTTATCTCAACCGACTAAGACACTTGATATGATTTTCAGAAAAGCACAGAGGACAGAAGAAAAGGATTCATATGTTCACAGTCATCGTGTGGTCAGTACATATCATCATCTGAAATAAGTCACAGGCTGCAGGAGATCAGGGTGAACTTGGAGAAAGCTGTAGACCTTATGGAGAGAGATATGCCAGGTATCTCATAGTCTTCTGATAAGTCACTCTTTTACTCTTTCTACAATAAGTAATGTGTTATGTGTCATGGATCATGTTAGATCTCCATGTTCCTCATCCCTCAGATGAAGCTCTACATCTGCTGAAGAAGACCCGCTGTCAGTCTGGACTGATGCTTGCAGAGACACACCCGTTACAAGGGGAGCTGGAAGATGCTACAGCCAGAGCGTATGCTACAATGGGTGAGAGGAGCAGTGCCATGACATTTTGTTGATTAGGCTAATATCGTCAAAAGCGCATGTCTACAAATCAGTGTGCAAAAATAACCAGTAGTGTATAGTATTTGCCCAAACTTGCTTGTGTGTGGTTTTGTAGCTGTCTTGTGTATTTGGGGTGATGGATTTAGTTCTTGTTATGTTCTAGATAACATAACTGGCTTGCATACTATCTTATGAAAAGTAGATGAGCAATTGAACAAATAAACATGCTTACTTCTTGACAGAGTGGACTTGAAATGATTTAGTCTCAACCTGAGTGCTGAGAATGTTTGACTCTGTTCTGTAGCTTAATCCATAAAAGCAATAACACGCCCTCAGACAAATCATCCTGACCTTAAGCTCCTCTGTCCTCTTATTACTCTGTTTCTGTTTTGCTGATCCTGCAGGTGACTGGAACAGAGCAGCCTCCCATCTGGAGCGAAGTGCTGCAACTATTAGCACCCAGTACGGAGTGGATAGCATTGAACTGGGTCAACAACTCTTTAAATTGACTCAGCTGCACTTTAACGGGTGAGTTAAAGTTTCTCTAACAGACAGAAAAGTTTTTTCAGGGCATGCTGTTTTTTGCTTTTCCAAGTTCAAGTCCGTTACTCTTTTGTCTGACATTATCAGAAGGAGAAATAACGGCTCTGTGTGTTTCTTCTCTCGTCCTCTCAGTGGAGCCCGAGGGCCGGCGCTCTCAGTCATCCCCAAGGTCAGACGGCTGCTCTGCCTTCACCGCGGCCCTAACTGTCATGAATTAAAGGAGCTGCAAGCCATGGAGGACTGTTTACGGGGGTAGTCTAATCTCAACAATGTAACTCAGATTTTTTTTTAATACACAGTGAACTGATTAAAATCTGTGAGACGCTCTGTGTGCACTTGTGTGGAGATTTTTAAGTGTTTTTGATGTGACGGGTGGGGCTGCAGAGATACAAAGTGGTCACAGGTTCTAAAGCAGCCGGCTGTGGCTCTCTGACCTCTTGGTGTCAGAATGTATCCATCAATAATTTCAATTTCATGCTTCAGTTACAGTCTCGCCATGTGAGTCAACTTATCCACCAGGTGCTTCCAGGTTGAGTGTAGCCCTCCAAGTGAAGTAGAAGTTTATGAGTGTGTTCTTTATGACTGTGATTAGGAATTGATTTACAGCATAGTGAGTTAATCAATCCATCCATAAAATCTGCAAATAGCCTCATCTACCAAACACACATACAGGTGTCCCTCTAACCTTTAGGTGGCAGCAGTTATCCACTGACAAATTCAATTTCATGCTCTGGTGACAGAAAAGCAAGATGTAGCTTTGACTCTTGAACCTTCTGTCCATGCTGACAAGACCTTTTATACATTCAACTTTAAAGTCTTTATAAAGCTCCATTAGGGAAAGTCTCTTTTTCTCCCCTCTCAGTATTGACTCAGGAACAAACGCTAAAAGAGATTAACAAAACAGGAAGAAGTGCAGCGAGAGTTTTGCTGTCGAGGGTCATTGGTTTTCTCGAGATGAGAGGGACAGCTCCTGTTGAGTAAAGACAACCACGTCCCAAACCACAGCTGGAACTCCTGAGGCGTCTGACAGTAAGACATCACTGGTATCTGGAGGGCAGCCAAGCCCACAGATGTTGATGGGTACGTACAGAAAGTCAAGGTCAAGACTAAAAACTCAGACAGGCAGCTAGTGAAATCAGCTGAGGAGCTGCGTGATGACTCAAGTGTCTCATGAGGCAAGGGTTCCTGCTGATTGTTGCTGTGATGAGGCCGCTGCAGGTTCAGGAGTAAAGAAAGTCAAAAACATTCACGAGGTACTCAAAGAAAATTGGGTTCAAGTTTGAGTCATGAGAGTAAAAAATGAAAGCTTTCAGCCGTTTCAGAGTTTGACATTCTCCATTGCATTTCCCTGAGATCATTTATTTGGTCCTTTTGACATTTAAAAACAGTGTAGTTTATGCCCACCACAAATTTAGAGACAGAGAGGATGTTAATTTTTCTCATTAAAAGTCTAAAGAATTTTTTTAAATCCGTACCAGAAAACATTAGTTACTTGGCATTCTGCTTGATTTATGACATTTTAATTTGTAATTTTTTATTAATCCACTAATCATTATACTTCAGCTGCAGCACACACAAAAACAAGTTAACAAATTTACCAGGGAACAAGAGATCGAAATGAAACAAAAGGAAGTTTCTTGAAGGCGCTGTGAAAAGTTTGTACTGATTTTGAAAAAGCCTCATTGTCATTGCAACCTACATGGTAGAATAACATGAACTGTTCTGATATCAGCTGTTTCTTTAAACTGAAATTTAGTGTCTGTGTACAGGTACTGAGCAAAGTTAACATGGCACTCAACCATGAGTGTGCACGTTTACTTTTAAGACTAATACTCATGGCTTAAACTGGAGCAGAATAAGTACAAAGACATATGTTTTCTGATGAAGTATTGTTTTAGACAGAAGAAACTCTTAAATTGAGGCTTTGCAAGGTGAAGGGGCACATGGCTATGACTTCTCTTCAAAGATATAGGAGTGAAAATGGACAAGAGTATTGGTTATATGACACCAGGTTTGATGGATAATGTTAAACAAGAACAGCTGGTCATTTTTAGGGGATAACTAACAGCAGTTAATCAGAGTTTACAAAGTTTTGTCATTGTTAGGTTACACTAAATAATCAAAGAAGTACAAAGAAGAAAATCTGATTTTTCCAAAAGGAGTCACCAGAATCAACACAACATGAAAACTCCTCACAACACCTTTAAAAGTTGAATTCACTAGTTTTGTATTTGTTTTGATACATTATTACCTACACTGTTATATACATAGGTTTTGTTATAGATTATTGTAGGTGTCAAGCCCACCTGGTTGAAATATGTCAAACCACCGGTGTTTGTTTGGTGTGTTCAGGCAAATTCAGCTAAATAATTCATGACAAACTTACTTCCAACAGCTTGACTTTGAGGTAAAAACGACCTAAATTTGTATTTTCTGTAACTTTAAAAAGGTTCTCTCACAAGCTCCACCTATTATTTACAGTTTTAAATCAACATGATGTTGAGACGACCTGTCAGATAATGTCCTCTTACAGTCAGAGAGTCACACACGCAGCTCAAAAACTGCAAATGTAGATTCTGAGACAACATTGTTTATATAGACGAGGACAGGCAAACACCTGCTGTTTCAATGCTGGCATAAGCACAGTTGTCATAATAATAACAGAACTAATGAAGCTACAGTAACACATTAAAGGGGGTCATATTTTTCATTGGTCTATTTCACCACATAACTGAATCATCAGTCAGCTCAGGCTCCAACTCAGGTGTTAGTATTTGTCTTTGCACTCCCAGCAGAAACTGTGTCTGTCTATAGACCTTAAATCAAGCTACTCACCCATGTTTTATATTGTTTGCTAGTGAGTCTTCTCCTCTGCTTTTGTAAGCGAGGCCATGTGTGTAACTACATCAGTCAGGGAGCTCAGGGAGAAAACACAAGTTCACCTTTTGAAGCAAAAACACTGAGACACAAATATTGTGAGGCAGGGAGGGAAAAGGAGAATAATAAAAGCAGCCAGCATAAATAAGTCTGCAGATATCTCCTCACTGCTGCAGTATTAGATCACAGAGTCCACATTTGACCGTCCAGTGCTATTTGAGGCCATTTCCAGACACAGTAATCTCCCGCTTATCAGATGTCTTGCTATACATAATGCAATCAATATCAACCAGACCGCAAACAAAAAACTGTCGCGTGAGTATTCTGTAACAAGGCGTGCGTCAATATCGGTAACACAGACTGACAGAGTTACAAACAGCTGAGTCTGCCTGACTCAACAGCTGAGTCTCCTTTACGCTGCTGGTCATCGGCATTACAACTGCATGAATTATACACACTGCTGTAACCATAACAATGAACTCTGACCTTCACTGTGAAGGTGTGGCTGTTTAAGTGAGAGAAACAACACACTTACAGTCAAGCCCTCAACCATGATCCTACACTCAACTTCTGAGACACGGTTAAGGCTGCGAGGGGGAGCATGTGGTACGAGAGCACGGAGAGATTTGTAGACGTTTGTATTTAATGTTTTCCCCGGCAAAGGCCAATATTTTTCAGACCCCTAATGAACTTTTTAAAGGTTTTCCAATGAAGATTTGTAGCATAAGTCATGATAATCATGATAAAACCATTTTTTGAGATTTTTACAGATAGATAGATAGATAGATAGATAGATAGATAGATAGATAGATAGATAGATAGATAGATAGATAGATAGATGACTTTATGTAATTGTTGTTTGTAATTATATTTCCCCTCTGTTAGATAATGACTTAATGCGTCCTTTCATCAATTATCCATCGACAAAGACTTCAAATCCCCCCGTGCAGACCCCTTTGAAGAGTCTCATGTTCAGCCTTATCCAAAAAGACCCCCCTCTTACTGCCTTCTCTCTAATCCTGACGGATACACGAGCCCCCAGACCCCCTCAAACTCTCCGATGTCTACTTCTGCCCTTAAGTGGTTTTGTCCTTTAAGTCTGTCTCCTCTATGTTTTATCTTACAGCCCCTCTTTCCACTGCAGAGGACATCTGATACATGATGCAGATGATGGTAATGTGTCTGGTGCTCATGTAAAAATAAAATCCCCATCTCTCTCTGATACAGGCGAGGGTATTATCCTCTGTTATGGAAAAAGGTTGGCAGTAAATAATGCCCCCCTAAAGCTGAATGTTTTAGTACAAAGTTTGGAAATAATTTAAAGTTCTTGATTTCTGTTAGAGCAAAATGAAAGCATTTCTGGTTTGCTGCAGGCTTGCACTTGCAGGCCTACAGTATCCAAATCATTATTAGAAAGAGACAGAGAGGGGGCTGGACAAGAGTCACCATTTATGTGTTTGAGGGCTGGTGTAATTTCAGCTGCAGAGATAGGAGATGCTAAATTTGGCACATGTGCTACAGAGGAGTGCTCTCTGTAGCTCTGCTCGACAAGATGACGGTGAACCAGACCAGCAGACCCAACGGCAATCACTCTCATAAAACAGATTGTTCACCTTGCTGGGGTACAGCCACACACCTATGACTAAGCAGCTAGAAGGGTTTTTTTTTTAAAGTGGTGATTCATGTTGTTCAGTACTGAAGCAGCTCCCTTAGTCCAATATTTAATTCTTACCAAACAATACAAGAACAGCTGGATGTTCTGTAATAAATAATATTCAAGTCTAAGTTGAAGTCAATAGCAAATCCCAGTTTTGTCTTCTATTGCAATTACACAATTTGCCTAAATCGTGCAGAACCTTAGTTTACCACATTTTACTTTCACCCATTCAGGCACTAAAAGAAGAGGATGTTGTGTTTAAAGTCCAAGGACCTCCAGCCCTCGTTTCCCTGCAGGACCCACGGAGCCAGATATCAACAGTTGTCCTCTTCATCTTGGTCTTGCCACAGAAAAGAGCAGGTGCATTTACCATTTTGGCAAATTTCAATCTTCTTGACCGTTTCCTCAGGATATGGAAGACTGTAACATGGACTAATAATCACCAGCAATCCCCACCTTGTTGGCTGTTGTTTCATTTTTGAGGTAACAAGCAAATATTAGCATGCTGTAGGGTGACCATACTCTGACTTCCCAAAAGAGGACACAACCATGCGGGGGCGGAGTCACGGAGCCGCACAAAGTTTATTTTGAGAGTTTTTTGAGTTAGATCGAGTGTCTTTTACGCGCTAAGAACTTAGTAAGTCCATGTGACACAAAATAGAAACTTACGTACAAAACCACAGACATTTGAAGGATTTTATAAACTTCCCCAAACGCATTATTTTTTTTTTTTTAGGATGGTGGGGAAAGTCCTGCCTCCTTCGCCTCTGATTGGCTAGAAAAGCTGGAAAGGTCATCACATGCTCAAGCCAAACCCAGGCTGTTGGCTCTGTACATCGAACAGAACATTACAGAACATTATCGCACTTCTGAATTTCCTAACCCTAACCCTAACCCTAACTTGACATATGATGATGTTTCACAGCCATTAGGAAGAACTAATTGGAACCCAGCACTTCTAGCCAATCAGAGGCGAAGGAATTCGGGACCTTCCCCTACCATCCTCAGACAAAGCCAGACAGCCTGGACAGCCCCCCAAAAAGAGGACATGTCCGGGTAAAAGAGGACGTATGGTCACCCTAGCATGCTGAGATGATAAAGGATGTTTTTTAGTGGTTATAGTTGTAAAGCGTCAATATGTTTACATCATCCTTTTTGGCTTGTTTGGTAGATGTCCTCTCGTCTGCTTGCTAAATTTAGCATGTAGCTTTAAACGCCGCTGTAAGGACTTGTAAAGCAGACAGCAAGGTTAGAGACTGTCCCCTTCTTTTTAAGTCGGACACTTTTAAAGTAAGCTAGTTAGTTTTAAATCCATAAATTCAAGTGTTCATTTTGTATAAGAGTAGCATCTAAGTCATCAAATAATCTTCCTTAATCAGCAGCAAGTTGTTTACATATTCTTTGGAGGAAAACTGTCTTCTGCCCCGCCTGACTACTGTCTGCTCTCCAGTTATGATCCTCCCAGATATGAAAGCTGAATATTGCTGACATTATTCATGACACTCCAGGGAACAATAACCCAGGTGACTTACTTCCAACCTCAAAAAGCAAATAAAAAATATTGAGGAGAAAGTCACCCTTGGGGGAATTTATTTACTTACTTAGTTTATATTCAGGGGTGTCAGCATTTCTCTCTGTCGCCTGGGGTGCTGAATGTGACAACTTTGAAATAAAAGGCCCAAAACTCTTTTTTTTATTTTCTTAACTGCCAGGAAAGCATATTTATCTGACAAACCGATGATACTGGTACGAAGGACTTTACTGTGTTGTGGGTGTTTGATAAAGCATAAGTTTGGCAGAGTCGGACTCGGGGTTCTTAAAAAAAGGCTCGTATAAAACAGTAGATCTATCATGTTGAGCCATAAGAGTAAAAGCTAAGAATAGGTCCTCATCTCTCTCCTCTCTTCTCTCTCCAGATAAAAATAATGACCTCCCCTTTTTAATAAGCCTGGCCATAATAAATGCAAGTTAATCTCCCCCCCTCCTCCTCCTCGTCCATCTATCCATGCCTTCTTTTCTCTGCAAATGTCCCACTTTGTTCTCTGCTGTAATGGTACGAGTATTTTCAGCCCCTGAATGGATGGATGATGAACACATTCCTTCCCCGTCATCAGTTACCCCTCTCTGTAATGTAATGTAATGAAATGAAATGTGATCCTTAATGGCTCTCTGTAGGGAAATTTCCTTTTCACTTTCTGGCTTCACATGAAGAGCTCACGATCAGCGGCAGAGCAGGGGGGGACGTGGTGTCATGTTCAAGGACACTTCAGGAAGGATAGTACTGATCCTCTTGTCGTGGTCACTTTACTTATCACGAAAACTCTCATGAATCCAAAAGTGTGTTTTGTTTTGTTTTTTTAAAAAGTCAAAAGCATTAATCCACAATGCAACAATTTCCTACAAAGACAACGGGTCCTTGGAAAGCTTGGTCAGTTTTTGTTTGTAGTGGTGGAAGAACTTCTCAAAAGCAGCAATATAAGTATGTAAAAGTTTGACAAAAAAATATTCAAACCTCTTTTCCAGACTTTAGAAATATTGTGTCCTTTTCTATGATGTATGATCATTTCTAAAATGATCAGTACTGATCCATCGGCATTTTACTGTCAGACTTTTACTTTATTCAATCCAAATTAATTTGATTTCCAGTTTAATTTTTTTCTTATGCTGTAAGATCAGCTTCTGAAGGAAATTAAGATTAGTTCAAAATCAATTGAACTTTATTACATTTAACACCTTTCATGCGTACAAGCATGCTGCCAAATCTGCTTCTCAGTACTTTAGGGGGGGCAGGAGCTTTGTCTATAGGGACTCGGCTCAGAAACCAGAGGGTTCAAGACAGTTCAGGTCCCAGTGGTATAATCCAACGTTTGGAGGTCAGACTAGTTGCTGGAGACGTGTCAATTTATTTAAGGGCCACTGCTGGGGTGCCTTTGAGCAGGGCAGCAAACCCCCAAACTACTCCATCAGTGCATGCAACAGATCCATGTTTGAAAAGATGAAATTATAAAGACTAAAACAGGACTTTAACTACTTTTGATAGTCATTAGAATAAGTCAATTACACAGGTAAAGAATTGCCTGTTTGGTCAATTTCTAATGAGAAGTCAAGTGTTTTAAATGCAACTTTTCAAGGTGCAAAAAGCCAAAATTAAAAGCTTCTGTGAAGAACTTTTAGGTTATGATTTTGGCACCACCTATTGACAAAAGCGGTTCTTGTTTCTTTTTATTAGTGTTATGTACTCAAAATGGATTTTTTTATTATTTAAATTCGAAGTAATCCTTCACCACAGCTGTAAAATTAATGCATCAGGGTTTGTCATTTTCTCTCAGGTTTAATTTATTCTCTGAAATGGATGGAGGTATAAAGTTGTGATCAATAAAAACAATAAAGAAGACTTCCCAGTGAAACTCTACTAAAGTGGAAAACTTGAGTGAATGTAGTTTCCACTTGGCGCTGAGAACTTACACCGATTTCCTCCTTTGACCACACACAGCCCTGGAGATCTCACATCGCTCATCTCTCAGCAGCTCCAAAATACATCAATTATTGAGTAAATGAGAGACGAGAGCACCAGAGTCAGGCTGCTGCTGGTCGTCCATCTCCACAGTGTCTCACTGACCTGAGTGTAGAGCAGCGGTTCTTTGAAAAGTTCACCCTGACCGTGTGAAGAAGTGATGAGCAGCCTGGTTCGCTGATGGATGGAGGGTACTATTAGTCCAGTAGCCCGGACCTGCCAAACATAAATATGGTCTCTTATTTTGGCCTTTCAGGACAGGCTGACAGGGCTGAGGTTTATTGAAGGGGGCTGATGAAGTGATGGCAGGCTGGAGGGGCACAATAAGAATTTAAATGTACATCCAAGCCCTGAAAACTTTTTTATTTGGCTCAAATAAAGCCCTTTCACAACAAAGGAAAAAAGAAAACGTTAAGGGAAAGATTTATTGTAAGCTATCTTGTAGACAAATGGAACAAATTCTCCTTTTTCCAAAACACTTTATCAGCACAGTGCCTCTGAAACTGGATCCCCTGAAACTGATTAACCCCTTCTAACAGGACGGGCTGCCGGCCAGCGTCTTGGCCCTGCCTCAGGCTGCAGGTTCACTTTCCAAGGTGTCACTGATACACTTCACCCTTCAGCAGGAGTGTCTTAACTGCCATGGAGGCCGCGCCGTCATTGAACAGTGACGGCCAGAAGGACAAACAGCGGTCACCCGAACATCAGATTTCAAATGATTTGTAACTGAATCTAAATAGAGACATTGTGAGCCAAGTATCCATATCAATTGTTTGTTATGGGATCGTTTAAAACTTCATGTTCATGATGGACAGGGAAGAGACACACACTGATCCGATTGCCTGCAGGAGGAGTCCTTATTCTGTGATATAAACTATGCAAAGCTGTAAAGACTTTCCCTCCATTAATTTTTTTTCACATAAATCTTTATGGCTTTGCATTTTTTTTACATATTTGTGTCCCTTAACTTTTCTTTACCTGATCTTAAATTTTCAGGGACTGCAGTTTTTTTCTTTGAGTGTTTTAATAAACAAGGTGAGTAAGCATGGCAGTTCTTTTGGTGGTTGTGGGGAAATTATGATCACCTAGGATAGTGGCTATTGCATATCTGGAACTATTCTGGCGTAAAATTAATTTAGAGTCAAACACACCGTAACACAGTTAGACACCCCCTCCAGGAGATGAATATTGCCAACTGCTTGCTTCTCTAGTTATACCAACTTTAGTAACGACCGCAGGATAGCAAAACACAGCGGTCTGAGGAGCCATAAACAAACCTCAACCGAAGCGCCACTCTATAGCCACAAATAATGCTCAGAACTAGTGCTGGGCGATAGGACGATAGATATCGTGGGCACGATAGAAAATGTCTATCGTGCCATTTCTATTTTTATCGTTTCGGGCGATAGGCTGTATAGGGCTTGTGCCATCAGATGATTCATAGTAACAACAACAATAATTGCACATTCAGTAAGTGTATTTGGTGCCAAACGGGAAAGAAAACAATATTTTCTTACAAAGAAAAGGATGCGTTGACATGTAGGCTCGCATTTCTCTTTCGATTTTGCGACATGACGCCGCTTTACGTGCCCTCTTCGTGTCCAGCATCTCCCGCCGTTGCGGGTTACCTGGGTTACACACCTGAGGGGATCATTGTAAGCAGTGCCTAATTTGTGCCGGAGCAAGTCGGAGCGCGCTCCGGGACCTCTCTTGATCGGATCCGGGACCTATATCAGCCGCTCCGGCACCTGTTTCATTTGCTCCGGGACCTTCCCTGTAGAGGATGACGTTTTTCGGGAATTCCCGTGGGTCACGTGATTCCCGCGGGAATCCCACGGGATGGGAGTCATTAATTAATCACTTGATCGGGGCGGGACGGGAAAAAAAGCAACGGGAGTGGGCAGGAGCGGGAACAACATTAATAGATGATCATTTTCAGCGGTGTTAAACAACCAGATGAACAGGTGCGTCCATTTTTGTAGTCATGTCTCAGTGAGAGCCAACACTCTTGACCGCGCTAGCAACACAAAAGAACTACAACAGTGGTTTGACTTCCTGTCAGCTGGGAGCGCGGGTGCGCATTTCTACCCTTCGAGCCAGGAGCGAGAAAACGTAATTTTGTGACATTCTGTAGTTTTTCAATCATTTCTGGAGTCGTGGCGAATCAAATCACCTTACCGGTCTGCCCCTGATAGACGAATAAAGCGCTCGGATTCATGCTCGGGTCATGCTACGTGCTTCAAGAGTAAAGTAAACAATGATGGAGGCAGAGAGCAGCTTTGGAGGAGAAACATCTAGCAGTGTGAACAACCTCTTCAAAAGAGCCCTAAAGACCTACCTTTTTAATAAAGCCTTTGGTTTGCTTTCCTTTATGCTTTTACTACCTTGCCTCTTACATTGCAACTCTATATTCTTTATTTTTTTTTATTCGTTTATGCTTTTTTATGCCAATCTGTGACTGTCATTCTATTGCTCTTTTTTTACTGTGTACTGTAGCACTTTGAGATTTTTTGTAAATGTAAAGTGCATTACAAATTCAGTTTATTATTATTATTATTATTATTATTATGGAGTGCTTTGGCTCACACTATCGGCGTTTTCTGTGAGTGTTGCATAACTTTGGGTGAGCACAGACATGAACGCACTTCGGCCACGTATTTATTTATTCATTTTTCTAGTTTTAAGTGCTGGTCTTGTACTGGCACTGTACTAGGGCAGCTGTATACCCTTTAATTTTTCATAGAACTGAAAGCATACCATAGCTATATCGTGATATATATCGTTATCGTGATATAAAATGATCCATATCGTGATATACATTTTTTTCCATATCGCCCAGCACTACTCAGAACAGCACCTAACTTCATCAACAGTACATATAGGGTCCTAGCCACAGCACTAGCCACCACATCTTTTTAACTTTGCCTGATTTCTTTAGCAAAGAGACTAAACACAACTCACCTACTCTCTTCCAGCAGCCGCTTGTTTGTAGCGAGACCTCGGGCCAGTCCGTTACAGACTGCTGCGGGGTGACGCAGCTCAAGGAAGAACATTTATGATCATTTCCTCAAAGAAATGCAATCAGACCGAGACGCTAAGGCAGAAGAACTACCGCGTCTGCAGTGCAAAATGATTAATATGATGATTATTACTTCAAGGAAATGATAACGTAATGATCATAAATGTTCTTCATTGAGCTGCGTCACCCCGCAGCAGTCTGTAAAGAACTGGCCCGAGGTCTCACTACAAACAAGCAGCTGCTGGAAGAGAGTAGGTGAGTTCATTTCTCAAGGGGGTGTCTAATTCAGTGTTACAGTGTGTTTGACCCTAAATTAATTTTCCACCGTAATATCCCTTTAAAGCCTCAATAAGGTACATTTGAGTGAACACAGTGGACAAAATTTGTGGAATTTTTCCGGGCAGAAGATTTTGGTAGTCAACCTGAAGACTTTTTTAAAATTTCCAGGAGTCAAAGTGGCGCTGGCATTGCAGTCCCTGCATTACCCCTATGAAGGTTATGTCTCAAACAGCTGACTTCAACTTGCTCCTTTCCTCAATGTCACTATGCTCTCTCTCTCTTTTTCTGTCTCTGTCCACTGCTCTGTCATCACCAAATAAAGACAAAAAGCCCAAAAAGTAAATCCCAAAAAATTGTAAGGAGTTAAATACACAGTTAGTGTAGAGGTAACCGAGACAGCAAATGCTGACCACCCCAATTAGAGAACAAGAGGCCTACGTTCCCCAAACAGTAGCTGAGTGTAAATCCTCTAACTCCGCACTTCTTAGTCTGGACATAAATCAAAGTAAGCTAGTGCTGGCTTATTAGACCGGTCCAACATATCAAAAGTAAATCATTAAAAATTAAGTTTGGATGTCTTTTATACTGCTTTGGGACAGTTGCTGCTGCTGTGTTGTGTTGCCTGCTAAATTCTCATGTATTCCTCAGTCTGCACTCTGTAGTTATTGACCCTGTCTAGGGGAAATCAAACCTGACTCATGGATAACTCTGACATATTATGGATTTTTATTCTCCCGCATTATTCTCTGCCTGGAGGAAATTCAGTGGCACTCTGCAACCTTCACTCGACATGTCTTCACGACCAAAAGTTTACTGAATCTAAGTTTACTTCGCAGTAGAGATGAACGTTGTGAGTACATAAAAAAACCAAAGGAACAGTTTGTTGTCCCTGTCAGATTGGCACCGATCACAAAATTTATAACAATTGAAACTGACAGAAATCAGCATCAGAGAGCTCCCTGTTAATGGATCGCAGATTCCATTTTCTATTATCAAGCATGGTGTACAGGACAGGAAGTGATGAGAAGACGATTCATTAGATGCTATGAAAGATTTGTTTCATTACTGTTACTTATAATTGCCAGACTGAAAGTACTCAGTTTTTACTTTGGTGCAGTATTGGAGCCCTGGTGCACATCCATGTAACAGAGTATTGTAGAATTACGGCAGGAAGTCTTACATATGGCCAGCATTTTAAGACAACAATAAGGAGCCCATTGATAAATAGTTTGCCCTGACTGAAAACTCTGGTTAGTGAGGATGATAACATGAAACGGTTTAGCCAACTAAACACACCTCTTACTCAGACTTCAGAATTAGGATTTGGGGATTAACTGATAAAATGTGATACATTCCTCACTTGAGACTGTAATGTAAAAATTATGAATTTATGTCTTACAGAGAGGAAAACATCAGTCATCTGCAACCTTGAAATAGAAAATTAACTTTTTATCACATGAATAAGATGGTTAATGGAATTTTATATCATTTCTGATCTATCTTTATTTGGATATACTTATACTTACATAGAAAGGCAATAACTTCACCAAAAAAAAGCTAGCCTGTATAACATCGTATCGTTTTATCTTTTATTCTTGTTTTTGTTTGAATTTTTCTGAATTTAAATCCATAAGTATTCAAACTTTTGCCAAATTCAAATTCAACTTTTGTCAAAATATATATTGCTTGGTTTGTTTCTATATTTGTTTTCCTGACTTAACTGTAAAATCACTTGTAAGATAAGAAAATTGGGAAGAATATTTATTTGTAATTCATATCCTGTATTGAAGATTTTCAGTTTTCTTCATTGTTAGAGCCACTACAGTATACAGCTGTATGATTTATTACTGATGTAGATCACCTAATGACATACAACTAAAACTATGTCAAAATAATACATAAAATGTTGGTCAGAAATAATCCTTTAGTATTTATTATTCCTTTTAATCTGCAGATAATATGTTGTGTAATTCCGTTGACTTAGTATTTTCTCTTTAGTTTTCCACTCTGTCCACACAGAGTGATCAGCAGCCACAGATAACTCCTCTGAGTGACTCCTCTTTGTTTGGCGCGTTGTGTCCGTCTGGCTCCGGCTCACTCCATTACAAGTCTGAATGACTAATTAATGGTCCCGGGACAGCTGACACCAGCTCCTCAAGATCCATTTACACCCTCATCCCCGTGGGCTCCGACCGGACTCGGCTGCACCTCTTCACTTCTCCCTCACCTCCATCCATCCTCCCCACGCTCATCCCCTCATCTCTTATTCATCCAG